ATCTAGGGGCCGGGAAAGTGGCTCAATGGTAGAGTGCTTGCCTTGCATGCATGAGGCCCAGGGTTCGATTCCTTAGCACCACATAAGCAGAGGAAAAAAAGCCGGGAGTGGCGCTGTGGCTCAAGGGTAGAGTGCTAGCCTTGAGCTGAACTGCTGAGGAGTTCAGAGTTCAGGCCCCAGGACTGACAGAAAAACTATGTGACATTGCCTCAAAATACATCAAGTAGAAAAGTTAGAAGACCAGGGGGTAGAGCTCAGTAGTAGATTGCTTGTATGTAGCATGTATAAAGCTACATATATGTGTTTATGTAAATAAGTAAAAATGATAGAAAGTAATTTGTAGATATAATTCTAAAACAATGATTATTTGTGGGCATCATCATACTATTCTTTGACTATTGAAAAAGTGGAAAAAAAACAAGTCTTTGAATTTACTAGTACTGGGTGGGTTTATTGTTTCAGAGACTGGTGACCTTCAGGGATGTGGTCATAGTGTTTTCTCAGGAAGAATGGAAGTGCCTAGAACCGGCCCAGAGGAACCTGTACAGGAATGTGACTTTGGAGACCTTCAGTCATTTGGTCTCTGTAGGTAAGGCTCCTGTATCACACAGGGACAGACAGAAAATGAACACCCAAGGTGAGTGAGAGCCAGCTGTTGCCACCTCTGGTCCAAGAGAGCAGAGAGGAACCAGTGACACTAGAGATGTTGAAAACTACAGCCACAGAGAATAGCCCAGCCAGCAGCAACTATATAGCTACTTCTAGAACTCCCAAGTCAGGAGAAAGGGAAAGGAATGGAGGGAAAGGGGAAAGAGGGAGGAAGGGAGGACTAGAAGAAGGCAGTAAGAAACAGCCCAACATTCATCTTCCTAATTGACCCACTGACCTGATTGTGCTTTTAGTGTGTGTGTGCCAGTCCTGGGGCTTGAACTCGGGGCCTGGCGCTTTTCCTTGAGCTTCTTTGCTCAAGGCTAGCACTCTACAACTTGAGCCACAGTTCCACTTCTAGCTGTATTAGTAGTTAGTTGGAAATAAGAGTCTCACAGACTTTCCTTCATGGACTGGCTTGAAATTGTGAGCGTTAGATCTCAGCCTTTTGAGTATCTAGAATTACAGATGTGAGTCACCAGCATCTGACTTCTGCTCATGCTTTCATCAACCAAAACCCAATGCCAAAGCACAGGTCAGAAATAATACATTCCCTCATAGATAGGCTCTCTGGATTATAATAATCCTGACACAGAGCATGGCCAATATGAAGGAATGAATTGGAGGGGAAGGAGAGAGTTAAATGGAATGAAATTACCTTAGTTAGCTACTGCCAATAATTCAGGAATATCCCTCTGGAATTTCTATTTATCTATCTTTAGGGCACAAGTTTCTGATTGAATTTCTGGTCTCTGGTCCCAAGAAAATTGTTCAGGGCTTTGTGGAATTGGAAATGAGTCATTCAATTCCCATCCTTTGGATAACCTTCACACCTCTCTTACAATCGCCTGGATTCCTTGCTGACCAAGGAAGTGGCTTTGAATTTTGGAAGTAAGATCAGGTCCTCCTCTGTTTTCCCTCAACAGGTCTTTCTATTTCTAAGCCTGATGTCATCTCCTTATTGGAGCAAGGGAGAGAGCCCTGGATAATTGCAGATGATACGGAAAGACTGTGGTATCCAGGTTAGTGAGCACTGATTGGTGCAGCAGGTAATGTGGCTAATAGCCCAGTAAGAGTCAGCTGTTACCTACAGCTTGAATTATAGCCAGGAAGCTCCCCAAAGCCCTGCTGTAGGATGAAGACCAAGAAATGAAGATATAAACAGCAAACACCTTGTCAGCATCAGCTCCCAAAGGAGACTTGCCCTCTGCTAAGTTCCTGCCTGACCTTTCTTCTCTCACACCCTCTTTTTTGTTGTTGTTGTTGTTGGTTGTGGGGCTTGAACTCAGGGCCTGGATGCTGTCCCTGAGCTTTTTTGCTGAAGGCTAGCACTCTACTACTTTGAACCACAGCTCTACTTCCGGTTTTCTGATGGTTAATTAGAGATAAGAATCTCATGGGAGGGCTGGGAAGTTGGCTCAGTGGTAGAGCGCTTGCCTTACATGCCTGAGGCCCTGGGTTCGATTCCTCAGCACCACATAAGAAAAAAGCCGGAAGTGGCGCTGTGGCTCAAGTGGTAGAGCGCTAGCCTTGAGCTGAAGAGCTGAGGGACAGTGCCCAAGCCCAGAGTTCAGGCCCCACGACCGGACCCCCCAAAAAAAAAAAAAAGAATCTCATGGGAACTTTTCTTCCCAGGCTGACATTGAACTGTTATCTTCAGATCTCAGCTTCCTGAGTAGCTAGGATTACAGGGGTGAGCCACCAGGGCCCAGTTCTCATACCCTCTTTTCTATCTCAAAGAGATAATGTGTCCTTTTCTTTCCCAGTTGCTTTTTTTTATACATTTTTTTATTGTAAAAATACAGAAGAGTTACAGTTACATGAGTAATGAGTACATTTCCTATCATGCTCAAGAATAGAGCCTAGCCCTGAGTTCAATTTCCAGGACTTGCAAAAAGAAACAAACAGGGAAATAGATGGATATATTAAATAGATTATACACACACATTATGGTCCTGATCTTTTTTTTTTTTTTTGGTCCGGTCGTGGGGCCTGAACTCTGGGCCTGGGCGCTGTCCCTCAGCTCTTCAGCTCAAGGCTAGGGCTCTACCACTTGAGCCACAGCGCACTTCCGGCTTTTTTCTTATGTGGTGCTGAGGAATCGAACCCAGGGCCTCATGCATGCAAAGCAAGCGCTCTACCACTGAGCCATCTTCCCAGCCCCATGGTCCTGATCTTGTATGCTTTTATTCAGTCGGGGTGATGTTTGAACATCTATACTTTTTTTTTTTTTTGGTCGATCATGGGGCTTGAACTCTGGGCCTGGGCGATATCCCTGAGCTCTTCAGCACAAGGTTAGTGCTCTACCACTTGAGCCACAGTGCCACTTCCTGTTTTCTGTTGGTTAATTGGAGATAAGAGTCTCAACGACTTTCCTGCTTGGGCTGGCTTTGAACCACAATCCTCAGATCTCAGACTCCTGAGTAGCTAGGATTATAAGTGTGAGCTATCAGCACCTGGCTGAACATTGTACTATTAACAGGTATTTCATACTGTTTTCTTGGCTTCCTAGGTGATTTTGACCCATATCAAATTAATCCCTCTGGCAAAATATGAACTCATCACATTTGTGCTTTCATGTCCTTCTGGAAGTAATTTGGTATTTAGACCAATTTTTTAAAATTCCATTACTTGGGCTTGAACTCAGAGCCTAGGTATTGTCCCTTGGCTTTTTACCTTAAGGCTGACACTTTACCATTTGAGCCACAGATCCACTTCCCACTTTTCACTGACTCATTGAAGATAACAGAATACAGATTTGTCTGTCTAAGCTGGCCTGAAACCTCTATCCTTAGAGCTCAGCCTCCTGAGTTGATAGGATTACAGCCAGAGCCACCAGCATCATTGGCACTGTAGTTTTTTTTTTTTTTTTAATGTCTCATTGAAAAGACATTGCATTTACTTCTCTTATTTTTCAGACTTGGAGTCCAGGTGTGAGACATTTCCAGCCAAAGGTCTGTTGGAAATGGGGTCACTAGATTGGGGAGCAGTAGACAGCCTTGACTACCATTTCCTTGGAGGCTGGGAATGCAGAGGCCCATTGGAGGTGCAGCAAATCAGAAAGCAATGCTGCTCCCAGCAAGTGGAACCCATGAATGAAAATGTGCCTACTTTCAAGCATCCCCCCACTGTCACCCTACAGCAGCCCAATGAGACCTGTAAGAAAGTGATCAAATGCACAGAATGTGGGAAAGCATTTAGCCGCAGCTCACACCTTACTCAGCACCAGAAAACTCACACTGGTGTAAAGCCCTTTGAGTGTCCACAGTGTGGGAAGACCTTCAGTCGTGCCTCACACCTTGTTCAACATCAGAGAATCCACACAGGCCAGAGACCATATGGCTGTATGGAGTGTGGCAAGGCCTTCAGCCGGAGCTCAGAACTTAGTCTCCATCAGAGACTTCATACTGGTGTCAAACCCTATGGATGCAAAGAATGTGGGAAGAGCTTTCGGCAACATTCCCAATTGGTGCTGCATCAGAGAACACACACAGGTGAGAAGCCCTATGGGTGTAAAGACTGCGGAAAGGCTTTCATCCAGAGCTCCCAGCTGACCGTACATCAGAGAATCCATACAGGTGCACGCCCCTACCAGTGTAAAGAATGCGGGAAAGCCTTTCGCCAGCACTCACAGCTCAGTGTGCACCAGCGAATCCACACCGGAGAGAAGCCCTACCAATGTAAGGAATGCGGGAAGAGCTTTTTTCATAGCTCAGAAGTCACTCGCCATCAGCGGATCCATTCTGGGGAGAAGCCCTATGAATGTCAGGAGTGCGGGAAGGCCTTCCGACAGCTTTCCCAGCGCTCTCGACATCAGAGAGTTCATACTGGTGACCGACCCCACAAATGCAAGGACTGTGGGAAGGCCTTTAGTCGCAGCTCATACCTAATTCAGCATCAACGAATTCACACTGGTGACAAACCTTACAAATGTAAGGAATGTGGGAAAGCATTTATTCGTGTTTCCCAACTGACTCACCATCAGCGAACACATACCTGTGAGAAACCCTATGCTTGCCGAGAATGTGGCATGGCCTTTATTCGTAGTTCACAACTTACTGAACATCAGAGAATTCACCCGGGTATCAAACCTTATGAATGTAGAGAGTGTGGGCAGGCCTTCGTTCTTGGCTCCCAGCTCATTGACCACTACAGAATTCATACTGGTTAGACAGCCTCTAGTAACTGAGGAGGCAGAGAGCTTGAGGATTGCTGTTCAATGCCAGCCTAGGCAGGAAAGTCCATGAGACTCTTTATCTCCTATGAACCACCAGAAAGCCAGAGGTGGAGCTATGGCTCAAGTGATAGAGCACCAGCTTTGAGCAAAAAAGCTAAGGGACAGTACCCACAGTTCAAGCCCTAGTACTGGCACATAAGAGCCAAGCTAGAGCTAGATGCCCTGAGTTCAAGCCCCCCAACACCACCTAAATGTTTGTTGAGTGGAGGTAGAATAAATGAAAATGGTCAATGATAAACACTATAATGCTGATCATTGTTGGTGTAGGTGATGGGTCAAAGAAAGGGATTCATTGGACCTTTCTCGTTGCTTTTGACTATTTTGGAACTTCTTGATAAAATGAAAATTAAGCGCAAAAAATAATCCAGACTTTGACCTTCACCTTACAAATACAGAAGCTAAGGTTCAAAGGTGAAACCGACTCTCTGTGTAGCTAGAACAAGGAGTACAAGTTCTGGTTTCCCTCATTCTTCACTATCCCCCAGGTCCCAGCCAAGTAGAGAGAGACGAGGGGGGAAATTGCACTGGCCCCAGACTGCCTTCCCTGATAGGGAACGCACGGCCCACCTTTCTGCCTCCCAGGGGAGGAACAGGTGGCGGCGCTGTGGCCTCTGCACCTGCGCGCGGGACCTGGCAGCAGCAGCTTGGCCACGCGCCCACTGGACTGATTCGATTTGCGGGCGCTCTCCACCCAACCCAACAGAGATCTAGGCGCCCCAACTGTCGTCTGGTGGACCGGCAGGAGAGGTGGGGTGCTGTGTCTCTGGTGGTGACTTCAGTCGCTGAGGACTCAGAATGAGGGCTCTGCGGGTGAGGCTTCAATCGACGGGTTGACTGGGGACCCCCTCCCCCCAAACCCAGAAGCCTCACCCTAATGAGACCCCAAAAACATCCCAGCTGTGGAACCCGAGACGCTCTGCCCCGTGTGTCCCAGGGCCTGGGGGTTGAACTCCTCCCCTCATCCTTCCTCCCGCTGCCCCCACGCCACCCAGGACCTGGACTCCAGGAGCATCCGTCTCTCTTCCGGGTCCTCTCCTACCAGGACCCTACACAGCTCCCCAACCTCAGAGCCCGACCTCTGGGCGCGCACCCCACCGGCGGCTGGCACTGGGCCGCCAGGAGACGCTGGCCCCACGTCCCGGCGTCGGACCCACGCGGGAACAGCTGCCTCCTACCCAGCCACTTCCTACCCCGCAGGTCTCCCAGGCGCTGATCCGCTCCTTCTGTTCGACGGCGCAGCGGAACCGTGTGGAGAACCGGGTGCCTGAGAAACAGAAGATTTTCCAGGTGGCTGCGCAGTGGGCGGGACTCGTGGTGGGTGTGGCTTGGTGGCTGGGAGTGGAGGGGACGGGTGTGGGTGTAGCTTGGGGGCGTGGCCACGGGTTGGGGGTGCGGCTGTGTTTTGGGGGACCCAGGTGGTGGGAAGGATAAGTGAAGCCCTGGTCTCTGAGCCCCTTTTCATCCCACACTTAGGAGGACAATGGCCTCCCAGTTTATTTGAAAGGTGGAAGAAACGACAACATCCTGTATTTGGTGACTATGGTACTGACTATGGGGGGTAAGTGTGGGGACTTCTCACCCTTGGCCTGAGTTACTTGGGATGGGGATCAGGGGGGGACCCTACGGCCTATTGCTTTGGCTGGGCTTATTATTTAAAGAGGTGGTGAGTCTTGAGCTGACCGCACTGGGGACTGGAGCTAGGACTCCCTTGAGGACTTGGGCTTATGTTCCTAGGAGAAACTAAGCTAGTTATGGTGGGCCTGGGACTTTGGTAGGAGTAGAGGACAAAGCTACTCTGGCCTGACTAACACCAGGGGCTCCCCATCAGGAGTCCAGTTGGGAGGGAGCTGGGAACTCAGCTGATGGCTAGAGAAACTACAGAGGGCCGTACACACTCAGATGGAGTTTAAAGGTGGGATTAGGGTCTCATTGAGGATCCCTCACTTCCCCTTCCTTCCTAGGCACTGCCTACAGCCTATACTTCCTGGCCTGGGCTGCCTGCCCCCACAAGAAGTGAGACCAAGAGATTTGAAATGGCTAGGATTTTGACAAACACTAATAAAAAGTGCTGGTTTCTTTGGACCTCTACCCAGATGTGGTTTCTCTCTGTGTGTAAGGTGGGTGCGGCACGACAGGGAGAGAGAGTACACACTGTGGGGGCAGGATCACCCTGAACGCCAGGGACCTGTGTGGGGCCTCAGCAGGAGCCAGGCTATGGCCTGAGCCTGATGCCTGTAATCCCATCTACTCCGGAGGCGGTGATCAGGAGGATCCAGTTCCAAGGTTCGCTGGGGCAAAAAGTGAGATCCCATCTCAACACAGAAGCTGGGCTGGGCCCAGTTATAGGGAAGTGTAAGTAGGAGGATGAAGGGCCAGATAGAAAAGGCCTACCTTCAGGAACCTGGGTTCTTGTGAGGTGGTGGAGCTGATCTTGGGAGCATGCCGACTGCCCGCCCGCCCCCCTCGCCACACCATGTTACTCTTCTCTGCAAGAACTTCCGCGGGGGGTCACCTAACCATCTGCCTTGCTCTCGGCGGTTGCTCACAACAAATGTCCTCCGGACAGCCGTTTCGTGGAGCAGTTGAGCTCCAATGACCCGCTGCCCAATAGCCATGGAGAAAAGCTCGTTGCTCTCAATCTGGACAGGATCCGGCATTGGATTGGCTGAGGGGCTCAACTCTCTAAACCTATGGAGAAACTTCTCGGTCTTTCTGGTTTTTTCCCTCTGCATCCTATGATGATTACAACAAATGCTGAGAGACTGCGAAGGAAACGAGCGCATGAAGTCCTCTTAGCTTCTCAGAAAACAGAAGGTGAGGCTCCAGAAATAGAAATAAACTGACTTCAGTGAACATAGTGATTACAAGGTCAAAGTCTTCTAAAGTACTTGGGTACAGAGCTCTTGATTGTGTTAAGTTTGGAGGTCAATAAAAGCCACTCATCCTCTTCTGGCCTAACTTGAACAAGGGCTAGGCAGAGATGTCTTCTTTGACATAAGAGCTGGGGAGTGGGGGTGGGGGGTGGGGGGGAGGAGTTGGGAAGGTGGCTCAGTGGTAGAGTGCTTGCCTTAAATGCATGAGGCCCTGGGTTCGATTCTTTAGCACCACATAAGCAGAAAAAGCCGGAAGTGGCACTGTGCTCAAGTTACAGAAGCACTAACCTTGAGCTGAAGAGCTGAGGGACAGAGCCCAGGCCCAGAGTTTAGGCCCCACCACCGACCCCCCCCCCCAAAAAAAATAAAGAATGAAGATTTATGTATGGAAACAGTACAACAAATCATCTTCATACAATTAATATACACTTAATGAAGTAAAAAAAAAAAAGGCCTACCTAAAAATAAAGAGAGTGTGGCTCAGTAATAGAGCATCGACCAGGCAAGTATGAGAGACCTTGAGTTCAAATCCTGGTACTGCCAAAAATAAAAAAGACAAAGACAAGTCAGGAGCCTGGCAAGGTGACACATGCTTTATAATCCCATACTGGGGAGGCATAGGCAGGATTATGAGCTCAAATCTTGTCTCAAAAAAAGAAAATTTACCGGGCTGGGAAGGTGGCTCAGTGGTAGAGCGCTTACCTTGCATGCATGAGGCCTTGGTTCGATTCCTCAGCATCACATAAGAAAAAAGAAAAAAGCCAGAAGTGGTGCTGTGGCTCAAGTGGTAGAGCGCTAGCCTTGAGCTGAAGAGCTGAGACAGCGTCCAGGCTGAGTTCAGGCCCCATGACTGGACCCCCACCCCCACCCTAAAAAAAAGAAAAGAAAATTTACCAAAAATATCTCCTAAAACATCACAGAAATGAGGAAAAAGGGAAAGTCCATGTGGGAAGGGTAGAGTTTTGTTCCTTACCACATGGTGGCAGCAAAATGACACAAAAATTTAGTTTTAATCGATAACAGTGGCTCAGGCCTATAATTCTAGCTACTCAGAAGACTGAGATATGATAGAGGTTCAAAGCCAGCTTGGGAAGGAAAGTCTATGAGACTCTTATCTCCAATTAACCAACAAAAAGCAGAAAGTGGAGCTGTGACTCAGATGGTAGAGTAGTACTTTTGAGGAGGAAAAATGAATTAGGCTCTAAACTGGGCTGGTGACAAATCTTATGTCCCAGCTACATAGGAGGCTGAGATCTGAGGCTTAAAAGTCCATGAACCAGGGCTGAGAAGGTGGCTCAGTGGTAGAGTGCTTGCATTGCATGCCTGAGGCCCTGGGTTTGATTCCTCAGCACGACATAAGCAAAAAGAAAAAAGCTGGAAGTGGTGCTGTGGCTCAAGTGGTAGAGTGCTCGCCTTGAGCTGAAGAGCGAGGGACAGCGCCCAGGCCGAGTTCAGGCCTCACGGCTGGACCCCACCCTCCCAAAAAAAGTCCATGAACCAGCAAAATAAGCCAGAAGGGAGGTGTGAATCAAATGGTAGAACACTACTAGTCATGAGCAAAATGCTACTGGAGTGTCCTGAGTTCAAATACTACCCAGTACCTGCATACACATACACACACACACACTTACTTTTAAGGTTGCAACCACTCACTGTAGCTACAACAAGGTTCTAAACCTATTAACCCTATAGTACCACTTGCTCTAGGCGACAGAAATCACCCCAGCCTGTGCTTCCTGGTAAGGAGAGACTCACCTGTCCGCCTGAACCCACTGCATCTCATGAGAAACCTGATGGGAGCGCGTGAGCCACGCACCTATTGGATAAAACGATTTGCTGGGCTCACCCCCAACCCCTGTCCCAATCGGATGAAGCCCAGATCCCCCCCAACTGTCAAGTCCCGTGAGGTGGGCGTGGCCTGGGTATCGGTAAGCAGTTGACAATTCAGAAGACCCAGAATGAGGGTCCTGCGGGTGAGACCCCCTCCACTCAGTCTCACTCTAACGCGACCACCTGAACACCCCAGGTTGTGGAACCAAGCCCCTTTAGAGCCTGGGGCTCCCTTTCTGCACAGGCTGGAATCTTTCCCTGGACCCCAACTTTCTGAGACTTGGTGGGTAACCTCTAATGGATCCCAGAGCCAGGAGTTTAAACCTCCTCCCTTCTTCCAGGGCTCCCTGACACCCCTGCAGCTGCCCCGGGGCTCCTTACGCAGCCCTGCACCTGCCCAGAGTCCTCAAATCCAGTCTTGACTTTCTCAAGGTGCGGTTTCCTTCCGTGGTGAACGAAGGGCTTCCCCTACCTCACTAAATCACCCCAAGACTTAGGCTCCAGGAACAGTAATCTTCCTTTCTGGGTCCTTGCCCACCAGGACCCTCTAGATAGCTCCCCAACCTCAGAGCCTGGCCTGGCCGGCGGCTGGCACTTGTGTGTGTGGTGGGGAATGGTCCCACGTACCATCCTCGGAAGGCAGCCCCGGCCGGACCCACGTGGGGACAGCTGCCTCCTACCCCGCGGGTCTCGCAGGAGCTGATCAGCTCTTTCTGCAGAGCGGAGGAACCACTTTGGGACCGCTGTGCTTTCCCAGGCGGCTGTGCGGTAGGCAGGGGCCCGCAGTGGAGGGCATGGTGCTGTGGGCGTGGCTTGCGTGGTGGGTGGAGCCACCGTGGCTGTGATTGCGTGCTGGGGGCGGTGCTGGTGGGTGTGGCTATGCAGTGGGAAGGGCGGGGTTGAGGAGGGGTGGTGGGCCTGAGCCGCGGGTGGGGTGGTGTCTCTGAGCCCAGTCCCAAGGGCGAGGTCTAAGGAATAGCCCACACTCGCTTCTCATTCCACCTGCTGACAGCTAGGCAGACAATGACTTCCTGGTGTACTTGAAGGGGAAAACGGACACCATCCTATATAACCTAAGGTGCTGACGCTGGGAGGTGAGTATATTGCTTCAAATTATGGGCTGGGCTGCATGGGCGAATGGATGTGAGGCCATTGGCCCTAGGGTTTGGCTTGGTATTATTGCTTAGACAGTGGGACCCTGAATTGCCTGGATTGGAGACCGGCATTTAAAGACAAGGCTCCCTAGGACCTGGGGAAGCTGGGCTGGTTACGGGTGGGTCTGGGACTTAGGCAGGAGTTGAAGGTAAAGCTCCTACCCAGACCCTGATTAAAATACCAGTGGATCCCCACCTGGAGTCTAACCTGGAGACAGAGCTGGGAACCAGGCTGCTAAGTGAGAGCAGGAAGAAGGGCCATAGATGGTGAACGGTAGAACTGAGCTTTCACTCTATTCCCCTTGCTTCCCCTTCCTAGGCACTGCCTACAGCCTGTGTTTCCTTGCCTGGGCTGCCTTCTCCCAGAAGGGACACCAAGACACTTGGAGGGTCTGGACACTTGACAAAAAAATTTTTTTTTTTTGGTCTGGTCATGGGGCCTGAACTCTGTGCCTGGGCGCTGTCCCTTAGCTCTTCAGCTCAAGGCTAGCGCTCTACCACTTGAGCCACAGCGCCACTTCTGGCTTTTTTCTTTTTGCTTATGTGGTGCTGAGGAATCAAATCCAGGGCCTCATGCATGCAAGGAAGTGCTCTACCACTGAGCCACCTTCTCAGCCCAAACTTGACAAATATTAATAAACATTCTGGTTTCTTGGTAACTCTGCCCAGCTGTGACGTGTGCCCCACCAGCCTGGGATGTCTGGCTTGGGGTGGGTCCATTGCCCTAGCCCTTGAATGCAGCAGCCTCTTAACTCAGGGAGGATGGCAATGCTCCCCCCTGGGCCTGGGGCCTGGAGTGGTATCCAGCAGTGGGCAGGGCCTTAATATCCTCCCCCTACGGTGGGCCAAAGGTAGAAGGATGCCAAAGCATCCATGACACAAGAATGGCATAGGTTCCGACAAGCTGAAAGAGATGCCAACACCAACAAGCTGAAAGAGGTATCGGGTGGCATAGAAACCTCCTGTTAACCCAGACTGTGGAAGCAGCAGTACTCTGAACCCCCCAAGGACCTGTTTGGGATCTCAGCAAGAACCAGACTACAGCCTGGGCATGATGGCTGTAATCCTGCTACTCAGGAGGTGGAGATCAAGAGGATCCAGTTTCAATGTTAACTGGGGCAAGTCAGTGAGATCTCATCTCAACACACATGGTAGTGGCTATCAGCCTAGCTACAGCAAAGTGTGAGGAGGATCACAGTCCATGTATAAAATGCTAGACACTACCTGAAAAACATAACTAGAAGCTGGGTGCTGAAACCTGTAATTCTAACTACTCAGGAGGCTGAGATTTGAGGATTGTAGTTCAAAGCCAGCCCAAGCAGGAAACTTCTTGAGCTTTTATTTCCAATTAACCCCCAGAAAACAGGAAGTGGTGCTATGACTCAAAGTTGTAGAGGAGTACTAGCCTTGAGCAGAAAAAAAGCTCAGGGACAGTGCCCAGGCCCTGAGTTCAAGCCTCATCACCAAACAAACAAACATACACACACTTATAACTAGAGCAAAAAAGGCTGGAGATATGGTTCAAATAGCAGAGTGTCTGTCTAGGAAATATGAGGCCGTGAGTTCATAACCTAGTACTACCAAAACTAAACCAAACCAACCAGGCTGCAGCTCAACTGGAACCTCTTCAACTGGAACCTGGTATAAAGAAAAAAAAAAGATGCAGGACAGAAATAGAGAAAAGCCAATTCAGCTCCTAAGAGAGGAGGCAGCAGTGACTTTTTTTTTTTTTTTTGCCAGTCGTGAGGCTTGAACTCTGAGCCTGGGCGCTGTCCTTCAGCTCTTCAGCTCAAGGCTAGCACTCTACCACTGGAGCCATAGTGCCACTTCCGGTTTTCTGGTGGTTGATTGGAGGTAAGAGTTTCATGGACTTTCCTGCCCAGGCTGGCTTTGATCCATGATCCTCAGATCTCAGCCTCTTGAGTAGCTAGGATTACAGGCATGAGACACCGGTGCCTGGCAGCAGGCACCACATCTTATTCCCCAGAATCTCAGCTCCCTCTTCCTGGAAGCCTGAGCCCCAACTCAACTCGCAGAACAGGAGGCAAATCCCACAGGAAGCAGCAACTGGACAGCGTTTATTTCCTCCTTGGGCCTGGCAGGCTGGGAGCAGGGTACAGGCAAAGGCACTGGGGTGTGTGAGCCTGCAGCAACCTGGAGCTTCTTTGGCTGCCTGGGTGGTAACTAAGCCAGGGTGTGTCGGGACTGGAGTGATCATCTCAGAACTGAGATAGGGCCCTGGGGACATGGAAGTGTGGGGTTTGGCACAGGTACAGGATAGGTAATGGAGAGGGTGTGGTGGGGTGCGGTGACCTGTGGGCAGAGGGTATCTTAAGGCCAGGGATGACACAGGGTATGGCAAGATGGGACATGTTGGGTTCTGGCTGGTGTAGGGGCCGCTGGGTGCCAAGGGCTGCGGAAGGAAAGGCCTGTGGATAACAGGATGTGCTATGACACTATGCCCGAAGACAGATCAGCCCTGGGTAACATCCAGGTATGAGACAGCGCCACAGTGAGGAGGTGAGGGGCTAAATGGCAGGGGATCCCACTCAGGAATACATTGTCAGCTGCAGCCACTGGAGAGAGAAAAATATACAAGTGAGGAGCAAGGAACCCCTGGGCACTGAGCACCTCACCCAGGAGCTGTTGGGAAAATAGGGTGGAGGGGGCCAGAACTCTGAGCTGAGCACCCACACCACAGGCTGGCACTTCGTACCTCCTGGATGTTCACTCGAATTTGTCCACTGCCATCTTTATCAAGAGATTTGAAGGCACCTGGAGATGAAAGGCAAGTTTGGGGGTAGGGCTGTGGCTGGCTTGTTTTCCTTTTAAGGCTCGTACAGGCTGATCCCTCTGCCTTGGATACCCTTCCCTACCATTTCTCTAGGCTCTCCTCCTCATCCTTTCAGATTCCAGCTCATATACACCCTCTTCCAGGGAGCCCTCCTTGACCTTCTGGGCTGCCTAATCTAGTCCCACTCTTGAGTGTCCCCTCAATCCCCATGGGGTAGCTGCCAGTGGACAAACACCTCTGCATCCTGAGCACTGTGAGAGCGGTTCATCAGGTCACCACTGTGTCCCTACCTTTAGATCACCAATGGTGGTCAGTGATGGCTGAACAAATCCCCACCCAAGAAGAGAACTCAGGCATCACTCACGGAACATGGCATCCAGTCTGACCAAGCAGCTGATAAAGTTGTCAAAATCCATGCTCCCATTCTCATCGGAGTAGCGCCGGATAATCATGTTGTACAGATGCTCATTCAGGTGGAAGCCTGGGAAATGGTTGACGCCCTTGGATCTGGACCCCGCCCACCTTGAAGCCCCACCCACCGCCAGCTCTCCTTACCCATCTCTTATCTCTCATCCCCACCTGCTGCCTCAAAGGCCCCTGGGAGCTCCCTGCTGCTGATAGTCCCGGATCTGTCCACATCGAACTGTTTGTATATCATCTGCGGAGATAGAGGGCAGGGTCCATCTAAGCATCAAGGTATAAAATAATCTCCATGGCTGGGGTGGCGGAATACGGGTCCTGAGGCTGTCACACACCTGCCACTTCTTGATGTTGTTCCATAGATACTTGAATTCTTCAAAGCCCAGCTTGCCTGTGGTATCGCTCTGGCAGGAGGTTGTTAAGAACAATGAGACAGGGCTGGGAAGGTGGCTCAATGGTAGAGTGCTTGCCCTGCATGCATGAGGCCCTGGGTTCGATTCCTCAGCACCACATAAGCAGAAAAGGCCGGAAATGGAGCTATGGCTCACGGCAAAAAAAAAAAAAAAAAAAAGAACAATGGGACAGGGCTAAGGGTGTGGCTCAAGTGGTAGAGCCTCAGCCTGGCACATGAGAGGACCTAGTCCAGACCCCAGTACCACCAGAGAAGAAAGAGAAAGATGAAGACAGGATATGGATGGCTTACACCTGCACACCTAGGTACCCAGGAGGCTGAGATCTGAGGATTGTGGTACAAAGCCAGCCTGGGCAGGAAAGTTTGTGAGACTCTTACCTCCAATAAACTATTCAAAAAGGCCAGAACTGGTGCTGTGGTAGAGTGCTAGCAAAGAGCAAAAAGAAGCTCATGGACAGCACCTGGGTCCAGAGTTCAAGCCCTAGGACTGATAAAAACAGAGAGGAGGGCTGGGAAGGTAGCTCAGCGGTAGAGCACTTGCCTTGTATGCCTGAGGCCCTGGGTTCGATTCCTCAGTACCACATAAGCTAAAAGAAAAAAGCCGGAAGTGGCTCTGTGGCTCAAGTGGTAGAGTGCTAGCCTTGAGCTGAAGAGCTGAGGGAAAAAGAGAGCCAGAGAGACAAGAAATCCTAGCTACTCAAGAAGCTAAGATCTGAGGGATCAAGGTTTGAAGTGAGTCCAGGCAGCAAATCTCAGTTTCCTCTCACTTTAATGGCTGGAGAGGAGACAGATTCAAAACTGGAAAATCTGCCAGGTGTTGGTCACTCACATCTATAATCCTAATAAGTCACGAGGCAAGATCTGAAGGTCTTGGTTCAAAGCCAGGAAAGTCTGTGAAACCCAGTTAACCAATTAATTAACCAATTAACCGCTAATTAACCACCAAAAGCTGGAAGTATAGCTGTGGCTCAATTGGTAGAGTAACAGCCTTGGCCCAGCACCTTAGTTCAATCTCCCAGAACTTGCACACACAATTAGAAGATCTCAAGATCAAAGTAACAGGGTTATGGGCATGGCTTAATGCTAGAAAATCTGCACAGCAAGCTCTAGACCCTGAGTTCAAGCCCTAAGTTTAAATTACCCTACTACCACACACACATATACACATACATACACACAAACCTATTAAAAGTATCTTAACAGCTGGGCGCCTGTAATCCTAGCTACTCAGGAGGCTGAGATCTGAGGATCTCAGTTCAAAGCCAGCCTGGGCAGGAAAGTCTGTGAGACTCTGTTTTTTTTTTTGTTGTTGTTGGTTATGGGGCCTGAACTCTGTCTGGGCCTGGGCACTCTCCCTCAGCTTTTCAGCTCAAGGCTAGCGTTCTACCACTTGAGCCCTAGCGCCACTTCCGGCTTTTTCTGCTTATGCTGAGAAGTCAAACCCAGGGCCTCATGCATGCAAGCAAGCACTCCACCAACGAGCCACCTTTCCAGCCCTGTGAGGCTCTTATCTTCAATTAGCCACTCAAAAACCAGAAGTGGCTCAAAGTGGTAGAGTGCTAGCCTTGAGAAAAGGAGCTCAGGGATAGCGCCCAGGCCATGAGTTCAAGCCTCATGACAAAAAAAAAAAAATCACAGTAAGAGTTAATGTGTGCAGACTACAACAGTATTAAACCTTTTGCACAGGAAGTGGTGCTGTGGCTCAAGCGGTAGAGCACTTGCCTTGAGTTGAAGAGCTCAGGGACAGCACACAAGCCCAGAGTTCAAGCCCCATGACTGACAAAAAACGAAAAGAAAAAAGAAAATGAGATGGTAAACCTTTTGCACATAGCTTCAGTTTGGTCAGTGTCAGAGATAGGCAAACTGAGGCACAGAGTCAGTAATCTCACTAAAGGAGCACAGTTGGGACTTCACCCTGTATAATTCATGTGTGATCACATGACATATTTATGTGTGCACATATCCAAGATTAGCTTATGACTGGACTATGTGCAAATATACTCAGTTTTTATGAATACATTCCTTCACACACTATATGTATGAACATGTGTGTGTGTGTGTGTGTGTAGTGTGTGTGTGTGTGTGTGTGTGCGCATGTGTGTGCATGCATGAGTGTTAGCAGCTTAGATTCTCAAGCCTAAAAGATTAGAGTATTTGAAGCTTTCACTCTTTTGCTGGCATTCTACCACCTGAGCCACACCTCCAGCCTCTTATTACTTATTCTCTCTCTCTCTCTTTTTTTTTTGCCAAGCCTGGGGCTTGAACTCAGAGCCTGGGCACTGTCCCTGGGCTTCTTTTTGCTCAAGGCTAGCACTCTACCACTTGAGACACAGCTCCACTTCTGGCTTTTTCGGTTTAGGTGGTACTGAGGAATTGAACCCAGGGCTTCATGCATGCTAAGCAAGCACTCTTCCACTAAGCCACATTCCCAGCTCTATTTATCCTTAATTAAAATTTCAAAGAACTCTCTGAGCCTCCTTCCTCACCGACAAAATATAGAACAGTTGCGTTAGAGTATATGTCAGGGTATCTATGAAAGTTCCATCTATTATTCTAAATAAAGTGCAAGGTGTCACAGCTGCTGTCTTTTTTTTTTTTTCTTGGCAGTAATTGGGTTTAAACTCAAGACCTTGTGAATGCCAGGCTGGCATTCTACCACTTGAGCCATGCCTGCAAGTTCTGCTTTTTGCTGGTTATTTTGGAGATGAGGCTAGCAAACTTTTTTTTTTCCCTGAGCTGTCTTTGAACCTGAATTCTCTAGATTTCACAGCCTCCTGACTAGCTAGGATTATAGGCATGAGCCACTGGTGCTTGGCTGGTATCATTACTTATCACAAGTCTCTATGTTTATGTTTTTGAGTATGAAAACAACACCTTTGCTGTCCTAAACATATGCTCAAAAAGTTCCCTCTTCAGCAGGGCGCTGGTGGCTCATGCCTGTCATCCTAGCTACTCAGGAGGTTGAGATCTGAGGATCACGGTTCAAAGCCAGCCTGGGCAGGAAAGTCTGTGAGACTCATCTCCAATAAACCACTAGAAAACCAGAAGTGGTGCTGTGGTTCAAGAGGTAGAGCACTCACCTTGAGCTGAAGAGCTGAGCCCAAGTCCAGAATTCAAGCCTCACAACTGACCCCCCCCCCAAAAAAAAAGTTCCCTCTTCACCCAGAGCCCCAATACCTATCTCATCTTCCCAAAGGATACATCCATCACAGCCACCATGCTGCGGCAGGTATCAAGGCCAAAGCCATCAGTTTTCAAATCAGGATCTGTGGGGGGAAAGGGAAAAGTTGAAGGTCAAAGTTTAAAGATCATAGCTACCCCAGCCCCCCATGTCTCTAAACATTCCCCATGCCTTGACCCTGGTCACTCACGTCTGGTCACCACCTTGTTGAGAATGTTCATGAGTTCGGTGGCACTGACCTCCATGTCCTGTGGGCCCAAGTTTAGAGGCGGGTCAGGGGAGACTGAAAGGGGTCTGGATATGTCATGAGGAATGGGAATTAGAGGGAGGGGATTGTCACTGTCAAGTATGTGTGTACAAGAAGGCCTGGGAGACCCAGGTGCTGGTGGCTCACGCCTGTCATCCTAGCTACTCAGGAGGCTGAGATCTGAGGATAGCAGTTCAAAGCCAGCCTAGGTGGGAAAGTCCCTGAGATTCTTATCTCCAATGAACCACCAGAAAACCGGAAGTGGCCCTGTGGCTCAAGTGGTAGAGCGCTCGCCGTGAGCAGAAGAGCTGAGGGAGACAGTGCCCAGGCCCGAGTTCAAGCCCCCCCTCCCTTCAAAAAAAGAAAGGCCCGGGAGGAACTAGGACAGGACCAGTGGCCCGGGATTCCTTACATCTCCAGCCAGCTGGGCAAAGAGTCTCCGGAACTGGCGGACCTCCTCACTCTCGTTGGCCTCAATGTTGGAGTAATGGGTGCGTGGGGGCTGTGGAGGGAAAGGACATCTTCAGAGGAGAAATGGCGTCCGCCACCCTGGCTCCCCCGCCCCCAAGCACCCAAGGTAGGAAAGTCAGGGTGGTAATAAATGGCCAGGGAGCATGGCACAGGATGTGGCTGGCACCCGTGGTTGAGTTTGGGGATTTGACAGAGGGAAAGAGTTAATAGCCAAGAAGTTCCCTCAAAGGGGAATTCCTGTAGAGGCTGCTTCTCTGTAGGTACAGGGAGGGGGGTCTGACACCAGCCCAGGGATGTGGAGGGGGGCTTACCGGGGGCTCCGGATTGTACTGCGCAGCTGCCTCGCTGAGAAGAGACGAGGGGGTTAGCGTCGGGGGGCGGGGCCGCCAACGGGCAGCCGCAGAATGGCCAGCCCCCACCCCTCAGATTCCAGACCTCCACCCTTCAAGGGACCCCATCCACACTGGCCGGTAGTCCCCGCCCTTCATCTAGCTGTAGACTCTAATCCCATCATCCCAGGCAGACCTCAAGTTATCTTGGCCCCAATCAACAACCCCAAACCTCACCCAGATATAACAATGAGCTCTTTAAGGACTCCCTTCTTAAAGGCTGTTCCCCCGCCCCCCCCTTGGGCCGCATCTTCCTTGGGCCCTAGCTGCCCCAGGAATGTCTTTCTGAATGTCTATCTTTCCTACATCCTTCTTTGGCTCTATTAGGCCCTGCCCCTTTGGGGGATGACTGCTTAGTGACCAAGGCCCAAGGCCAAGGAACAACCTGCAGGGCATATCTTCTCCATTAACCCCCCCACCCTCCATCTCCCTCACACACATATACACGTTCTTACCCATACTCAGCTTTTTCTGGTGTATTTCATCCCCTATCACTTTAGGCCCCGGCCTCTTCTGGGCCCATCTCCTCATTAATCATCTACACTAAGTCCTGCACCCCTGGAGATCACCCAGATTCATTGGCTTAGCTCTTTTTAATGAAATAGAGTTGGGGTAGAGCGCCAGCCTTGAGGTGGAAAAGTTAAGGGAAAGAGCCCCAAGGCCCTGAGTTCAAGCCCTGGGACCAGCACACACACACACACACACACACACACACGTTAGCTAATGAGGGACACAACCAGTCCTGTTAAGTTCATTACCACCACTTCCCCCCCAAAAATACCCACATGAATTCCTTCAGGGTCAACATTATTGACTTACTCAGGCAAGCACCACCCTTGGCCTGTCCCCTTGAACTGAGATTAGTTTTTTTTTTTCCTTTTTCTTTTTGTCAGTCATGGGGCTTGAACTCTGGGCTTGGGCACTGTCTCTCAGCTCTTCAGCTCAAGGCTAGCACTCTACCACTTTCGGCTTCCTCTGCTTATGTGGTACTGAGGAATCGAACCCAGAGCCTCATGCATGCAAGGCAAGCACTCTACCACTGAGCCACCTTCCCAGCCCTCTGGTGGTTTATTGGACAGAAGAGGTTCATGGGCTTTCCTGCCCCGGCTGGCTTTGAACCGTGATCCTCAGATCTCAGCTTCCTGAGTAGCTAGGATTACAGGCGTGAGCTACGGCACCCGGTCAGCTTCTTTTTTTTCCTAATGCTGGTACTGGGGCTTGAACTCTGGTCCTGGGTGCTGTCCCTAAGACTGTTTTGCTCAAGGCTATCTCCCTACCACAAGAGCCACCACCCGCTTGTTAGTGATTAATTGGAGGTAAGAGTCTCAAGGCCATTTCTGCCCAAGACTAGGTTTGAACCTGGCGAGTAGCTAGGATGACAGCCGTGAGCTGTCAGGCTCTCCGCGAGCCCTTTCTCCTTAAGGGTAGTCTCCAGGCAGAGACTAGAACGTTTTAAGGAGCCCCAGTCAGTCTCCAGGTAAATCCCACTTTACATACTTGACCACGCCCATCCCGACCACGCCCCGTGGATGCCACGCCCACATTTTGCTCCGCCTCACCTGATGGCGCTAATGACTCCGCCCAGGATGCGCATGGCGGTGCCCCCGCCGCCGCCGCCGCCGCCGCCGCCGCCGCCGCCCAGGCCCATTCCTCCGCCGCCGCCGCCACCCCCGCCGCCCCCCGCCCCGCTGATCAGACCCCCCAACACATTCCCCAGACCGCCGCCCAGGCCCCCGCCGCCGCCGCCGCCGCCGCCCTTCAGGAACGAGTTAACCAGGAACATGGCAGCGACTCAAGACTCCTAAGGAGAAGAGAAAGGGCGTCAGGGCCGCAGCCTCGCGCCGGAGCCCGCCCCTCCTGCAGAAATGTTTCGGAAGCTGGATGGGGCGCGGGAGAGGGGGGGACCCGCGGCCCGGGTTCAGGCTGGTGACGAGGGTTGGTGGTCCTCGGATGGGTGGGAGGGGAAGGATCAGGTTTGAAACCCACCGGGATAGAAAAGGGCAAACAGTCCTAGTTGGGTGGGGATGGGGAGGTAGAGCGGGGAAGCCCCCACATTTTGCGTAAGGTGTACCTGGCGGGTCTGGGAGCTCAAATCTAAAACCCAGACACCACCAACACCCCAGTTGGACTTAGGGGCGCCGTGGCTCACGCCTGTCATCCCAGCTACGTAGGAGGCTGAGATCTGAGGATCACGGTTCTAACCCAGCCTGGGCAGGAAGGTCCGTGAGACTCGGATCTCCAATAAACCACAGAAAAGGACGGAAGCGGCGCGAGTGGAAGGGGCCGAGGGGCAGCGCCCAGGCCCCGAGTTCCGGCTCCGGGACCCGTGCACACGCACAGAAACCGCTCCATTTAGAGGTCTGGGGCCGGAGGGGGTCGCGGGTCAGTTTCTCCCCGGGGTGGGGTTCAGGAAATTCCTAGTACGGGTGACAGCCGGACGGGTGGCTCGGGGTAACGGGGCCCCCACCCGAATGACTAAATGCAGCCCCAGGACCGCAGCTCGGGGCCCCTGGGCACGGGGGGGGGGGGGGGGGAAGACGCAACTAATTAGATCTCCCCATCGCTAGGTTTATATTTTAGATCGGTCCAAGAACTGGATTTGATTTTGGACGAGATAGAAGGGAGGAAGGAGGGGGCGCCCCGGGGCGGGGTAACGAGGCTCGCACAGGCCTGGGGGCTCGGATCTGAGGCACCTCCCCACCCCTCCACGAGGCCTCGGGTCCTGCTACTTCTGGGTCTGTCGAGCATCAGATTGAGGGGTGCAAGGGAGTGTGGGGGGGTTCTGGGCCGGGGTCAGCGCCTCACCCGTCCGTGGATCCGCGGCTCCGGGGCCTCCCGCAGCGTCCGGTCCTGGAGGGCGGGGCCGTGAGTCAGGCCCGGCGGCGGCCGCGGCGGCGGGGTCACACCCGGCCTCGGCCCGGGGCTCCGCTCGGTCCTAGCGCCGGCCCCCGGGACTGCGCCTGCGCGCGGCGGCCCCGCCCCCATCACGGAATTGGGAGACTAGGACTGTCTGAACCATTCCCAGGTTGGTGGGTCGAATCCCGCTCGGCTTCGTTCCACCTTTGCTTTACCACCCTGGCGTAAATGGCCAGGCTTGGGAAACTAGAGCTGCGAAGACACACTTCTGGTGCCTCCCTGTGAAGTGTCACCCTGTGGTTGTCTCCACCTGCCTAAGGTGGCGGTTTACCGGCCGCCCTACAAGGGACTCAGTAAGCGGCCTCTTCTTCCTTGCCGTATAGAGACACACAGTACCTCGGGCACCCATTTCCGTTTGTTTTCCAGGCCGGGGAGGTGGGGGTGGGGGGATGCATTTTTGACAAGGACACGGTCTCCCTGTCCTCTGCAGGATCTGGATGGAAGCTTAGGGAGGCCTTCCTATGCCACGTTCTCCCTACCCCCATTCTCGCTGGGCCTCCAGGTGTGGGGTCTTCCACACTCCAAAGAGAGCCTGGGATACACGAAAAGTCCCTTGGCCCAGACATCCCAAGGTCCCAGAAGCAAGCACCAGGACAACGCAGTTGCCTTTGCCTTCCAATTTGGACGTGCAATCTTTGTGCTCCCAGTTCTTTTCCTGGCCTCGTCTTTGGTGGGTCTCCTTGGGGAGCACAGGCTTCAGGCTGAATCCTGGCTCTGACCCCAAAACAGTAACTTGAGCAATAATATTCCCGTGGCTTGCTCCTCCACTTAGTATGCCTTATCACTTAGAATTAGGTAATACATGCTTAGTAAACCAAAGCTGTTCTCAGGGCCCACCTAAACTCCTCAGGGGGGTTGACTTAGGCATCCTCACATAATATTGCCTTCTTTTCCTGTGCATGTCCCACAGATCACAGCATTTGTTTCCATAACAGCCCTGTGGAATGGGTGCTGTTTATTTTGATAATGGTACTGGGGCCTGAACTTAGGGCCTGGCCACTCACTGTCAACCTTTTTCAGGTCAAGGTTGGGGCTCTACTACTTAAGCCACACCACCATTTCTGGCTTTTTGCTGGTTTATTGGAGATAATAAGGTTCTTACAGTCTTTCCTGCCCAGGGTTGGTTTCGAACCTCAATCCTCAGATTTTAGCTAGTATTACAGGTGTGAGCCACTGGTACCCTATTGGGTGCTCTTTATCATCTGTTTGTAGGTAAAAAATGGAAGTGAAGCCAGGCAGCCAGACTCCCTAGTCAGTCCCTTTAACCAACTATTCTTATGCAGTGATTTTTCATAATATAATTGATATGATAATTACAATAGTTCAAATAACAAGATAAATGCAGACTGTACAATTGCAGCTAGTGTATCCCCAGGGCTTGCTGGGGCCATGCCAGGCAACTGCTTTATATGCCTATGTAGAAATCCAGGTGTAATAGGACAGAAAAGGGAGGCTCTGAAAGGCAGGGTCATAGAGAATGGCAGGAACAGGTCAGAACCTGGGCTTGGCTAGTGAGAATTTATTTGATGATGACTAACCCGGATTCCCTTCTTGCCACACCCTTTCCTGCCACACAGAGAAGTTTGTCTTGTGGCTCATCCTCAGGCATTTGCCTAAGCTGTGACCTCTGTCTAAAGCACTTTTATTTTTTAATTTTTTTTGTCGGTTGTGGGGTTTGAACTCTGGGCCTAGATACTGTCCCTCAGCTCTTCAGCTCGAGGCAAGCCCTCTACCACTTGAGCCAGAGTGCCATTTCCAGTTTTTTTTGTTTATGTGGTACTGAGGAATTGAATCCTGGGCTTCATGTATGTTAGGCAAGCACTCTACCACCAGGCCATTCCCAATTCTCACTTCCGGTTTTCTGGTGGTTAACTGGAGATAAGAGTCTCATGGAAGCTAGGTGCCAGGTGGTTCACGCCTGTAATATAGCTACCCAGGAGGCTGAGATCTGAGGATTGTGGTTCAAAGCCAACCCGGGAAGGAAAGACCGTGAGACTCCTATCTCCAATAAACCACTAGAAAACTGGAAGTGGCGCTGTAGCTCAAGTGGTAGAGCATTTGCCTTGAGCTGAAGAGTTGAGGGACAGTGCCCAGGCCCAGAATTCAAGCCCCCAGACCGACAAAAAAAAAAAAAAAAAGTCTCACAGATGTTTGTACCCAGGTTGGCTTTGAACTGTGATTACCAGATCTCAGCCTCCTCAGTAGCTAGGATTAAAATCAAGAGCCCACCAATGCCTGGCTTTACTTTTTAAAATTTTTTGCCTTCATCTACTCAGACTTGAGTGTAGACTCCTGAGTCTCTTTTTTTTTTTTTTTTGGTCAGTCATGGGGCTTGAACTCTGGGCCTGGGCGCTGTCCTTGCACTCTTCAGCTCAAGGCAAGTGCTCTACTGCTTGAGCCACAGTGCCACTTCCGGTTTTCTAGTGGTTTATTGGAGATAAGAGTCTCACAGAGTTTCCTGCCCAGCTGGCTTTGAACCTCGATCCTCAGATCTCAGCCTCCTGAGTAGCTAGGATGGCAGGTGTGAGCCACCAGCGCCGGGCTCCCAGTCTCTTAGGAAGTCCTGTCCTGTAACCACACTCATCAAGAGGCTGCCTGATTGGTACTCTCAAAACTGTTTGTTGAATTAATTATATATAGCTTGTAGTCTGACATGGTGGCACAGGCTTAAATGCCAGCACTCAGGAGGCTGAGGCGAGAGAATTACGAGTGCAAGGCCAGGCTGGGCCGCACAATGAGGCTCTGTCCCAACAATAAAACAAAAAACCCTGTTGTGGTTTCCACAGCGCTCCCGGCCCACACAATCACGGCTGTCATCCAATTGCAGTACCGCCCACTGCCAAGCATTCAGCCACCTCCATTTCCTATAATTCCTTGTGTCACAGGATGATAGCTAGACCAAGGAGAGGGGGAGGGGGCAGAGGAGGGAGAGAGGAGGGGAAAGGGACAGGGAAGGGGGAGAGAGAGAGAGGGAGGGGGGGAGAGAGAGAGAGAGAGAAAAAGTGGAGCATGTCGCATGGCTATCTGGGAAATGAAGTCCTCTTGCAAAGCCGGAGTCGCAGGGAGAGCAACTGGAACGACTCACTCCCGGGCTCGCGGCAGCTGGGCGGTGTGCTGCTGCCCCCAGGTGGCTACTTAACAATTATGACCGAGACTAGGGAGGATCAAGGAAAGGGAACTGGGTAAGAAATCCAGCTGCCAGGCAATGGTAATCCAAGCTACCCAGGAGGCTGAGATCTGAGGATGGAGGTTTAAAGCCAGCCCCGGCAGGAAAGTCCGTGAGACATTTATCTCCAATGAACCACCAGAAAACGGGATGTGGTACCGTGGCTCAAGTGGTAGAGCGCTAGCCTTGAGCTGAAGAGCTGAGGGACAGCACCCAGGCCCAGAGTTCAAGCCCCACGACCGAGAAAAAAAAAAAAAAGATGGCTTCTTGGGCTGGAAATGTGGCTTAGTGGTAGAGTGCTCATGCATGAAGCCTTGGATTAGATTCTTCACATACACAGAAAAAGCCAGAAGTGGCACTGTGGCTCAAATGGTAGAGTGCTAGCCTTGAGCAAAAGAATCTCAAGGACAGTGCCCAGGCCCTGAGTTCAAGCTCCAGGACTGGCCAAAAAGAAAAAGAGGGTCTGGGAAGGTGGCTCAGTGGTAGAGCACTTACCTTGCATGCCTGAGGCCCTGGGTTCGATTCCTCAGCACCACATAAGCAAAAAGAAAAAAAAAAACAGGAAGTGGCGCTGTGGCTCAAGTAGAGCTCTAGCCTTGAGCTGAGGAGCTGAGGGACAGCGCCCAGGCCCAGAGTTCAGGCCCCACGACCGGACCCACCCCCACCCCCACCCCCCAAAAATAGATGGTTTCTCTTGTTTTCTCAGGACTGAAAAATTCCCATATAAAACTGGCAGCTGGAGCATGAGGAAATGGATGGGGGAAGCACCACGATGTACAGAGACGGACACTGGCTGCTGACACAGGGGTCAGACCAGGCTCTTGGTGATTGAAAAAGAATTAACGTTCATCCTGCTTAAGCTATTATCTTTTTGGGCCTATCAATTACAGCAACAGAACATTACATCAAGTAGCAAAGGACAAAGAACAATCTACAGGCCTCCAACTAGTCCTACCGCTTTGCTCAGGTTCCTGTTCTATACACCACCCCCCTCCAGCTTTCCTCAGCCGCTCCCCAAATCAGAGGCCCTCACATACTTCCCCAGTTTCTGAGGAATTTAATTTATGAGTGTTACAAATCCACAGCAGGTGGAAGGTAAAGGAAACAGAGATGGGTCAGTGAAGAGGGCATGGGCGTACATATAGGGAGGGACGATGAAGGGAGTCAGGAGCTGGAGCAGGGAGACACCCTTCCTTGGGTGTCACATCTCATCCAATCCATAGTCTTCCTCTGGGAAGTCCCCCACTGTTACAACTGATGGCTTGACGAAGGCTCCGTACTTGTCCTGACACTCAAAGTAGCGCTTCCCATTCACACTGCAAGGCATGATGGGAGGCAGTGATTAGAGCACCGGTGTGGCTTCCACAGATGAGAAGGCTCGCCCAGCGGTGCCTGGATTTGCACACAAGCATGTGCACGTATATGCATCCCCCTCAGTGGGAACATGCCTACCTGCCGTCATTTTTCCCTAGTGGCTCATCATAGCGGACACCAATCCAGTAGCCAGGCTTGAAATCTGTGAGTCCTGCCAGGGGAGAAACCTGGTGAAATCTGTGCACAGGGCTCCCCCACTGAAAGCCTGTGCTGGAGAAAACCACTCCTTACTACCCACACTCTCTTCCCCTAGGACACTGGCTCCTCCAGGACCACCAGCACGGAGACAGAGCCTCTTCACTGATTGCTCTCCATGATCCCACCCCTGCCCATTCACTCAGCCCCAGCCAAAACAAAAGGGGGCAGCATAGTTCCACTGCCACAGAGAGCACAGATTCCTGCATTCACATACAGACTAGCGTTCACACCAAAGGCCTCTGTAGCAACATGGCAATGAATAAAGCAAACCTGCCCACAGCTTGACCTTGGACTTGCAGCCTCCAGAACAGTGAGAAATCCATTTCTGTTCTTTTTTTTTTTTTTTTGTCAGTCATGGGCTTGAACTCTGGGCCTGGGCACTGTCCCTCAGCTCTTCAGCTCAAGGCGAGTGCTCTACCACTTGAGCCACAGCTGTAGTTTATTGGAGATAAGAATCTCATAATCTTTCCTGCTGGGGCTGGCTTTAAACCACGATCCTCAGATCTCAGCCTCCTGAGTAGCTAGGATGACAGGCGTGAGCCACCAGCGCCCGGCTACATTTCTGTTCTTTTAATTCCCTATGTGTGGTACTTCATTGGAGGAGCCCTAGCAAACTAGTGCTCACCCAACAACAAGAAGAGAAACAATTCAGCTAGGCACCCTAACTCACACTTGTAATCTCAGCTACTTGGGAAGTTCAAAATCCAAAGCTATCTTAGGGAAAAAGGGAAACCCCTGAGGGTGAATAATATTAAAACATATTGCATGTATGTGTGAAGATAATGTAAGAAATATCAGTAAGCTGGGTGCCAGTGGCTCACACACATAATCTTAGCTACTCAGGAGGCTGATATCTGAGGATCACAGTCCAAAGCCAGCCCAGGAAGACAAACCCATGAGATTCTGATCTCCAATTAACCACCAAAAAGCCAGAAATGGCACTATAGCTGAAGTGGTAGAGCACCAGCCTGGAGTGAAAAATGCTAAGGGACAGTGCCCAGGCCCTGAGTTCAAGCCCCCGAACTGGCAAAAAAAAAAAAAAAAGCTAGGCTCTCCTTGAAGGCCAAGTCCCAGGCCTCTGGACAGAGCAGGTTTCAGGGACTACTGACAGAATGAATGGCATTCTGCTCGGCCTTAGGATCCAGCAATCCCTGGGCTACTACTACATACCTACATACATGACGGTGCCCCGGCGTGGGGACTGCCCCAGTGGCCGCACCTCACAGCGGCTACCCACGGAGATGGCACTGGCTTGGGCTTTCTCCTCCGCAAGGCGCTGGGCTGCCTCAGCCTCTTGCTGTGCCTTCTGTTCTTCATTGTAAGGGCCAAGTTTGCTTCGCTTCAAAAAGGATCGGACTGAGTCTGTGGATCGGGTAGGGTGGGGGAGACAATTGGACTCAATGGCTGGGCTGTGTGTCTGTCCCACCCCCCAGGGCCAACATTCCTGCAGTCACTCTTCTATTCCAGGGACTGGAACGCTGTCACATATGTCCAGGCCTTGCATGGCCCATCTTCCCCCTGCCCCTCAGTCTCTGCTCCAATCAAGCCCATCTTTCCCACTACTATGCTAAGATGCTTACAGATGATGACACTGCCACGTGTCCTGCCTGCCCCACCTCAGGCTGCCAAGTGACTCTCACTGCTGTCCCCAACCTCCTCTCTACCTTCCCAAGCACCATCTGTCCTGATCCCCTCTAAGCCTTCTGCCTGCACTGCCCACTCCTCACTCGCCACCCAACCCCACATTCACATTCTGTACCTTGCCTCTGTTCATAGGCCTCTTGTGAGATCTTGTATTTCTCCACCTTGGATACATCCTCATACTCCCCAAGGCGGGCACCACTGTGGTCAATGACCTGTGGGAGAGTGGGGGGGGGGTGTAACCTGGGATGCTGGGGTACACATGCACTTGGACCATCCTGTAGACTCAAGTCTCCTCATTTGGGAGAAACCAAGTTCCTCCTCTCCCCACCCTTTATCCCAGCCATTTCTCCCTCCTGAACAGAGCAGAAGGGACAGTGTCCCATTCCCCTCCCCCCCCCCATATGTGTGTGTGTGTAATTACTGAGGCTTGAACTCAAGGCCTGGGCACCTTCTCTGAACTGTTTTTTGTTCAAAGCTAGTGTCTACCACTTAGACCCATATCTACTTCGGGTTTTTTTTTTTTTTTCCTTTGGCAGGGGAGGGGGGGAGTTAAATGGAGATAAGAGTCTCACAGACTTTCCTGCCCAGGCTGGCTTAAAATCAGTCCTCAGATCTCAGCTTCCTGAGTAGCTAGGGTTACAGGCATGAGCCACTGGTACCTGGCTCGGAAGCTCTTTCTTTAGTTCCCAGAGGGAGGCAATTACCATTTCTAGATGCCCCCAGTTCCCTGAGTTTGAATCATCGGTCCCAGATCACTCTAGGCTGTCACTGTACAGTGATATGGACATTTCTCATCATGCTGGACTGGGGGGGGGGAGGGCGGTTCCATAAGGGTAGGGCTTATGTATGTTGGTCATCATACACTTGCTTTCATGGCAAGCATCTGATCAATAAAGGAATGGACAGAGTCCCAGCGACGGTGGCCTCACATGGATTCGGCAACCGTTGTCTACGGGATAGGAGCCCAGCAAAGCGTCTTCCTGATCTAACTTGCTGTAGAACTTATCATCAGCTCCATACAGCTCCAATTCCATGCAGGAAGCAGGGCTGCCCACCACCAGTTCCAGCTTGCACTGCGGGGAGACGGAAGAGGGTGGAGAAAGACTGTCAGTGGCCCCATCCACTCCCTCAAGGTTCCACCTCTGGTCTCCATCACCCCACCTAAGTAACCATCACTCAACGCCCATCAGACCTCTGCTTCTTCCAGTCCCCCATCCCCTCTGCTCGGCCACAGGCTCCCAGGAGCATCTGATTCTATTTTCTCCCCGGCCCCGCCCCTACCCTCAGGGATCTCAGGTTCTCCCAATTCACCCAAGGCCGAATCCCGTAGTCCGGGGCATCCACACATAACCTTAGGACCACCCCCAACCCTTTATTTGCCACACCCCTAGGGCACCACCTCCAAGGCCGCACCTTGAATTCAGCAATAGTGAGGTTGCGACTATACCGCTTTTCGGAGCGGAAACTGTTGAGGGAGCTGCTGATGAAAACGTTCACGGTGGGCGCCGACAACCCCGTCACCTCCATCCTGCCGCGCCCTGCCGCACGCCACAGCGCAGCTCGGCCGCCTCACAGCGGTTCCGCAGACAGCGCCGCCGCCGCTTCAGGGATAGAGGTCCCGCCCCGCCCGCTCCTGAGCAGGACCAATCAGAAGGCTCCCGCTGGAAGGCTCAGCCAATCGTTGCCATTCTTTCTCCATGGCCCGGAAGTAGGCTCTCCCTTACTCTTAGGTAGGCCCAACCAATCCTGAGAGGCTTTCCAGAGCTCGCTTGTTCTTCCAATAGCCATACAGGAAATGGTCTGGGCCGGCGGGTGAAGCCAGGAGAAAGGACTGGCAGGAGAAATCTCGGTCCGCGAAAAGTTCACACTGCGCATGTGCACTGGTCCAAGGGAAGCGCGATGGCGTCTTCTACTTACGCTCCGCGCCTGGCGTGTTGCATTGCGCCTCATAGTCTCGGTTGTTATACTCGGTCTATTCCCCTTCTGTAAGCCAGGGCGGCAAGGTCCCCAAATTAGAAGCGATTACTACGGGCTGTCAAAAGGCCCAGGCGAGCAACAAGCCAAGCTCCGCGCCCAAGGGACCAGGTTCCTGTAGGAGGCTCCGCCCCTTGTGGGCGCAGCGCCTAGGTCTGACCCTTCGCGCGACCCGTAGCGCGGTCTGCGCACGCGCGGGAGGCTGCGCGGTCAGTGCGTAACTATGGAACCCGATGGCACCTACGAGCCGGGCTTTGTGGGTATTCGCTTCTGCCAGGAATGGTAAGAGGGGGAAGTGAGCGTGAGAGGGGCGCAAGGGGGCGACCCCACGCCTGACCTCCGACTTTCCCCGACCCGCAGTAACAACATGCTGTACCCCAAGGAAGACAAGGAGAACCGCATCCTGCTGTACGCGGTGAGCGCGAGTCCGCGGGGCGGCCCCGTCAGCTGTCCCCGCCGTACCCCGCGTCTGTGACCCACAGACTGTGTGCTCCCGACGGGCCCTGGTGGCCTTTGCTCTTGACCAATTACCCCAGTGACCCCGCTCCCCTGTCTCGCCCATCCCCGCGGTGACTTCATCTTCCTTTCTGGGATCCCCCTTTCCTGACCCCGTAGACGTTTTTGTGACCCACCCACACCCCCTTCCCCCCCCCCCCCCCCCGCTCGCCCCCTCGCAGTGCCGGAACTGTGACTACCAGCAGGAAGCGGACAACAGCTGCATCTACGTCAACAAAATCACGCACGAAGTGGAGTGAGTGGCAGGACCAGGGTTTGGGGTGATGGGCTCTGTCTTGGGAGCACCCCAGCTAAGCGTAATTGCTCACACACACACACATCCCTGCAGCGAGCTGACCCAGATCATCGCTGACGTGTCCCAGGACCCCACTTTGCCGCGGACCGAAGACCACCCGTGCCAGAAGTGAGCGCTGGGGAGAGGGTAGCGCGTTTTCTGGGGTTGAAGAATCGGGGCTGGGTGGTGGGTAGGATATCAAAACTTTTGAGTGACAGAAGCCTCTCCTCAGGTGTGGCCACAAGGAGGCAGTGTTCTTCCAGTCACACAGTGCCCGGGCTGAGGTGAGTGGCTGGATTGCTCCCTGCGTGCTTGGGGCTTGGTCCTATTCCCAGAGAGGGCAGAAATACCAAGATTAGAGCCCTATGCCGGTGGTTTATGTATATAATCCTAGCTGCTTAGGAGGCTGAGATCTGGGGATCGCAGTTCGAAGCCAGCTGGGGCAGGTAAGTCTGTGAGACTCTTTATCACCAATGAACCACCAGAAAACCAGAAGTGTTGCTCTGACTGAAAGAGGCAAAGTCTTGAGCAGAAAAGCTCAGGGACAGCACTCAGGCCCTGAGTTGGGGAGGGTGGACAATAAAAACTAAAGTGACCCCACTGTTCCCAGAATCTTAGGCTGGTCCCTTGCTAGTTGGGAAAGTTTCGTTGATTGTGTTTTTGGGGTGGGTGGACTCTCTCTCAGTCCTGAACCTTTCTAACCATGCATCCTCTCCACCAGGATGCCATGCGCCTGTACTATGTTTGCACTGCCCCACACTGTGGCCACCGCTGGACCGAGTGAGCATCCCTAACTCCCCCTGTAATAAACACCAGATTCTGTGCCCATATTTCCCGTGTTTATTCGCCTGGGCCTGGCGGGTGGGACGGGGGCTCAGGCGTGATGCAGGGTGCGGTGCTGGGCGTAAGCATCCGGCCGGGCGCTTGTGAAGCCGCAGTCCTCACAAACATGCAGCTTCTCGCGGCGCTCGCGGTAGGCGTAGCTAGCCGGCTGTCCATGCACCTTGGCGAGATGCGCTTCCAGGGAACAGCGCTGCGTGAAAGCTTTCCCACAGGCTCCACAGCGGAAAGGCCGGATCCCTGAAGTGCAGAGAGGAGGCATGACTATGAGGACTACGGCCCCTGTACTCTCCAGCATGGAGCAGCTCCTCTCACTGTTGCAAACTCTTCGGACTCTTCTGGGTCTGACCCCCACTCAGTGCAAACATGGACCAGATCCCTGGGCCCACCACCCCCACTCCTCCCTGCACCAGGAAATTCTTTCCCCTGGGGGACAGGGAGAGAATGTGCTTGACTGTTCTTTTAGGGTGTGATGGACTGAGTTTTTTAATTAATAACTTGTTTCACTCTTTGCCAGGCTCCTACCTAGAGAAGGACACCTTTTCACCCACCTACTGGGTTTCAAGTTTGGGGTCTGAGGTGCATGGTGATTCTGTTGCCTGTGAACCCAATCTGTGTCCAATCACCATTACTTTTTCTTTTTTTCTTTTCTTGTTTTTTTTTTTTTTTTTTTTGGTTGTGGGGCTGGGACTCAGGGCCTGGGCGCTGTCCCTGAGCCTCTCTCTGTGCTCAAGGCTAGTGCTCTGCCACTTGAGCCACAGCTCTACTTCTTCTGGTTTTTGAGTGGTTAATGGGAGATTAGAGTCTCATGGGGACTTTCCTGCCTGGGCTGGCTTCTAACTGCCATCCTCAGATCTCAGTCTCCTGAGTAGCTAGGATTACAGGCGTGAATCACCAGTGCCCAGCCCCGATCACCATTTCATTCCATCGCCTTCCTGGCCTTGAGACCAGCAACCCGTGCTCATCCATGCCCTTGCTCACCAGTGTGAGTCCTCATGTGGCGCTTGAGATCGAAGGCATCGTGAAAGCCTTTGCCACAGCAGCGGCACACGTGGCGGCGTGCAGGGGTGTGGCACTTAAGGTGCCGAGTCAGCATGCGCTGCAGGGGGAAGGCCTTGGGGCACAAGGGGCAGCCAAGTGTCCCAGGACCCCTGGGAGTGGATGCCAGGGTTCCCTGTGTGGGCTGCCAGAGGGATGCAGGTGTTAGCCCTGCCAGCTGGGCCTTGTCCCCATTTCTTACTCAACAAACAGTATTTACAGAGTACCCAGAGCTAAGGAAAACTAGGAAGGCCGGCATCTGCCTAGTATAGGATGTGCTACCTTCGAAGACTTTCCACTAGCTAAACCTCATCACTTTTTGGTTTTTGGTTGTTTTTGTTTTGTCAGTTGTGGGGCTTGAATTCAGCCTGAGCACCATCCTTGAGCTCTTTTGCTCAAGGCTAGCACTCTACCACTCTTGGGGCACAGCTCTACTTCTGGTTTTTGAGTGTTTAATTGGAGATCAGAATCTCATGGGGACTTTTCTGCCTGGGCTGACTTTCAACTACAATCCTCAGGTTTCAGCCTCCTGAGTAGCTAGCTCAGATTACAGGCATGGACCACCAGCATCCTGCTCAAACTCTATCACTCTTACCTTGCTTTGTATACTTTGCTTTTTAAGTCTCCACAGTAAGTACTCTCTCCCTGCCTTGTGCCAATCCAGGGCCCTGTCTCTGAGGGTTTTTTTTGCTCAGGGTTAACACTCTACCACTTGAGCCACAGCTCCAATTCCAGCTTTCTGCCCAGGCTAGCTTCAAACCTTGATCCTCAAATCTCAGTCCTAACTAGCCAGGATTACAGTCATGAACCACCAATGCCCAGCTTCAAATACTTTTTTTTTTTTTGCTAGTCCCGGGGCTTGAACTCAGGTCTGGGCACTGTCCTTGAAATTCTATTGCTCAAGGCTAGCACTCTACCACTTGAGCCACAGCACCATGTTGGGCTTTTTCTGTTTATGTGGTACTAAGGAATTGAACCCAGGGCTTCATGCATGTTAGGCAAGCACTCTACCACTAAGCCACCTTCCCAGCCCTGCAAGTACTCTCTTGAAACATGCTTTTCCTAAGGTTACTGTCTGTCCACAGACCTTACCAGACATAAGCTCCAATAAAGGGAAAGGATCTTTGTTTTGTTCCTGCTAACTACCTAGCATTTAGAGCTGTGTGTGGCTCACAAATAACCTCTTTCCTTCTTCTAGTGCACATGGAGCCTTCCATCCTTGCCACTTTGTCAGTTGTCTCAGAAATCATCCACCAGCTGGGTGTGGTGGCTCACACCTGTCATCCCAGTTACACTCAGGAGACAGAGGTAGAAAGATCACTGTTTGAGATAAACCTGGGCAAAACAAACCAAATAACAACAACAACAAAAAAGACCTATCTGAAAAATAACTAAAGCAAAAAAAAAAAAAAAAGCCTAAGGTCGTGGCTCAAGTAGTAGAGCTTCTGTTGGGGGTGAGAGCCAGCAGGGGTGAAGCCGGCCGTCTTAGCCAGCTCCTGACTCACCATTGCCCACGAGTTCCTGAGGCCAGAAGTCTGGTGTGCTGCCGGCCTCCCTTGGCTGCTGCAATCTGAGGAGAGAAGCCAGAGGCATGGTGATGTTCTTTGTCTCCCCTGCCCCTCAGATCCAGGGCCAGTGAGGAGCCCACCTGGGATGTAGGCATCTCCCCGGAGCTGGTCAGGCAGGTGGCCCCAGTTGGGTGGCTGTGGACGTCGACTCCTGACCAAAAAGACACGGGGCATCACCTCGGCAATGGTGGGGATGGTGAGATGGCTCCTCACACAGATTGAAACGTCCTCTACCTGCTGTCAGACCTCAGTCTCAGGACCACAATCCCAGGTGGGAAGGGAGCGGGAGCCCTGGAAAGTGTGTGTGGTGGGGGGAGGAATGGATCTCATTCTTTCCATGCAAATTTGTCCACAAGCCTCAGGAACAGCTTTACCTCCTGCCATTAGCTCTGCCTCTGAGCATCCTTCTGCTAAGCCAGGTTCCTGTAGAAACTCTGTCCAGTGCCAGCTGCTAGGGACAGACAGACAGGACCCCCCAGAAAGGCTCAAAATGTAGGAAGAGCCCAGGTCGCTCTTGGGTTTGGAGAGAGGAAAGAAACGTAGTCTGAGCACTGGCAGGGCAAGAACTTGAAAATTCCGTTTGCCAGGCAAATCAGTCACCACCGGTTGTCCACAGCCTGCGTGGTTATTCAAATCACAGCTGTCCGAGGAAGTAGGGAGGGGCAGCTGTGATTGTCCTCCCACAGGTGTAGGAAGGACACCAGTCCTTAAGTAAGAGCAAAAATAAAGATCCAAGCTGGGTGCCGGGATCTGGGGTGTCATTGCTCACCAAGCCTCAATTTCTCCAACCAGCAAATGGAACTGAAGCAAGATAGGTAAAGAGGCAGGAAAATGTAACATCATAAATATTAAAACAGAACCAGGAAGTAAAACTAAAACATCAGAGCAGCTGGGCACAGATGGCTCATGCCTGTAATCCTAGCTGCTCAGGTGGCTGAGATTTGAGGATCATGATTTGAAGCCAGCCAGGGCAGGAAAGTCTGAGGCTCTTAACTCCAACTAACCACCAGAAGACCAGAAGTGGCGCTGTGGCTCAAAGTGGTAGATCGCTAGGCTTGAGCAAAATTGCTCTAGGACAGTGTCCAGGCCCTAGCTAGGTTCAAGCCCCAGGACTGGCATAAACAAAAATTTTTTTTTTGGGTCCGGTCATGGGACCTGAACTCTGGGCCTGGGCGCTGTCCCTCAGCTCTTCAGCTCAAAGCTAGCGCTCTACCACTTGAGCCACAGTGCCACTTATGGCTTTTTTTCTTTTTGCTTATGTGGTGCTGAGGAATCGAACCCAGGGCCTCTGGCATGCAAGGCAAGCGCTCTACCACTGAGCCACCTTCCCAGCCCTAGAGTACTAACCTTAAGTGTAAAAGTTAAAGGATAGCACCTAGGCTTTTAGTTCAAGCCCCAGTACCTGAAAACAGAACCAGGAAAACCGACACTACAGATCTCAGCCTCCTTACAGGGTGTAGGGTTGCACACACAGATTTTTCAGAAGTGGGGGAGGGTTGGAAGGGTATGGCTATCAAACAGGAGGCTAGGAATTCAAACCCCAGAACTACAAAAAAAAGTTTTGTGGGGCTGGGAAGGTGGCTCAGTGGTAGAGCGCTTGCCTTTCATGCAAGAGGCCCTGGGTTCGATTCCTCAGCACCACATAAGAAAAAAGAAAAAAAAGCCGGAAGTGGCACTGTGGCTCAAGTGGTAGAGCGCTAGCCTTGAGCTGAAGAGGTGAAGGACAGCACCTAGGCCCAGAGTTCAGGCCCCACGACTGGACCCAAAAAAAAAAATAAGTAAATAAAAAAGGTTAGTACTCTACCACTTGAGCTACACCTCTACTCGGGCTTTTTGGTGGTTAAATGGAGGTAAGTCTCATGGACTTCCTTACCCATGCTGACTTCATACCTTGATCCTCAAATCTCAGCCTCCTGAGTAGCTAGGATTACAGGCATGAGCCACCAGGGCCCAGCTTCTCCTGGTTTCTTGTTCATTGTGTCTTGTGGATGTAAAAACTTCCCTTTGGCACAATTTCTGGGCCAGTCCTGGTAGTTCCCCAGTCCGTCTGGTCCTTTGCCAATGGCCCTTATTAAAGGACTCTTTAGACTATCCCATAAGCAGCTGCCAGGATGCTGTGGGATCACAGCATGTCCAGTCTGATCCTCCCAGGGTTTAATTGCTTGGCATTTGGGAGAGGGGAGTGGCAGACACATGGTGGGTCCTAATTAGTAGCCCATCCTTCTGTGTTGAGAACCCAATTTTGTTTCCATAGCAACAGGTCCAGGAAGGGGGAGATGGTCCTAGCAACCTCCACTGTGGTTGCCTTGACTGATGTGAAGAGAAAGTTAGTTACATTTCTTTCCTGCTCCCCAGTACCTGCCTAGCTTCATGCTTTTGCTCCTGATTGGATGAATGGGTTTTTTGTCCATGTTCACAGCAGACAGGTTGCAATTGTGAGGTCCAAAGCTGGAGGGTGAAATGGACTGGGGGTGGGGGTGGGGATGGGGCTGGAGCAGGGCAGGTGAGAGAGCAGGAGGCCAGGCCCAAGATGACATCCAGAGTAACAGATATCCCCAAGTCTTGGGTCCCTGAAAGCCAGGTGTTTACTTGGCATTGAAACCTTTACCATGGGGCTGGGAAGGTGGCTCAGTGGTAGAGCGCTTGCCTTGCATGCATGAGGCCCTGGGTTCGATTCCCCAGCACCACATAAGCAAAAAGAAAAAAAAGCCGGAAGTGGCGCTGTAGCTCAAGTGGTAGAGTGGTAGCCTTGAGCTGAAAAGCTGAGCGACAGCGCCCAGGCCCAGAGTTCAGGCTCCACAACCGGACCCCCCCCCCCCCCCCCCCCCGCCAAAAAAAGAAAAGAAACCTTTACCATGATCCAGAGTGGGAGAACTGGCAACTCCCTACACACCAAATCTTGCCTCAGGAGTCTGCTCTGGCAATGGTCAAATGAAGCAAGTGGGTCACCTGATCGACAGCGCTGCCCCCCCCCCCCCCCATACACACACACCGGCAGTCTGTGTGCTAGGAGCCAGCCTCTAGGCAGAAGTCAAGCCTGCCTACAAGCTCTGGGTCACCTGGTTCACTGAGGCAGGGGGAAGGAGCCACAAGTAATAAACCACCACCACAAAGCCCTTTACCACTATGCCTCCCACCTCTCTCCTCCTCTCCCACTCCACCCAACTTTCCTAGCCTTGCCACTATTCCCGCCACACCCTTATGGGAGCCTCCCACAGGGCCTTTGGCCTGGCTGTTGTCTGCCGGGGTATGTTCCTTAAATGTCCCCTTGTCAAGCCTCAGCTGCCACTAGGAAAAGGCCTTCGCTGAGAACAGCAGCCCCACTCGGGTTAGTTTGTAGGTAATTCCTTTTTCTCCCACCCTATGCCCTCATTCTGCTGTCCCCCACTCTCACACAGATACAGGGCAGTGACAGGCACTGGGGGTCTGGTCTGAACAACTGCCTGGCTGGTCTCGTGTGTAACACACGTTATGTCGTCATGTTGATGGGTCCAGCCCTGCCATCATCCCTACTTGGATTGGATCTCAGACTAAGCATCCCCTGCTGGGTCTCTGTGTTTGTTTCTGGGGCTAAGACTACCCAGCAGAGCTCAGAAGAGCTCAGAGGCCATGGCAGGTCACATGGTGGTGCTCTGCTTTAGAAGGTCCCCCCCTGCTGGCTTCCTTACCGGGTCAGTGGGCATACTTATGCTGTCAAATTGGCTTCTCAGCAGACATCCCCTGTAGCAGATGCCTGCTGCCTGGAGGGGCTGATGGCTCCTAGGACAGTGATGCTGGGGAAGGAACTACATGTCCCAGCTGCTGGGTAACTTGGTTCTCATTGTTTATCTTTCCTCAGTTTCCTCTGTTGCAGAAGGACATAGCAGCCTGGAGCTTGCAGGAGCCAGTGTGATGTGGTCAGGCCTAGTGACCACAAAAGCTCTGCTCCTACCCCTGGCTGCAGCTGGGACTGGCACAAATGCAGAGTCCCAGGCTGGTCTGCCATGTTCCCGTGGCTGTGAACCCCCCCCCCCCGCCCCCCACCCTCCCATTCCCAGCCTCTCGACATCCACCTGGAGAGGCCATGGCATACAGGCAAGGGCAAGTACCAGGACTATGGTTTTAAGCTGCCACTTTATTTGCTCAAAATAACCTGCTTTTCCAGAGCAGCAAGTGATGGTGGCAGTAAGGCCTCGGTCTCACTGCGCCTTCCTCCGCACAGCCTGAACCAGCAGTTCTGAGTAGTGTTCCAAAAGGGCCTGCAAGTCTGGGCTGGCCAAGGAGCCCAGTGTGGGTGAGGACGGAGGATGTGGGCTTGGCACAGACTGGGCAGGAGCCAAGTCATCTCCAACCAGCCAGTCGCTGGCTTCCAGCTGGCTGTGGATCCAAAGGAAGGTGGAGGCCAGCAGGGTCTGTGCTTGCTGCTGGTCAGTGCCCAGCCAGCTACTGGAGCCTAACTGCAAGGGATGGCAAACTGATCAGGGTTTCTCCAGGCCCACGGAGCCCCTCAACCTTTCCCCTAACCCCGGGGTCACCAGCTTACTGTGTGGTAAAGGTCAAGGGCTTCTTGGAAGGCAGTCTGCAGCCTGTGCAAGATGCTCGTCACATCATGTAGGTAGAGGGGTGTGGGGGGTAGGCCAGCAGCCGGTAGCCCGAGCTCCCTCCAGTGTCCAGAGCTCCCTGGGACAGGACTGGGTACACCTGGGGCAGAGACAAGGAAATGAGCCTAGAGGCTGCGCTGATCTCAATAATCCCCAGGGCTGCCTTGGCTGGTCTCAAAGGATTTTTTTTTTGTCGGTCATGGGGCTTGAACTCTGGGCCTGGGCGCTGTCCCTCAGCTCTTCAGCTCAAGGCGAGCGCTCTACCACTTGAGCTACAGCGCCACTTCCGGTTTTCTGGTGGTTTATTGGAGATAGGAGTCTCACGGTCTCTCCTGCCCGGGCTGGCTTTGAACCGCGATCCTCAGATCTCAGCCTTCTGAGTAGCTAGGATTACAGGCGTGAGCCACCAGCGCTGGCTCTCAAAGGATTTTCTCATCATCCTTTTCCACTGCTGACTCCCTCCTTCCCTTCTCTCCTTAGCACATAATACTTTTTTTTCCCCTACTCTGGGTTGAACTCAAGGCCTTCAGTTCCAATTGGTTTTTGTCTTTTTGGTGTTGTTAGGTCATGGGGTCTGAACTCTGGGCCTGGGCGCTGTCCCTCAGCTCTTCAGCTTAAGGCTAGTGCTCTACCACTTGAGCTACAGCGCCACTTCTGGCTTTTTTCTGCTTATGTAGTGCTGAGGAATTGAACTCAGGGCCTCATACATGCAAGGCAAGCACTCTACCACTGAGCCACCTTCCCAGCCCTCAACTGGCCTTTTTTTTTTTTTTTTTTTTGCTCACAACTGGATCTTTACCACTTGAGTCACACCTTCATTTTGCTGATAAATGGAGATAGTCTCTCAGATTGGTCTGTCCAGGCTGGCTCAGAACTGTGATTCTCAGATCTCAGTCTCCTGAGTAGCTAGGATGACAGGTGTGAGACACTGGTGCCCAGCTGAGAATTTACATGTTAGGGACAGATTCCCAAGCAAAATCTATAAAGAAAAGTGTCTGATGTATTAAAAGTGGTATATGGCCAGGTACTGGTGGCTCAAGCCTGTCATCTTAACTACTCAGAAAGCTGAGAACCAAGGATTGAGATTCAAAGCCAGTTCAGGCTTTGTAGGACTCTAATCTCCCCTTAACCACCAAAAAGGCAGAAGTGGGGCTGTTGCTTAAATGTTAGGGCACCAGGCTTGGGTTAAAAAGCTAAAGGTCAGCACCTAGGCCCTGATTCAAGTACCACCTCTGGCATACTTCTCTCTCTCTTACACACACACACACACACACACACACACACACACACACACACACACACATGATATCAACTCTCCACCCTGTTGTTTACCAAGTGTCCAAAGGCCTGGAACAAAAGTGCTTATTAAATATTTAAGTGAGTGAATGAATGAATCCCACAGCCCCTGTGGCTAGCTGAAGTGTCCAGCTTGGGAGCGGAGCCAGCTAGGACAGGGGATAGGCTGAAGATCCAGTCCTGTGCCAAGGTGATGCTTACCAGGGCTGGGCTCCGGAAGGGAGGAAGTGCTACCAGGGACTTCAGGCCTAACTTCTGGAAGTGGGGGGCTGTTGGAGTGGGGAGACGGGGACAGGGAGGGGGGGCTTGGGAGCTTTGGAAGAAAGGCAGAGCTGTGGAGCCTTGGGGTGCTTCCATCCATAGGGCTGGTGGCTAGCGAGCTGGCTGTTACACCAGGCCTCATGTCCACGGACTCCTGGGACCAGACACACGTGGTGGGTGGCTTCAGCCCGTCACAGACACTTGACAGGGTGAGTCTTAGGCTGGCTCGGGCCTCGTGGTTGCCCCAGGAGGGCAGGGAAGGTTCTTGGTCCTCGTTTCCAGAGCTGGGTTCTGCTGTGACAAGGGCCGGGAGCTCCTGGCCCAGAGCATCCAGTTCCTCAACAGATGAGGGTCTGTGGAGGGGGCCGGCCAGCTCAGCGAGGATGGGATCCTCACATGACATCTTGGCTCGGGAGCTGGTGGTAGATTCCATGGAGGAGCAGGTAGAGGGGGTACAGACGCCCGGATCCAGGCCTGGTTCAGATGTGGGTGTTGAAGGCTTCCTGTCTGTGGGCAGCACTGAGGAGGAAGGGACACAGGGTGCCAGGCCTGTAAGGTGGGGGGCTGTAAAGGAAGCAGGTGGCTCACTCCAACCCTGTCACTGAGTGGACAGGCTCTGCCCAGGGAGGAATTCACAGTATAAACAGACTCCCCCCGGCCCCCCTCCCAGCTCAGCTGGAACACACAGGGCTAGTCATCTGTAACTTGAGGTACTCACTCAGTGGGCACAGGGGCTCCAGGGGCTCCTCAGCCTTTCCCCCCAAAAGGACCTGCAAGGACAGCTCTGAGGACAAGGCCTCTTGGTTCTCAGCCCTGGGCCCTGGGGGAGATGACCCCAATACTCACATTGGTCCCGTCTGGGGAGGTGTAGCCAGTACCTGCTCTCGGGGGCTCTGCTCGGGGCTGGCTTCCCCGGTGGCGAAGCTTGACCTCCGGAGATTTCACCAGGTGCAGAGGCAGCAGGGGTGAGAAGGTATGGGTGAACCTGGGGTGGGACAGTGGCACTGCCATTCTGCCTGTGGGTATCTGACGGACCCAGGCCCATCAGGGTGAAGGACAGCGAGGCAGGGGTGAGGTAACCAGCATCTACCTGGATGCCTTCTGCAGGCGTGACAGAAACTGTGTGGAGATGCTCAGCCGGGGGTTGAAGAAGAAGTCCTCAGCCTCTGAGACCTTCACGTCCTCCAGGGACCCTTGAAAGAGCTCTGGGGGACAGTGTTGTGGAGTCCTCAGAGCCCTCCCAGACAAGAAGGCCTGCGCAGCGAGACCCACAGCAGCAGGTAGGTCCCCAGAACTCCCACCAGCAGGCACTGCACACCTGACCTCAGGAGTGAAGGGACCAGGGGGAGGAGGAGCAAGCAGAACTGTCCTTAAGAGAAGTGTAGCGTGGCTCATGCCTGTAATCCCAGCTACTCAAGAGGCTGAGATCTGAGGATCACAGTTCAAAGCCAAAACAGGCAGAAAAAGTCCAAGAAACTCGTATCTCCATTAACTACCCCAAAAAGCTGGAAATGGAGCTCAAAGTGGTAGAGCACCACCCTTGAGCAAAAAGAGTGCTCAGGGACAGCACCTAGGTCCTGAGTTCAAGCCCCAGAACCAGCACAAAAAACAAACAAAAAAAACCTACTCTGGGCCCCACGCTGCTTCCCAGACAACCTAGGAAGGTTCAGTATGGTACAGGGCCAGGCCCTACCTTCAGAGGGGGCATCGGTAAGCGTCTCAAAGTGGTGACGGAGGAACTTCTCCTGCTCAGGAGTCTGGGGAACGGAGCTATTGGCTGGGCCTGGCCCCTCAGGCCGGGGCGGTTCTTCTGCCATACCCAGGCATCCTGGAGAGAGGCAGGAGAAGGGTGGGGAGACAGAAGCTTTCAACATGGTGAGTCATGGAGGATGCCACTCGACCATGGAGAAAGCTGGATATACCTGTCACACGCCCTGATGCCACCTGACAGAGAAGGCCAACTTTCTAGGCCAGGAAACTGGGATTTAGGGCCGATGGGGGTCTTAGCCCCATTAGGTTTGTTTGTTTGTTTTTGGTCGTAGGACTTGAACTCTGGGCCTGGGCGCTGTCTCTCAGCTCTTCAGCTAAAGGCAAGCCTTCTATCACTTGAGCCACAGCATTACTAGCATTACTTCCAGTTTTCTAGTGGTTTACTGGACATAAGAGTCTCACAGACTTTGTTGCCTGGGCTGGCTTTGAACCATGATCCTCAGATCTCAGCCTCCTGAGTAGCTAGGATTACAGGCGTGAGCCACCAGTGCCTGGCTCCCTTAGTTATTTTATACACACACATACACACATATTCCTACAATTTTTGGGGGTTGGCAATGTGGCTTAGTGGGTAAAGTGCTTGCCTAGCTCTCTGAGGCCCTGGGTTTGATTCCTCAGTACCACATAAACAAAAATAAATAAAACTATACAATTTTTTTTGTGTGTGGGTCATGGGGCTTGAACCCAGGGCCTGAGCAGTGTGCCTGTTCCAGTTTTCTGGTGGTTAACTGGATATAAAAAAAAAATCTCATGGACTTTCCTGCCCAGCCAGCTTCAAATGGTGATCCTCACATCTCAGCCTCCTGGGTAGCTAGGATAATAGGTGTGAGCCTCTGGTCCCCACTCAGTCATTGACTATGTGACCACATTCAGCTGGGCTCATACATGTCCTCCTCTGTGTCTGGCTTACCTGGCTCGTGGGGAATGGTCATGGTGAGCCGAGAGTCCAGGTCAGGCCGTGGAGCAGAGAAATGAGGGGCAGCAAAGGGGCGGTCTAAGTCAGCTTCCCCTGAGTTGCAAAGAACAGAGCTGTGGTGAGTAGCCCACCACTTGGAGCCCTTAATGGGTGGGTCCGAGCATATGGTTTGCAAGGATTGTGCACGAAGGGCCCATCCCAGGGTGCCTGCCCCACTCACCCTCAGGTGGGCTCTGGTTCTTCAAGCTGACGGAGGACGCCTTGAGGTAGGCCTCAGCCTGTGGCTCTCCAGGCCCCGCCCTGGCCTCCTTCTCATAGTACTGGCTGCAATGCCAGTAGAGCTGGGGTTATTCTAGTTAACAAGCAGCCTCCTGCCCAGAATCCCTGGCTCCTCCAAATGCTCCCCCTCTGTATGGCTCTCCCCGTTGAGGACCATGGAAACAGGCTGCAGCTGAGGCTGGGGGTCCTCTGTGCGCATGCACACAGGCCTCTGGGGAAGCAGAGGCAGCTCTTCCAGCAGTAGCCATGACACTCACCTGGCGGTCCCTGTGACTGTTACTTCTCTATCGAGGGAGTAGACAAGGAGCTTGCTGGCCTCAGATGACTCTCTCTGCAGGGACAGAAAGGAGGGATGCCCATGGCCATCCTCCTGGGGACTCTCTGCCTAGAGGGTAAAGAGCAGAACCACTCTTTAGGCCCTCACAGGCCAATGGCTGTGACAATGATGGGGGTGGAGCAGGAATGATGGCACACAGCGCTGGCTGTGGGAACAAAGACAGGACCCATGCCCTGGCCTATAGTCAGCCTGCACTGTGGTCTCTGTGGAGATAAATCATGAGGCAAAATGAAGCATATAACTTGTGCAGGGGTTGGAGGCATGGCTCAGTTGGTAGAGCACCAGCCATTGAGAGAAAGCGCCAAGTACTGAGTTTGAGTCCATAAAAAAAAAAAAAAAGTAATGAGTGTAGGGAAGGAAGGGGGGAAATGGGGGAGAATGAAGGAAAGGGTAATATTGACCAAAAAGTATTGTACTCATAACCTGACCTATAGAACTATAACACCTTTGTACACCACTTTATAATAACAACTTTTAAAAGTGAAAAAAAAAGTCATGAGACAGAGATCATTATGCCATTTTTTTGGAAAAGGAAGGTCCAGAGAGGCAAATCTCTCATTTCAGGACACACAGCCTTAGGAGAATTAAGCCAGGGATCTTTCTATTCAAAAGTTCCCCCTGGCCAGGTGCTGGTAGCTCACACTTGTAATCCTACCTACTCAGGAGGCTGCCATCTGAGGATCACAGATCAAAGCCAGGCTGGGAAGGAAAGTTCATTAAACACTAAAAAAGCGGGAAGTGGGGAAGCGACTCAACTGAGAGAGCTCTAGCTTTGAGCACAAAAGCTCAGGGGTAGTACACACACACACACACACACACACACATACACACGGACAAAGACACAGACACACAGACACACAGACACACAGACACACACACACACACACACACACACACACGTTCCCTCTGACTCTGGGATTAAGCTCTTAAATCCTTTGTCATCCACTTGCAGATTCCTTGTTTGGCCTGGGAGGTCACCATACCCTGAAGCCCTATTTCAGAGTGAGAATGTTGAGGTCCCCTTGTCCTGGGTGGGCAGATGCAATGGGGGTGGGGTGGCAGGCCAGGCTGTGTGTGTAGGACATACTTCACCCAGCAGATCCTCCAGGTTCTGCGGTTCCACTGTGTCCACAACTGAGTCCTCCAGATGCTCAGGTTTCATGGGTGTAAAGTAGCAATCCAGGGCCCGAGCATCCAGGATGGTCTTCAGAGGCTCCTGGTCAGCCCGCTCTGCCCAGCGGCCATGTGGCTGGTAGCTGCTGCGCTTGGCATGGAAGGCAGGGCCATCTGTCACGTCATCGTCCCCTAGCTTGAGGGACAGGGGACGGTCAGGCAGTCAGCAACTCCAATGACCGAGTCTCTCCAGAAACTCCTCCCCCTTCTCTCTTTTCTTGGAGCTTGAATGCAGGGCATGGACACTGTTCTGAGCTTTTCTGTTCAAGGGTAGTGCTCTACCACTTGAACCCTAGCCCCCCTTCCAGCTTTTTGGTAGTTAACTGCAGATAAGAATCTCATGGACAGACAGGCGCTGGTGGCTCACGCCTGTAATCCTAGCTGCTCTAAGCAGCTAGTCTGTGAGGCCTTTTCTTCTTAACTTACATTGTCATTGGCACTCCCTCTTTCCTTCCTGTCTTCCTCTACAGCAGGTTTCAACTCCTAACACATGACATGATTTCGCTCATTTATTCACCATGGCTACTGTCCGACTCCCACACTAGCAAATGAGCCTGTCACGGGCTCATTGCTGTAACCCCAATGTCTAGAACAGCCCCTGGCATGGGGTGTAGGGGATTGTGAATGAAGGGTTGTCTGACCTGACCCTGAATAATGGGGTTCTTCAGGGAGAGAAAACATCTGGAAAGGGAAAAGGGCTCCCCAAAGGAAGAAGAGTGTAGGCAGGACCCCTCCTTTGCCAACCTACTGTCTTGGAAGACTTACCAACCGCTTTGCCCAGAGCGGCAGCTTGCCATTGGTCAGCAGGCACTGGGGATCTGAGGAGACATATAGGATCCGTGACAAAGGAACACCTGAGAGATGCATGGGCTGAACAAATGAACATTTTCCTAGGTGACTCACAACACAGGAACCTATACATTGAAAGTTCAGCTGGGCCGGGCACCGGTGGCTCACGCCTGTAATCCTAGCTACTCAGGAGGCTGAAAGCTAAGGATCATGATTCAAAGCCAGCCTGAAGCCAGGCGCTGGTGGCTCATGCCTGTAATCCTAGCTACTCAGGAGGCTGAGATCTGAAGATCACGGTTCAAAGCCAGCCCGGGCAGGAGAGACCGTGAGACTCCTATCTCCAATAAACCACCAGAAAACCGGAAGTGGCGCTGTAGCTCAAGTGGTAGAGCGCTCGCCTTGAGCTGAAGAGCTGAGGGACAGCGCCTAGGCCCAGAGTTCAAGCCCCACAACCCACCAAAAAACAAAACAAAACAAAAAACAAAGCCAGCCTGAGCAGGAAAGTCCATGAGACTCTTATCTCCAATAAACTGCTCAGCAAACCAGAAGTGGCGCTGTGACTCAAGTGGTAGAACGCTTCTCTTGAGCTGAAGAGCTGAGGGACAGCACCCAGTCACAGAGTTCAAGCCCCACGACTGACAACAACAACAAAAAAATTCAGCTAGGGTCTGGGAATGTGGCTTAGTGGTAGAGTGCTTATCTAGCATGCATGAAGCCCTGAGTTCGATTCCTCAGTACCACATAAACAGAAAGAGCCAGAAATGGTGCTATGGCTAGAGTGGTAGAGAGCTAGCCTTGAACAAAAAAAGCCCAGAGACAGTGGCCAGGCCCTGAGTTCAAGCCTCAGAACTAGCAAAAAAAAAAAAAAGCTAAGTTGGCCATTGGTGGTTCACACCTGTCATCCTAGCTACTCAAGAGGCTGAGACCTGAGGATCAGGGTTCAAAGCCAGCCTGGGCAGGAAGGTCCATGAGATTCTAATCTCCAATGAACTGCCAGAAAACCAGAAGTGGCACTTTAGCTCAAGTGGTAGAGCACTAGCCTTAAATGAAAAAGCTCAAGGACAGCGCCCAGGCTCTGAGTTCAAGTCCCAGGACCAGCACACATACACAAAAAGGAATTCACTTAAAAAGCTCTTGCACTACTTGCCAGTGGCCTCTTTTGCCTGAGCAACAGTCTGTTATCTTCTGGGAAAAACACCCATTGTTGCATTAACTTCCCATGACCTCCCTGACCACCATGTATCCCCACCTTTGGCTGGGGCTGACAAAAGCCATGATTCACACCCAGAACTTGGGGTGAGTGTTTAGGAAAGAAGACTCACTTCTCCTGAGCTCAGTAAACCTTTCATTTGCTTTATAAATCTGCAGGGCATCTTTCCCCCCAGTAAAGGGAAAATCTGCAGAGAATAAAGCCAGCATGATGAAAAGCAGAACCAAAAGATGGAGAAAGATAGTTTCCTTTACCTTGTGTGTATTGGTTGTTTTTGAGATGGATCTTACTCTATACCCAAGTCAGCCTGGACTGGGATCCTCCCACTTGTTCTCCCTACCATGCTGGAAGTGACCGGGCCTCAGGATTGGGCTTCCCCCAAAGATGGGACAGAGGCATATACTACTACTATACCCAATCACTGTTTGAGATAGAAAATGTCAAGGCTAGCACTCTACCACTTGAGCCACAGCACCAATTCCGGTTTTCTGGTGATTTATTGGAGATAAGAAGTCTCACAGACTTTCATGCCTGGGCTGGGTTTGAAGTGTGATCCTTAGATCTCAGCCTCCTAAGTAGCTAGGATGACAGGCTTCAGCTCTGGCACCCAACCAAATAGCTTCCTTTTTTATTTTTTAATTTTTTTTGTCAGTTGTGGGGCCTGAACTCTGAGCCTGGGCACTGTCCCTCAGCTCTTCAGCTCAAGGCTAGTGTTCTACCACTGAGCCACAGCACCACTTCCGGCTTTTTTCTCAAATAGCTTCCTTTTAATATGGACTCAGCCATGCCTAAAGCCAATATTCTTTTTTGGTCGGTTGTGGGGCTTGAATTCAGGGCTTGGGCACTATCCCTCAGCAATTCAGCTCAAGGAGAGCGCTCTACTGCTTGAGCCACAGCGCCACTTCCGGTTTTCTAGTGGTTTATTGGAGATCAGAGTCTCTCAGACTTTCCTGCCTGGCTGGCTTTGAACCGTGACCCTCAGATCTCAGCCTCCTGAGTAGCTAGGATTACAGGCATGAGCCACTGGTGCCTGGCAAAGCCAATCTTCTTGAGTATTCAGTAACATCAACCAAAAAAAATTTCTCCATCCAGTTTAAGCCAATGAAGAGTATGATTATCATTACACTGAAAGAGCTGGCTGACATGATGAGCTGAAAACTGAGGTAGTAGGCATGATCCAGCCATGACTCTCCATGCTGACACTTCAAAACCATCTAGGGACCCTTACCTGGGCCCCCTTCCAGACCTGAATCCAAACTATCCTTGGATGGGGTCTTCACCAGCTCTTCTGGCTCACACTCCTCCTCTGTCTCATCCTCTGTCTGCTCTCCAGGGCTGAGGGATCGGATCTCGCTGGGCATGGATGTGTAGGTCTCCTGCCTAACCCCAAGATGGATGACAGAAAGGAAATACAGATAAGTGGGGGGGAGGGGGAGAAGCGGGGAGGACTTGCCTAGAGCCGGGCCCTGTGCCAAGCTCCAAAGGGACAGTCTTGGCCACTCAGATGGAGGGGGAGGCCTCTCACTTGACCTTCTCCACATCTAGAAAATGAGACACAGCAAGGGTGATAAAGGCCAACAGTAAGCCGTTCTTCAAGGGCACAGTGATGGGACAGGGGGCAGAGCAGTCAGTCAAATCCCCCTTGGGTAGAGGAAAAAAGCTTTGGGGACTATGGGAGATTGAGACATGTTGAGTAAGATGGCCCGGTGCTCAGAGCCTGCTCAGAGCCCCACGGAGAGTCACGGGAGCTTTGTTTACAAAATCTGCCTATAGGGCTGGGAAGGTGGCTCAGTGGTAGAGCGCTTGCCTTGCATGCATCAGGCCCTGGGTTCCATTCCTCAGCACCACATAAGCAGAAAAAGTCCACAAAGTGGCGCCATGGCTCAAGTGGTAGAGCGCTAGCCTTGAGCTGAAGAGCTGAGGGACAGCACCCAGGCCCAGAGTCAGGCCCCACGACCGACCAAAAAAAAAAAAAAAAAATGTGCCTGTGCAGCCAGGCAGCAGATGCACTTGTACCCCTGGGGAATGGGTGGCTGCCAGGACCTTGGGTGGTCACCCCACGTCCTGTCCTTGGGCTGCTGCTGCTGTCGTCGCTGCTCCTGGTGGTTGATCTCCAGCAGGTGCTGCTTCATGCAGGTGGTGATCTCTGGGCCCAGGTGCCAGATGAACACGCAGCTGCAGGGGCCATAAGGAGAAGAAACGTAGCAATCACCACCATGCCTATGTCTAGGGCCACCTAGCTGCCACGCCCAAGACCCCATCTCTAGACCCTCTAGAGCTGAATGCAAGGGCTTTGGGCTTAGATCTACTCCCTGGCTGACAGGCCAGTCAGCCCAGCGTCTGTTCTGGAGTCTTGAGACTTGAGGAACAGGGCTTTGAGGGAAGAGTATGGGAAATTAAAGGGAAGGGCAAAGCACCCAGCATGGGCTACCAGAATTTTACATAATGCTAGGTGCCGGTGGCTCACACCTGTAATCCTAGCTGAGATCTAATAGTGGTTCAAAGTCAGCCTGGGCAAGAAAATCCATGAGACTCTTATCTCCAATGAGCCACCAGGAACCCTGAAGTGGAGCTGTGGCTCAAATGGTAGAAGGCCAGCCTCGAGCAAAAAAGCCCAGGCACAGGACCCAGGCCCTAACCAACCAGAAAAAGAATTTTACATGAATCATGGAAGGCACTGGTGGCTCATGCCTATAATCCTAATTAATCAGGAGGCTGCAGTCTGTGGATTGTGCTCCAAAGCCAGTCTGTGAGACTCATCTCCAATAAACTATCCCCCAAAAAAGCCAGAAATGGAGGTGTGGCTCAAATGGCAGAACACTAGACTTGAGCAAAAAAACTCAGGACAGTGCCCAGGTCCTGAGTTCAAGCCCCAGGACTGGCACCAAAATAAAAAAAGAAGTTACATAAATCATCTTTCTCAGGGCTTATAAAGCTTATCTGAGTTGCCAAGATAGAGACAGTGTGATCTCTTTTTCAGCTAAGTAAGGCTCAGAGAAGAGAAACAAAATAAATGTCAGGTGTGAGATGGAACTCAGGCGGGCATGCCACCTAAGTGATCCCTAGGCAAACTGGGTATGAGTTGGTAAAGTGCATTCCACTCACAGGCACGCTGTAAGCACAGTGTGCTGAGCCCCATACCCACAGAGAAGCCCAGCCAATGTGGCCCTCCCTTAACCCCTGGCTGTCCCACCTGTCTCCGGATACAGTGATCAAGTGACGACAGTCATAGGTGAACTTCATGCCTGTGATGATTTCTGCAAGCAAAGCAGAGAAGAAGCCACTCTTGCCTCTGAGTCAGAGAGATGCTGGGCACCCGGGAGGTCATGCCAGGGCCTGGCAGTGAGGCACACCTACCTGAATGGCCAAACATCTTGGCGACACACTCGCCCGAGTAAAAGTCTATTACCGAGATGCTCTTGTCTGAGCAGCTTGTGGCCAGGAAAGTGCCTGATGGATCCACCTGGACCTGAGGAAGAATGCACATACCACTCAAGCTGCCTACGCCACCCGACTTCCAAGCCGTGGGCCAAGCAGCCCAGCCCTCCTAACAACCTTGCTCCCCTATTTTTGTGCTGGCCCTGGGCTTGACCTCAGGGCTGGAGTGCTGTCCTATAGCTTTTTTGCTCAAGGGTAGCACTCTACTACTTGAGCCACAGCTCTATTTCTGGCTTTTGTGAGGTAGTTTATTGGAGAGAAGACTCATAGACTTTTTCCTTTTGTCTTTTTGTCAGTCGTGGGGCTTGAACTCGGCCTGGGCGCTGTCCCTGTGCTCTTCAGCTCAAGGTGAGCTCTCTACCGCTTGAGCTACAGCAACACTTCCAGTTTTCTGGTGGTTTATTGGAGATAAGAGTCTCACGGACTTTCTTTCCTGGGCTGGCTTTGAACCGTGATTCTCAGATCTCAGCCTCCTGAATAGCTAGGATTACAGGCGTGAGCCACCGACACCCGACTCTCATAGACTTTTCTGCCCAGGTTGGCTTTGAAAGTCAATCCTCAGATCTCAGCCTCCTCAGTAGCTTGGATTACAGGTATGAGCCACCAGCGCCCTGTACAACTCCTTTTATGATAGATATTTGGCAATGGTAATGGGTCCTTAATCACACACACATACATACACACATACACACACACACAAACACACACACACACAAACACACACACACACAAACACACACACACACACACACACACACACAACCAGCAGAACATGAACTTCAGCTTCCATTTTTCATATGAAGAAATTTACACCCCTATTTTTCATGTGAAAAAATTTACAACCAGCACCTCAGGCCAAGGGCTAAACATGGAATGTGAACAAACGTTATCTCTCCACAAAGCCATCCCTGGACAAGCCGGGCGCTGGTGGCTCACGCCTGTAATCCTAGCTACTCAGGAGGCTGAGATCTGAGGATCGCGGTTCAAAGCCAGCCCGGGCAGGAGAGACCGTGAGACTCCTATCTCCAATAAAACCACCAGAAAACCGGAAGTGGCGCTGTAGCTCAAGTGGTAGAGCGCTCGCCTTGAGCTGAAGAGCTGAGGGACAGCGCCCAGGCCCAGAGTTCAAGCCCCATGACCGACAAAACAAAAACAAAGCCATCCCTGGACAGAAGCCAAAAGCAGGAAGGAGTTAGGATGGAGCCTACACAAGGGCACATAGCCTAAGGCTGAGCTGGAGCCTGAACTCAGAACAACTCTCGGGGCCAGAAGCGCTGACAAGTCCTGACCTTGTGCTGTGTCTGGTGTGGGGAAGTCAGAGACTCGACCTGGCTTCTCTGTGCTCGCCTCAGACCCTGCTGCCCCGGAGCTGGAGCTCAGGTGTGAGTGGGTGCAGACTGGTCAGGGCGAGGACAGGAGGGCCCTGTGTCTGGGTGTCTATGTGGGGCTCCACCCACCTTCAGCAGGGATCCTTCATCACCCTGGGAGCCCTTGTAGCACTTCTTCTGCTTGCCATTCACTGTGTTGTAGACCCTGGGAGAAGAGCAGGGGAACAGTGTAGGGTTTAGAGGGTCCTCGCACCCTGACCCACTTCCCCTGGCTCCTGTCACCCTCTTTTTTTTTTAATCAGTCATGGGTCTTGAACTCAGGGCCTGGGTAGTGTCCCAGAGCTCTTGCTCAAAGCTAGTGCTCTACCACTTTGAGCCACAGCACCACTTCTTGTTTTCTGGTGGTTCATTGGAGAAAAGAGTCTCAGGCTTTCCTGCCCCGCCTGGTTTTGAACTGTGAGCCTCAGATCTCAGCCTCCTGAGTACCCAGGATGACTGGTGTGAGCCACGGGTGGCTGGTTCTGCCATTTTCTTTTCCCTTCTCTTGTCTCCAATGTATGCCTGAACAGAAGCCCTGTCCTGAGTGAGGTGATAAAGAGGTTGTGCATGGAGCATTCATTGATCTAGTGTCCCTCTCCCCTCCCTTGCTCCCCAGTAAGCTTAGTGCTGAGGTCCCTTCCTCTAGGAAGTGAGTGATCCCAGACAGGGTCAGAGGTCTCTCTAGGGTCTCCATGGCCCCTAGAACTGGCCTCTTCCCCTCCCTGCCCACTCTGTATTGTCACTGACTGGTGAGGTGGTACTGCCCTCCTCCTCTGCACTGAGCTTCATGAAGGAGGACCCCGGCTGCCCCTGCCACTGTGGTGACCCCAGTACTCTACAGCCCAGATAGGCCCTGGGGATGGATGGCAGGTGGATGAGTCTGTGACCTTCTAGGCTCCCACATAGGATCCCAAGAGAGGCAGGAAGAAATCTTCTGTGACTTGGTGGCTAAGCCTGGGGAAACCTAACTTCTGAGAAGCACTGCTGGATCCCTACCCACCCCCAGCACCCCTCTGAATCCCTTTGCCCCAGTTTCTCAGGGATCACAGAAGCAGGGGAGGAAAGCAGAGAGATAGGGAGAAGGCCAGACTTCAGGGACAGATCCCAGACAGACCTGTCTGCAAACCTGCCGGGGCCAGGTGAACAAGGGTACAGCGCAGCCCCTCACCTCACATTACGGTCCTGGCAGGCCACGGCCACGTACTTCTGTGTGATGTCAATATCCATGTCGTACAAGGTGGTTTTCTCTGCCACGTGGTGGGTACGGATGAAATGCAGTCCATCCGAGGCCTGGCAGGGCAGAGCAGACCTTCAGAGGACTTCCCCAAGAAACTCCAGACCCCCGGCCCTCAAGGAGACCTCACCCTACCCGCTGGGCGCTGCGGAAGTAGATGCTCTTGTCCGCCCCACAGCTGATCATCTGGATGTCTCTCGTGCCTGTGAGAAAAGGGCTGTGGGTCAGACAGGCTACGCTGTGTGGGTGAGGTAGGAAAGGGGGGATTCCAGCCAGGTGATACACTGCAGGGCCACCTGTCAACCTTGCCAGGATGAGAAAGCCTTCGTGGAGGTGGTGAGATGGGAGGGTCTGTGGGAGTGGGGGACAGGAGCTGTGTGAGAGGGACACAAATGGAGCGATAGGCCAGGCAGGTCTGCTAAACAAGCAACACAGGGCCAGGCACACAGGTGGGACACAGCGAGACACTGTCTTCAATGTGGAGTTCAGGGGTGAGCGGCTCGAGCAGCAGAAGGGAGGTGAGAATAACAGGGACCAGCAGGGACCATCTAGAACAATCAAGACAGCTGGTGGCTCACACCTATCATCCTACCTATTCAGGAGGCGGAGATCTGAGGATCACAGTGCCAAGCTAGCCTGGGTAGAAAAATCCCTGTGAGACTTTTATCTCTAATGAACCACTCAAAAACCAGTAGACTGTGGCTCAAAGCAGAAGAGTGCTAGCCTTGAGCAGAAGAGCTCAGAGACTGTGCCCAGGCCCTCAATTCAAGACTCATAACTGCAGGAAAAAAAAAAAAAGGTAAGGGACAGCACCTAGACCCTGAGTTCAAGCCCTAGTACCACAGCGTGCATGTGTGCGCGCGCGTGCGTGCGCACACACACAACACACACACACACACACAAAATGTTAGATGTGCCAATAGTGAAGCTTGAACTCTGAGCCTGGAGCTCTCACCTATAGCTGGTGCTCTGCCGTTTGAGTCACAGCTCTACTGTGGCTTTTTGCTAGTTAACTGGAGATAGAGTCTCAGATTTATCTACCTGGACTGGCTTCAAACCTTGAGTCTCAGATCCCAGCCTCCTGGTTATAGATTATAGGCATGAGCTACCTACCAGTGCCCAGCTCCTATTCACTTTGTAAGTAAAATCTATGGCCATTAATTTTCATAAACAAAACACGAAAACATCCAGTCTTTGGATCCAGCTGAGTCTGAATGCCAAGCTTAGCTGTCCCTTCCAGTTAAGGTTCAGGGAATTCTTTTTTTTTTAGCTTTAATGTTATTGTCAAGGTGATATACAGAGGAGTTACAGTTACATCAGTAAGGTAGTGAGCATATTTCTTGTCTAACTTGTTACCTCCTCCTTCATTTTTCTCCCTTTCCCTCACCCAATTCCCCTCCCCCCCCTTTTTTTTGTGCTGGTCTTGGGGCTTAAACTCAGGATATGGATATACTATCCTTGAGCTTTTCTTGCTCAAGGCCAGCAGTCTACCATTGAACCACAGCTCCACTGATGGCTTTTTGCTGGTTAACAGGAGATATAGTTTCATGGGCTTTTCTGCTGGGATTGGCTTTCAATTGCGATCCTTAGATCATAGCCTTCTGAGTAGCTGGGGCTATAGGCATGAGCCACTGTGCCTGGCTTCTTGTTGTTTCTTACAAGAGAATCACTGAACAAAACGCAGGGCAGGAGAAGGAAGGCACTCACCAGCAAACTTAATGGCTGTGATGGAGGAGGAGTGGTCGTCCAGGGTCTGCTCCAGGTTGTAGTTCTTCTCCACGTTCAGCACGTGGATCAGTCGGTCGCGACTAGCCGAGGCCAGCAAGGTTAGTCCTGTGAGTGGAGAGAAGCAACCTGCTTCCGAATGGAGGCCTGGCTGCCGTGGCGCCTCAAAGCAGCAGCATGACTTTGCTCTCCATTCTTGCAGAAGCAGGGCTTTGCTTCCAGAGTTGGGGCCAAGGGAAATTCATCCACATAACTGGCTTATGTTATGCAAAAAGCCAAAGCCAAGTCAAGACTGTGGAAATGTTCAGAATAAGGGCAAATAAATAAATAAATAAAAGCCAAGAAAACTCAAATGTGAGCCTGAATTAGAAAAACATGGTGCTTTAAGGGACAGTATTGGGACAACTAGTAAAATGTGAATAAGGATTATGGGATAGAGGCAGCCCAATATGAAGGTGAAATCCAGTGTGTGTGTATGTGTGTGTGTATGTGTATGTCCTGGGGCTTCAACTCAGGAACTGGATGGTGTCCCTGAGTTTGTGTGTTCAAAGTTAGCACGCTACCAGTTTGAGCCAAAGCTCCACTTCTGGTTTTCTGGTAATTAACTAGAGATAAGAGTCTGACTGAGGGCTGGGAAGGTGGCTCAGTGGCAGAGCGCTTGCCTTGCATGCCTGAGGCCCTGGGTTCGATTCCTCAGCACCACATAAGCAAAAAGAAAAAAGCCGGAAGTGGCGCTGTGGATCAAGTGGTAGAGCGCTAGTCTTGAGCTGAAGAGCTGAGGGACAGCACCCAGGCCCAGAGTTCAGGCCCCACGACTGGACCCAAAAACAAAAAACAAAAAACAACAACAACAAAAAAGAGTCTGACTGATGCCAGACACTAGTGGCTCACCCCTATAAAATCCTAGTCACGGTGGGCGCTGCTGGCTCACGCCTGTCATCCTAGCTATGCAGGAGGCTGAGATCTGAGGATCGCGGTTCAAAGCCAGCCCAGGCAGGAAAGTCCGTGAGACTCTTATCTCCAATAAATCACCAGAAAACCAGAAGTGGTGCTGTAGCTCAAGGGGTAGAGCACTAGCCTTGAGCTGAAGAGTGCAGGGATTTTGCCCAGGCCCAGAGTTCAAGCCCACGACCGACTAAAAAAAAAAAAAAAAAAAAAAAAAAATCCTAGTCACTACTCAAGAGACTGAGATCTGAGGATCATGAGACTTTTTTTTTGGTCCAGTCGTGGGGCCTGAACTCTGGGCCTGGGCACTGTCCCTCAGCTCTTCAGCTCAAGGCTAGTGCTCTACCACTTGAGCCACAGCACCACTTCCGGCTTTTTTTTTTTCTCTTTTTGCTTATGTGGTGCTGAGGAATCGAACTCAGGGCCTCAGGCATGCAAGGCAAGCGCTCTACCACTGAGCCACCTTCCCAGCCCGATCATGAGACTCTTATCTCCAATTAATCATAAAAAAAAGCCAGAAGTGTTTCTGTAGCTCAAGTGGTAGAGTGCTAGCCTTGAGGAAAAGGAGCTGAGAGAGAGTACCCAGGCCCAGAGTTCAAGGCTAAGGAATGGCAAAAAAAAAACAAAAAACAGAAAAAAGTCTCACAGACTTTCCTGCCTGAGCTCTGCTTCAGACCATAATCCTTAAGTAGCTAGGATTCTCAAGTAGCTAGGACTAAAGTGTGAGCTACCAGCACTTGGCTCTGAGGTGTGACTCAAGTAATAGAGTGCTTAATTAGCAAGTACGAGGTCCCCAGTACCATAAAAAAAAAAAGAGGGCCGGGCCCTCTCTAACTACTCAGGAGGCTGAGATCTGAGGATTACAGTTCAAAGTCAGCCCAGGCAGGAAAGTCCATGAGATTCTTATCTCCAATTAACCACTTGAAAACCAGAAGTGGTGCTGTGGCTCAAGCAATAGAGTGCTAGCCTTGAGCTGAAGAGCTCAGGGACAGCGCCCAGGGCCAGAGTTCAATCCCCAGAACCAAAAAAAAAAAAAAAAGAGGGCTGGGAATGTGGCTCAGTGGTAGAGTGCTTGCCTTGCATGCATGAAGCCCCAGGTTCAATTCCTCAGTATCACATAAACAGAAAAAGCTGGAAGTGGTGCTGTGACTCAAGTGATAGAGTGCTGGTCTTGAGCTGAAGAGCTGAGGGACAGCGCCTGGCCCTGAGTTCAAGTCTCAGGACTGGCGGAAAAAAAAGAGCCAGATGCTGGGTGAAGATAGGCACATATTGATCTATAATAATCTTGCAGGGCTGGGAAGGTGGCTCAGTGGTAGAGCGCTTGCCTTGCATGCCTGAGGCCCTGGGTTCGATTCCTCAGCACCACATAAGCAAAAAGAAAAAAGCCGGAAGTGGCACTGTGGCTCAAGTGGTAGAGCGCTAGCCTTGAGCTGAAGAGCTGAGGGACAGTCCCCAGGCCCAGAGCTCAGGCCCCACGACCAGACCCCCCCCCAAAAAAAAAATAATAATCTTGCAATTACTCTGATAGCCTCAAATTTGCACAAACTATTGTCTAACCTTCACACTCTTCTCCAGGAGAGGCTGGCCTCATTTGGGCTCTTGTTCTCTCCTCATGTCCACTCACTCCTCAGTGTGGGCCTTGTTGGGGTTGGAGGTCAACATGATCTACCTGCGCAAAGCCCTGCCTCCTGCACGTGTCTTGTTTGTGAGGTTCCAGGCAGCCCAGGGCTCCTGGACGGCATTCCCAGTCCCTCAGGTTACCCCTGTCCGTGCTTCTGCCCAGTCCCAGACTTACCTGTCTCAGGCTTGGAGTACTCCAGGCACAGCACCTCAGCATCATGGGCCTCCACCTTGACCAGCTCATCCATGAAATGCAGCTCATGGATCCTGGGGAACAGACACACTGTCCACTGTACTGTGCCCCTACCTCCTCCCCTGCACCCACCTGCCGGGTATCCTGCTAGAAAAGGCCAGGATGGGCCGGGTGCCAGTGTCATCCTAGCAGAAGGCTGAGATCTGAGGATCATGGTTGAAAGCCAGCCCAAGCAGGAAAGTCCACGAGACTCTATTTTTTTTTTCTTTTTGTCCGTCACAGGGGTTGAACTCTGGGCCTGGGCGCTATCCCTCAGCTCTTCAGCTCAAGGTGAGCGCTCTATCACTTGAACCACAGTGCCACTTCTGGTTTTCTGATAGTTTACTGAAGAGAAGCAGCTCACGGACTTTCCTGCCTGGGCTGGCTTTGAACCATGATCCTCAGATCTCAACCTCCTGAGTAGCTAGGATTACAGGCATGAGCCACCAGCACCCAGCTTCCCTGAGACTTTTATGTCCAATCAACCACCAAAAAGCCTGAAGTAGAGCTATGGCTCAAGTGGTAGCATGCTAGCCTTGAGCACAAAAGCTCATGGGCAGTGCCCAGGGCCCGAGTTCAAGACTCAGGACTGGCACCAAAAAACAAAAAAAATAGTGACCCTCACTTGAGCCTTCCTATCTAGGAGTCCCTTCCCAGCTTAAGGCCCCCAGAGTAGCTGCCTACAGGATTGCTAACCAAGGTCATGTCAGTCATTCCCATGGCAGCTCCTCCCTGCGGCCTGAGGACCCCCAGGAGAGCCAGGAGGTGCACACTTGCCTCAGATTGCCACTTCGGTCACCTGAAGCCAAGTGCTGGCCATCAGGGCTGACTTGCATGACGCGCACGCCAGCTCTTACATCCACAGGAGTCCCGTTCTCGCTGCCCCGGTCAGGGAAGTGGGAGGTGTCCTGCAAGTGCTGGATATCGTTCTCCACATACACTACCTTCAGCAGAGTCTGTGGGAAGGAGACAGCGGGGGTTACTGCTCCACCGCACACAGAAGCACCACTGGCCACCCCATGGCCAGACACCCCTCTTCATCAGTAACACAACTCCAGCTTTGAGCCAGAAACTTCACCACTTGGAATAATAACTGTTTTCCACTCTACCTGACAGCAGGTAAACTCTGTACAATAAGGTGTCTGTGAGGGCCTGGCACTGGTGGCTCACGCCTGTAATCCTAGCTACTAAGAAGGCTGAGATCTGAGGATCGTGGTTCAAAGCCAGCCCAGGCAGGAAAGTCCGTGTGACCCTTATCTCCAATAAACCACTAGAAAACTGGAAGTGGCGCTGTGGCTCAAGTGGTAGAGAGCTCACCTTGAGCTGAAGAGCACAGGAACAGTGCCCAGGCACAGCGTTCAAGCCCCACGACCGACCAAAAAAAAAAAAAGAAAAGAAAAAAAGATGTCTGTGAGGGGCTGGGAAAGTGGCTCAGTGGTAGAGTGCTTGCCTTGCATGCATGAGGCCCTGGGTTTGATTTCTCAGCACCACATAAAGCCAGAAGTGGGGCTGAGGCTCAAGTGGTAGAGCGCTAGCCTTGAGCTGCAGAGCTGAGGGACAGCGCCCAGGCCCAGAGTTCAGGCCCCATGACTGACAAAAAAAAAAAAAGATGTCTGTGAGTAAACTCTGTGCAATAAGATGTAACAAGTGAGAACCCGTCCACTGCCTTCCTCTCATCTTGCTTTTGGAACATCTAATGCAATTACTGGAGCTTCAGCAACCATATTAGATCATGAGGATGAGAGCCACTCCCTCAAATAACAGGATAGAAAGATAGAAGGACTTTAGGTTTCTAGGGGCTTCCTGGAGAGCTGCCAAATAGTTTGAACTAGTTTCCTCCAGACTCCTTTTTCTTTTTTTGTCAGTTGTGGGGCCTGAACGCTGGGCCTGGACACTGTCCCTGAGGTTTTTTTTAGTGCTTTACAACTTGAGCCACATCTCCACTTTTCTCTTTTCAGTAGATCAATGGAGATGAGTCTGGCAAGGGGCTGGGAAGCAACCTGTTTCCTGTCAGCCAGTGCCAGGCTCTCAGCAGAAGCACACACAGAGGGCTGGCTGGACAGGGAAGGTCCCCTTGACTTCACCCATGGGGTATTCCCTATCAGGCCGTTCCCATTTGAGACTTGGGGAGCAACTTCATCTTTATTGCATGTGCTGACCTACATGGAGTGGCTGCATCCACACCCCACCCCCATCCCCAGACCCAGAGACCCAGAGCAGACAGACCATGGCAGCCCAGGAAAGAAGACCAAAGGAGAGACAGACACTGAGGAAGAACACTGCCCCAGTTCCTGGTTGTGGCCCCCTGACCAGGGAAGACCCATATCCAGGTTCCCCAAGACTCCTGTCTGCTTCTGTGTACTGGCCTAAATGAAGTCGGAGAGGTCGCCATGAAGCCACTCACGTTGCTGAAGATATTCCTCTGCCATTGAGAGCTGGAGCCGCCGCTGTTCATGTTCCAGAAGCGGATGGTGTTGTCCGAGGAACAAGTCAGAAAAGACCCGGATGGCAAACAAGCCCGCTGATCTTCAAATTCAGGATAAACCTACAGTTCCAAAGAACAAGGCCAAGGGTAGCTCCTCATGCCTCCTTCCAACCCCCCCCCCCCCCCATGATGGCGTGGCTGTGCTATACAGCTACATTTTGGTGACACAAAGCAAAATGAAGACAAATAGGCATGGTGCAAGGTGCAAGGCTTTCCACGTTAACTGTAACAGGCTCACGCCTGTCATCCTAGCTGCTCAGGAGGCTGAGATCTGAGGATCGCAGTTCAAAGCCAGCCTGGGTTGGAAAATCTGTAAGACTCGTATCTCCAGATAAACACCAAAAAAACAGAAGTAGAGCCATGGCTCAAATGGTAGAGCACTAACCTTGAGCAAAAGCAGCCCAGTGCCCAGGCCCTGAGTTCAAGCCCCACCAAAAAAGTAATTAAAAATAAAATAGCTGGGCGCTGGTGGCTCATGCCTGTAATCCTAGCTACTGAGGAGGCTGAGATCTGAGAATCATGGTTCAAAGCCAGCCCGGGCAGAAAAGTCCATGAGACTCTTATCTCCAATAAACCACCAGAAAACCGGAAGTGGTGCTGTGGCTCAAGCGGTAGAGTGCTCTCCTTGAGCTGAAGAGCGCAGGGTTAGCGCCCAAGCCCAGAGTTCAACTCCCACAACCGACAATAAATAAATAAACCAGTGGAAAGGAAGACATAAAATCCTCTCCCAGCGTCCATGTGCTACCTGTGGCTCAGGCCTGAGAGAGGAGCTCACCTCCACGTTCCAGACGTAGGAGCTGTGGAAGAGCTCGGACCACATCTTGCTCACTTTGTTGATGTCCTTCACATCCCAGATGTAGATGCTGTGGTCCTTATACACACAGGACAGCCACTGGTGGACAGGGTCAAAGGTCAGTGCCACAGTATCAGGGTAGACTGCTTCTGCCTTCCTGTGGAAGAGGAAGCTGACAAGGCCACATGGGAGATCAGTCATTCTCAATCACTGTGAGTAGTAAGAGCCACTTCTGGCGACACGAGAGCTGCTTCTGGCAGTGCCATCCCTAGTGGTATTTGCTACTGCTCATCTTTCCTACTTCAACTCCGCTTCTCTCTCTGCTTTCTCTCCTCCTTGGCTTCTTGTCGAAATTGCAAGCTGGAAGTTCCTACCTGACTGAGAACATTTTGAGCATCCAGCATTCTCTAGTCCAGTACCCTCCCTCACTTCATAAAAGACAACAGCCTGGTACTAGTGGCTCTCACCTGTAATCCTAGCTACTCAGAAGGCAATCTCAGAAGTGCAGTTCAAAGTCAGCCTGGGCAAGACAGGGTAACACTCTTATCTCTAATTAGTTGTCAAGAAAGCTGGAAGACTGGGAATGTGACTTAGTAGTAGAGTGCTTACCTAGCATGCATGAAGCCTGGGTTTGATTCCTCAGTACCACATAAACAGAAAAAGCTGGAAGTGGAGCTGTGGTTCAAGTGGTACAGTGCTAGTCTTGAGCAAAAGAAGCTTAGGGACAGTGCCCAGGCTCTGAATTCAAGCCCCAGGACTGGTTAAAAAAAAAAAAAAAAGCTGGAAGTAGAGTTCTGGCTCAAATGGTATAATGCTAGCCTTGAACAAAAAGCTCAGGGAAGCCAGGCACTGGTGTTTCACGCCTGTAATCCTAGCTATTCAAGAGGCTGAGATCTGAGGATAACAGTTCAAAGCCAGCCTAGGCAGGAAAGTCCATGAGACTCTTTATTTTTTTTATTTTTTGTCAGTCGTGGGACTTGAACTCTGGGCCTGAGCGCTGTCCCTCAGCTCTTCAGCTCAAGGTGAGCGCTCTACCACTTGAGCTACAGCGACACTTCCGGTTTTCTGGTGGTTTATTGGAGATAGGAGTCTCACGGTCTCTCCTGCCTGGGCTGGCTTTGAACTGCGATCCTCAGATCTCAGCCTCCTGAGTAGCTAGGATTACAGGCATGAGCCACCAGCGCCCGGCCCATGAGACTCTTATCTCCAATTAACCACCATAAAACTGGAAGTGGTGCTGTGGCTCAAGTGGTAGAGCACTCACCCTGAGCTGAAGAGCTGAAGGAAGCGCCCAAGCCCAGAGTTCAAGCCCTAGGACTGGCACCAAAAAGAGAAAAAGAAGAAAAAAAGAGGCCTACAACAAAGGGGACAATAGGCCACAGCTTTGCCCTTGCTTCTATTCTGGACACAGCAGCCAATGGATCAAACATACAAGGCCTAGTTGCATAGCCTCTAGGAGCTGCTCGTCCACCTCAGAAGAGACTACAGGTGAGTGCTGGTGACTCACAAGTGTAATCCAAGCTACTTAGGAAACTGAGATCTGAGGATCATGGTTCAAAGCCAGTCAGAAAAAATCTGTAAGGGGCTGGGAAGGTGGCTCAGTGGTAGAGCGCTTGCCTTGCATGCCTGAGGCCCTGGGTTCGATTCCTCAGCACCACATAAGCAAAAAGAAAAAAAAGCCGGAAGTGGCACTGTGGCTCAAGTGGTAGAGCGCTAGCCTTGAGCTGAAGAGCTGAGGGACAGCACCCAGGCCCAGAGTTCAGGCCCCACGACCGGACCAAAAAAAAAAAAAAAAATCTGTAAGGACTCTTATCTCTAATTAACCAGCACAAAGCCAGAAGTGGAGGTGTGCCTCATGTGGTAGAATGTCAGATATGAGCAAAAAAGCTCTGATCAAGGGGGAAGGCCCTACGTTCAAGCCCCAGTACCGGTATATGCATAGGCATGCTCTTTCTCTCTCTCTCTGTCTCTCTCTCTCTCTCTCACACACACACATACACAGAAAAGTTAGCCACATAGAGGAGCACATTCCATCACATGCAAGCTTACTCCAAATTCCTTGTCAGAACTTAACACTATCTTAAATTCCTTTCTTTATGCTTGTGTTCTTCACCCTACTCTGCCTTGCTTCTCAGTCTGGACCTGGCCTGGGGAAGGTAGGACCTTTCTCTATGCACTCTGTAACACCTAAGACCAAGAGTCATCAGTAGTGTAGGAAGACTCAATGGGCAGATGGATTTGGAAGCATGCGCAGATGGTGGTGGGCTGACTCTGGCGGGACCCTCCCCTTTTTCCTTCCCCACAGGGCAATACCTGGGCTCCAGGCCCTGGGCTACATCCACGCCAAGGTAGTGTGGCTTGGGTAAGTTGGCAAGGTAGTGCAGGCTGTGGGCCTGGAAGATTCGGACGATCCCGTCTGTGCAGCCACAAAAGATGAGCTCTTCACTGACACAGAGACAGGAGGACAGGGAGACCTGGGGAGACAGGGGCTGGCTGGTCTGGTGGATCTGGAGCCTCCTGTGGTCTGGCCCAGAAAGGATGGAGCACAGTGGCCTTGCCTTCCAGACAGAACTTAAAATTCTCTGGGTCTAAGGTGCCCATTTTGGCACTTTTGTTTTTTGCACCAATCCAGAGGCTTGAACTCAAAGCACTATCCCAAGTGCTAGCCTTGAGTAAAAAAACTCAGGGACAGGGGCTGGGAAGGTGGCTCAGTGGTAGAGCGCTTGCCTTGCATGCATGACGCCTTGGGTTCGATTCCTCAGCACCACATAAGCAGAAAAAAAAAAGCCGGAAGTGGCACTGTGGCTCAAATGGTAGAGTGCTAGCCTTGAGCTGAAGAGCTGAGGGACAGCGCCCAGGCCCAAAGTTCAGGCCCCATGACCAGACCCTCCTGCCCCCCCCCCAAAAAAAAAAGAAACTCAGGGACAGTACTCAGGCCTTGAGTTCAAGCCCCACAACTAGCCAAAAATAAAAAATGCAGGGAGACTCATAGAAAGGGTGAGAGTGATTAGAATATATTGTAAATGTGGAAATGTATCAATGGAATCCCCCTAATATAAGCTAATCATCTCAGGTGACTTGTTTTTGTTTTTTTTTTGTTTTTGTTTTTTTTTGGGTCCGGTTGTGGGGCCTGAACTCTGGGCCTGGGAGCTGTCCCTCAGCTCTTCAGCTCAAGGCTAGTGCTCTACCACTTGAGGCACAGAGCCACTTCCGGCTTTTTTCTTTTTGCTTATGTGGTGCTGAGGAATCAAACCCAGGGCCTCTGGCATGCAAGGCAAGCACTCTACCACTGAGCCACCTTCCCAGTCCAAATTAGATTCCTTTTTTTTTTTTTAGGGGGGTGTCTGATTGTGAGGCCTGAACTCTGGGCCTGGGCGCTGTCCCTCAGCTCTTCAGCTCAAGGCTAGCACTCTACCACTTGAGCCACAGTGCCACTTCCGGTTTTTTTTCTTATGTGGTGCTGAGGAATCGAACCCAGGGCCTCAGGCATGCAAGGCAAGCGCTCTACCACTGAGCCACCTTCCCAGCCCCCTTGTTTTTTGCCATTCCTGGGGCTTGAACTCAGGGCCTGGGCACTGTCCCTGAGCTTCTTTTGCTCAAGGCTAGCACTCTACCACTTGAGCCACAGCACTACTTCTGGTTTTTCTATGTGGTACTGAGGAATTGAACCCAGGGCTTCCTGCATGCTAGGCAAGCGCTCTACCACCAAGCCACATTTCTATCTCATCTCTGGTGATTTTCTCATCAACTGAGATGAGGAGGCCCTTGCTCAGGGTCACACCCAGCCACGTGGGGCCAACCTCAGCAGGGACACTGCAGGGCACCCCAGGGACACAGGTACAGGAAGAGCGGCTCCCCAACTGCTGGTGGGGCTGGGGATGCACCTTCAGGTTGATCCACTTCTCCAGCACTCTCTTCTCACTGAACTGGCAGAGGAGGCCCGAGTAGGACACGCAAAAGGTATTGCCTGCCATTCGGCCCCGGCCACAGGCCACACCACAGAAGATGTTGTTGTGTAGCTCTCCCAGGATGCCTGAGCGCCCGACCAGGGGCACGGTGCCTGTGACCTGGGAGCAGAACAGGGCATGGTGAGATGCTGTCCAGTCTAGCGCCTCATTGGTAGGCTAATTGGGAAGACACTGAGACTCCCCCTAGTGGAGAAGGAAGGCATAACAAAAGGTGTTTCTGGACACAAGGGCTGGAAAGCAGGGGGAGGAGGAGAATGAGGTCAGGGTTCAGGGGCAAAGGAGGGGCTGATATTGCCCAGACCCCCCCCCCCAGGTCAGGTTGAAACAGTTACCATGCTATTGCTGATGGTCACTTCCCCCAGTGCCTGGATGGGGTGGCAGGGGACAGAAACTCACCTTTGCTTCAGTAGAGGCTTCCAAAAACCAGAATCTCACATGCCGGTTCCCCACAGTGACAAAATAGCTGCTGTCCTCAGAGAAAGAGAGGGCGATGACCCTGCATGATACTTTGTTGGAGGCCACCACGATATCTTTCTGGAAGAATCGGTACAGAGTTGCTCAGGCCAGTAGCTCGCCCCGTGGGACTCTTTGTGCCTTGGCTCTCTGCCCACGTCTCTCTGGCTCACTGTTTTCCTTGGCCCTGCGGAAAGTGGCTCTCTGGGGAAACCCGGTGTGACTCCTGTCACTCCTCGTCTCTAGACCAGGCAACAGGGACAGGTCCTAGAGGAGAGTAAGCTCCAGAACTCTCCCTAAACTCTTCAGTGCACACATGGGGCTAAGGACAACTTGGAAGTAAGGAGTGAACTTCCGGCTGCCACAGGGGCAGCTCCTGCCTTGAGACTTCCGGGGGGTGGGGATTACCCACAGAACCCCCTCCAGGGCTGTGACGACTTGCTAGTTTCCACAACTCAATGAGGCAGATGTGATTATAGCCATTTTATGGGTTTGAAAACACGCACAGAAAGACTAAAGTTACCTAAGGATTCAGCTGGCCAATGAAAAAGCAATCCTGATAACTCCACTAGGTAGTATGCTAGTCTATCAGAGACCCCACAAAAAACGGTGCCCTGCTTCCCACTTGACAACTAAGCTGTGAACTTGATCTTAGCCATGAGGGAACCTCAGGAACAGAAGTCTTATAGCTTGTAAGGGGGCAAAAAAAAACAATAGAAAGATGGAAGGACTAATAGGTGCTCAATAAATGTCTATGAGCTAAGCAAACATTTAACCAACTTGTCTCGTGTGGCTCCCCCAGGCCCGAGGCTCATTAAGTGCTGCCATGTGCCGGTTGGGTCTCACCTTCCAGTCCCAGACGTTGAGGACCATGTCGTGCTGGTAGCCCATGGACACAATGTGCTTCATGTTGGGTGAGAAGGCCACACAGGCCACACCATACTTGTGGCCCAGCATCTCCGCCACCTGACTTTTCTCCTCCACATCCCAGATGCGCACGGCAGGCCTGTGCCCGTTCTGGAGAAGGTGGGGCCATTACTGCTGGGATCTGTGCCTGGCACAGGGCTAGAGGGGCTGTCAGGGCTGAAGTTGGCATTGCCAAAGGGTGTACCCCAAAACTACCTCCCCTACTTGCCACAGGGTTTTTGCTTTGTTTGTTGTTGTTGTTTTTCATTCTTAATCTGGGCTTTAAACTCAGGGATCCGGCCCTGTCCCTGAGCTTTTTGGTTCAAGGCTGGTGCTCTACCCCTTGAGCCACAGCTCTACTTCTGGCTTTTTGGTGGTTATTGGAGCTAAAAAGCCTCATAGAAGCCGGGTGCGGTGGCTCACGCCTGTAATCCTAGCTACTGAGGAGGCTGAGATCTGAGGATCGCGGTTTAAAGCCAGCCTGGGCAGGAAAGTCCATGAGCCTTTTCTCTCCAATAAACCACCAGAAAACGGGAAGTGGAGCTGTGGTTCAAGTGGTAGAGTGCTAGCCTTGCGATGAAGAGCTGAGGGGCAGCGCCCAGGCCCAGAGTTCAAGCCCCATGACCGACAAAAAAAAAAAAAAAAAGTCTCCTGGACTTTCCTGTCCAAGCTGGCTTCAAACTGCTATCCTTAGATCACAGCCTCCTGAGTAGATAGGATAACAAGCCTGAGCCATCAGCATCTGGTCAGCCACAGGGCATTTCTGATACAGGAAGAAGCCATTCCAGGGACTCCTGGAAATGATGGAGCAAAGAGAATGGCCCAAGACTCTCCCCACTGGCTTAGTAGGTGAACACCACTCACCTCTCCGGTCACTATGTACTTCCCATCGGGGGAAAAGGCCAGAGCACTCAGAGACTTTCTGGTGAGGAAAAAAAGAAAATAAAGAGTTGGTCACTGGTCCCACTGAAGGTGGCTGTGCTCTCAGCACTGTGCCCGCTCCTGGCTCCCAAGCCGGGCAGGAACCACGGAGACAAGTGCAAGCAGCTCCTCACCAGCCAGCCCAGCCTGAGTGCCACACACAGCACTCAGGGAAATGGGGTAAAAGGAAAGACTCCTTCCTTCTTAAACACCAAATCCAAAGGGGTGGGCATAGTACAAGGACCCTGCTTTTCCCTCTGCACATGTGGACTCCCTAAGACCCAGCCTACCTGGCAGTATTAAAGATGTGCTGTTGCTTGTTCTCTATGGGGTTCAAAATCACAACCACACAGCTGGGGAGAAAGGAAAATGTGTGTCAAGTCAGAGAGCGTGAGATTACTGGGCCCGGGCATTATTCTGTGTCAAAAATCCCTATCAGCCAGGCTCGGGTGGCTCACACCTGTCTTCCTAGCTGCTCAGGAGGCTGCGATCTGAACATCTGAGGATGGTGGTTTGAAGTTCAGACAGCCCAGGCAGGGAAAGTCTGTGAAAGTCTTATCTCCAATTAAGCACAAAAAAAAAAAAAAAAAAAAAAAGCTGGAAGTGGAGCTGTAAATCCTACAGGTGTGAGCCACTGGTGCCCAACTTGAGTGAATTTTAATCACCTGAGTTTCCCAGAATCCTCTGCCACCTCCCACTACATGCAAGACCATATTCTAGATCCAGATTGACCCTGGAATCCTCTGCCCAGCCCCCAGAGGCGACAGCACTACCTGCATTCTACAGATGGGTCAGCTGAAGCCCACTAAGATTCACCAGTGACTTCAGGCTCTAAATTTTCCCATGATGCTTAGGTGCCCAGGCCCATGTGCTTACCCTGCCAGGTAGGCCACATGGCCTGTGCCAGGGTCACAGGTTAGACCACTGCTATTCTGGGCTGTGATCCCAAGCACCTTCTCAAGTGATACCTGCAAATAAAAGGCCCAAGTCAGAACTGCCTACCCCAGCAGGTCACTTCAGTCATCTGTGCTATTTTGGCTCATCCAACACTCAGTCCTTGATGTCAGTAGTCATGCTGCACACCAGCAGCTAATACCTGTTCCTTTGACAGCATTCCTCTGAGAAATATATAGTGCTAGCTGAAGAGCAGTGCGGTGGGGCAGACAGGCAAAAATCCCCATCCTCCTGGAGCTCATATGCTGATAATGATGGGGGAAGAGAACATAGAAAAGGATCAGAATAAGTAGGGCTAGGACTGAGGCTTAGTGGTAGAGTGCTTGCCTAGCATGCATGAAGCCCTAGGTTCAATTCTTCAGTACCACATAAGCAGAAAAAGCCAGAAGTGGCACTGTGGCTTAAGTGTAGAGTGCTAGCAAAAGAAGCTCAGGGATAGGGCCCAGGTCTTGAGTTCAAGTCCCAGGACTGGCATTTAAAAAAAGAGAGAGAGTTTAGAGGAATGAGATGTCACAGCAAGAAAGTGACCTTCAAATCAATGGATTCAAATGGATGGAAGACTTGAATCCTCACCACATCTCTGGGAAGAAAGCATTGTAATCACCCCCCTTTACAGATGAGGACACTGAGGCCTGCACCTAGGGAGCAGCAAAGCTGGCTTCAAACCCAGGCAGTCAGGATGCAAAAGCCCTGCAGGGAAGACATAACAGTGAGCAAAGACAGATACAGCTCCTGCATCAAATTCATGTCTAGAGCATTCAATATGAAAAAAAAGATAGGCACATTTAAAAACTTGTTACTCAGGAGGCTGAGATCTGAGTTCAGAGCCAGCCTGGGCAGGAAAAGTACAAAGGCTCTCATATCCAGTTAATCACAAAAAAGCTGAACATGAAGCAGTGGCTGAAGTGGTAGAGTGTTAGCCTTGAGCAAAAGAGTTCAGGGACAGCACCCAGGCCCCAAGTTCAAGCCCCAGTACCAGCACCAAAATAAAGAAGTTAAAACCTCTCACAGGACATTATGCCACATCCATCATGGTAGAAGTAAAAACTTATATGTAGTATGGATAAACAAAATTGTGGCACTTCACATTTTAAATAGATGAATTCTTAATTATTGTAGTAAACCATCCTCAAGCAAGACTTTGACCTCACAACTAAAAGGCAAGCCATACAGAAGTTAGTATTCATGTAATATATATATTACATAAACATACAAGACCTAATGTTTATAGTACATTTCTCAGAAGTAACTATTAATTACTCAATATTCACAATAACCCTATGCAATCAGTATCTCATCATCATTATCACCAATATCAATATCATCACCACTTTTCAGAAGAAATAGAGGCCTAGAAAGATTATTCATTCCTAAGTGTAAGATTCAAGCAATGGTACTCAGGCTGTTTTATGTGCCGATTTGCATTACCAAGCATAAGTAAACGTAACTCAATCAATCTAGATTATATCTCTGTGCAGTTAAGCAAGAAAAATAAACAAATGGCATTGTCCCAGATATAATAATGAAAGTGAAACTGGATCGTGGTTTCAAAGCCAGTGTGGGCAGGCAAATCTCCGAGATTCTTATCTCCCATTAACCAGCAAAAAGCCAGAAGTGGAGCTGTGATAGAATGATAGCCTTGAGTGAAATGCTAAGGGACAGCACTCAGTCCCTGAGTTTAAGCCCAGTACAGGCTCAAAAAACAAATCCTCTCTGAGCAGGAATATTCTGGCTAAGACTTGAAGGATAGCAAGAAGCCAGCCAGGTCGCCTGCAGCAAAATGCCCAGGCAGAGAACTCACCAAACACCAAGCCTAGGAGGGAAAAGAAAGCACTAGAAAATTCAGGAAAACAGAAAGCAGGCCAGTATGACTGAATCTTGGTGAGACGCAGGACGTGGAAGGTACAACCCGAAAGGTGAAAGACCCTCTTGTCCAGAGATCGGCAGCCAGGAGTGAGCGATACAATCAGAGGCCGCAAAACCCACCAAACAGGAACATAACCCATTAGCAGCTACCATGTAGCCATCATTTATCTGGACTCTGAACCAGAAAGGGTACAGTTACAATTTCATCTCCCTTTAGCACCCACGGTGCAGCTCTATCCACTGTTTAAAAACAGACGAGGGCCAGGCGCTGGTGGCTCACACCTGTAATCCCAGCTACTCAGGACATTGAGATCTAAGGATCGCGGTTCAAAGCCAACCTGAGCAGGAAAGTCCTTGACTCGTATCGTCAATGAACCACCAGAAAAGTATAAGTGGCGCTGTGGTTCAAAATGGTAGAGCGTGGGGCTGGGAAGGTGGCTCAGGGGTAGAGCGCTTGCCTTGCATGCCTGAGGCCCTGGGTTCGATTCCTCAGCACCATATAAGCAAAAAGAAAAAAAGCCGGAAGTGGAGCTGTGGCTCAAGTGGTAGAGCGCTAGCCTTGAGCTGAAGAGCCGAGGGACAGCACCCAGGCCCAGAGTTCAGGCCCCACGACTGCCCCCCCCCCCCAAAAAAACAAAACAAAACAAAAAAAATGGTAGAGCGTTTGCCTTGAGCAAAAAGGAGTCAGGGACAGAGCCCAGGCTTTGAGTTCAAGGCCCAGGACTGACCAAAAGAAAAAAGAAAAAAAGTGGAAGGACTTGGGAAATGTCTAAAGGTGGGACTGGGCAGAGATTTGCAAAAGCAAAGCGCTTTCCGACGGGGTAGAACTCCGGGAACGCTCCAATGCTCAGGATGGAACCGGAAAGGAAGCACAATCCCGGAGAGGAGCTGGGCGGTGGGAAAGTGGGAGGAGCCTTTGCCAAAGGGGCGGGGCCATGGAACAACCAGAGGGGACGGAGGGGCGGGTGGGCGTGGCCAAGGACCTGAGGGCGGGACCAGGGGCGGCCCTGGGAGGCCTGCCCCGAACCAGGTAGGCCGGGCGAGCATCTCCTCACCCGGTTCTGCACTGTGTCCTCGGGCGCCGTCGCGAGTCGCGTCCGCCGCCGGAGGCAAAGCGGTGGGGCGGGAGGTGGGGAGGATTGGGTTCTCCGCGCCGGAACTCCCGCCATGACAGACGGCAGCTTTTCGACCGCATCGTTCCGCGTGTAGCCTCCGGACCCTAAGGCTGCCATCCTGCAGCCGGAGAACCGGCGACCGTTAACACGCCTTAACCGCCGCAGCCACCACGACCCACTCGAATAAGCGAATGGCCGCGGGAAAGCCGGTGTCGCTGCCGATTGGATGCGGCGGAACACTCGTCTGGCCAATCGCGGGGCTGCCGGGTGCGCTTATGCCCAATGGAGGGGCGGGGAGGCGGGGCTAAGTAGAGGGTGGGCCATTGGGCGCTACACCAAGTGTCATGGAGTTGCTCGCCTAGTCTTCCTCATTCACTGAGACCACAGGCTTTAGCTTTTAGGAGACTTTTAGGAAACTTTTACGAATCCTCACCACGCCTTCTGCTGCCGCTGAGCGACAATCTGCGCTGTGTCACTCGCCTGGCTGTAGGCGTAGGGCGGAGTCGGGAGGATACTGTGGGCCCGTGGGCTGGGCTGGCGCAGGCGCAGGAAGGACACCTCGCCCCTTCACCCCGCCCCCGACACATGATGAAAGTGAGAGTAGCGTGGAGCCGGCTTTGCACAGCGGTATTCGCTTTAACCCTCCGCCACCACGTGACAAGGACGCAGCTGTTGTTAGGAATCGGACCACGCAGGCGCAGGCAGCCATTCCTCATCACGTGACGAACCCTTCCCTCCCACACACACCCCCCCCGGACGTCACGTGAGGCAGGCAGCATAGTGCGCGGGCGGGGTGGGTTAGGATTCGGCGGAGCCCGACGAGGATAGAGCAAAACACACCGGGGGTTGGACCGCCATGCCCAAACACTGCGTGGCCCCGAGCTGCTCCAACACTGCGAGCCCAGTGGGCGCGGATGACCGCCCTGTGAGCGTCTACAAGTGAGCGCATGCGCGGAGAGGGGCTTTTTTGAGGGGCGGGGCCTAAGCGGGGCGGCCCAGGAAAGGGCGGGGCCTGAGGCAAATGCAGCTGTCCAGCACCAGGGTTTTAGTTCGTGCGGTAGGAAAGGAGCAGGTGTGACAAACAGCGGATCTCGATGACTAACTACAGGTAGTGAAAGGAATGATCGAAAGAATGAGAAGGATGTAGAGAAAAAGTGAAATTAAGCCGGGCACCGGTGGCTCACTCCTGTAATCCTAGCAACTCAGGAGGCTGAAAACTGAGGATCGCAGTTCAAAGCCAGCCCGGGCAGGAAAGTCCATGAAACTCTTATCTCCGATAAACCACCAGAAAACCGGAAGTGGCACTGTGGCTCAAGTGGTGGTGCGCTCGCCTTGAGCTGAAGAGCTGAGGGACAGCGCCCAGGCCCAGAGTTCAAGCCCCACGACCGACAAAAAAAAAAAAAGGAAAGAAAGTGAAATGAGTCCAGGTTCCATCCGCAACTGCCACCTCCATGCAAAACTCAGAAGATATGAAACTGAACTCACCTTGACTGCCCCCAGCCTTTCAGTCTTTCTTGTCTTAGTACACAGCTAGCTCCATCTTTTCCTGTTGCTAAATATAAAAACCTTATTCTTTTCTATGTTCTTTTACACTTGAAAAAAAAATCAGAATTAGCTTGAACTGTAAAAAAAAAAGGGAGTAACAAAAAGAAAAGGTCAGTTTAAGAATTAACAAAATATTTTATAGTAATAATTTACCTTGATGACTGTGACTCACACCTGTAATCCTAGCTACTCAGGATGCTGAAATGTGGGGATTGAATTTTGAGGCCAGCAGGTAGGGAAAAAAATCTGTGACTCTGATCTCCAGTTAAATAGCAAAAAGTTGCAAGTAGATGGGGCTGGGAAGGTGGCTCTGGTAGAGTGCTTGCCTTGCATGCATGAGGCTCTGGGTTCGATTCCTGAGTACCATATAAGCAAAATAAGCCAGAAGTGGCACTGTGGCTCAAGTGGTAGAGTGCTAGCCTTGAGCTGAAGAGCTGAGGAACAGTGCCCAGGCCCAGAGTTCAGGCCCCACGACCAACAAAAAAAAAAAAAAGTTGCAAATAGAGTTGTTGCTCAAGCTAAGGCACTAAGATAGTGCCCAGGTCCTGAGTTCAAGCCCCAGAACACATACATGTTGAAGTTACATTAGTAAGGAACAAGAGTGGATAATGGAGTAGGCAGTTGGCAGGCTCTGCTCAGGAGTGGGTGCAGAAGGGGAGGGATTGCTGTGGCAATAAGTCCAATGTTTGTGTCCAGAAACAATAGAGCTAATGAGGACATTTGGATCCCAGAGGCTTTGAAGGGACTGAGACACCCAGACTCCCTGGCTATGTGTTCAATGTGGCTGTGTGCCACACTCTTTTCTGAGTAAGCCTTTCTCTCCTAGCTGACCAGCTGTCCCTCTTTGAGAAGTTTTGCTCCTTCTATATGCATCCTATCCACCACATCTAGCATACCAGTAGCCTGGTGAGTTTCTGGTGTCTTTCCCATAGTTAGTTTATGCAAATATAAGCCAACTGTTCTTTTTTTATCTTTTTTTTTTTTTTGGTTGGTCATGGGACCTGAACTCTGGGCCTGGGCGCGTCCCTCAATTCTTCAGCTCGAGGCTAGCACTGTACCACTTGAGCTACAGCACCACTTCCAGCTTTTTCTGCTTATGTGGTACTGAGTAATTGAACCCAGGGCCTCATGCTTGCCAGGCAAGCGCTCTACCACTGAGCCACCTTCCCAGCCTGCCAATTGTTCTTATTTCTCTAATGATTATGGTATTTGCTTGCTATGGCTGCTGTTATTAAGTGGTGGCTTAAGACAGGAGAAATATTCTCAGTTCTGGAGGCCAGAGTTCACATCAGTTTTCACGGACCAGGAAGAATGGGAATCTGAAGATCTTCCTTGCCCTTTGCAATTTGGTAGCCACAGGCATTCCTTGGTTTGGGGCCACATCTCAGCAGTGCAGTTGTGGTTACATTTTATGGTAGTCTGGTTTTTGTGGTTACATGTCCTCCTCTGCTCAGAATACTTGTGGCATTTAAGGGCAACCTGTCAAGATCCGTGTGTGTGTGTGCACGCGTGCCAATACTGGCTTGAACTCAGGGCCTGGGCACTGTTTCTTTTTCATTCAAGACCAGCTCTCTGTTGTGTCTGTATGTTGATGGTTCTCAAATCTCAACCTATAACTCCACCTGTCTTTTACCTCCCCATTTTTGTTTTTTGGACTGTAGGCTTTCTCAAATTCTAGATGTCTGGTTTCACGTTCAGAAGCCAACAGAAGTGGGGAGCGAGTGGGCACGGGAGCCCAGAAGGAGCTGTGGGCAAAGGCCAGCCAAAGAGGCCACTGGGAGAGGGGCCACTGCTGATTTAAGCAGCTGGAGCCCAACAATGTGATGAATCTGAAATAGGAAGGCTTGGGCCTGAAGCCCAGAGGAGGCACAGGTTTGGAGCCCAGGGGTCTCAGTGGGGAGGGGGGGCGCTGACCCGGCCACGGAGCCACACTGCAGATTACCACTGAAGGGCGGCCCACGGCTTCCGGCCTGGGCCGCGAGCACTGGGTGCCCGGCCGCCACCAGCACCGGGGCCGCGAGCACTTGGCACCCTCCTGCTTCCAGTGGTGCTGGGGCGTGCGGCCCGACGCGGTGCCCACCATCCTCCCCCGGGCGCGCGCGCGCGCACACACGCACACGCGCGCACGCACGCGCCCCACCTCCCCCGGGCACGACCTCTGACCCGATGCAGCGCATGGTCCCGAAGCCGCCGTGCTCTTGACCCCCCTGGTCCCTCCCACCTCCTCCCGCGGCGCCAGGCCCGGGGATGTCGGCTCAGCCTCCACGGGCCGGGCTGGAGGAGGCGGGTGCAGAAGCTGCAGCGGCGCCACGAGCGGCACCGGACGCAGCTGTTGGCGCTGGAGCTGCGGGCGCGGCAGTAGCACTGCTAGCGCGCGCGGGTGAGTGCGCGTGCGCGCCGGGGGACGGGGGGGGGGCCCGGGAATGAGTGCGCATGCGCACCGGGGTCCGCCGCACGGGGGCGAGCGCAGGTCTCTTCCTGCACACAGCTGCTGGACACCCCCTCGCGGCCCCTGGGCCCGGCGTGTGCCGCGGGCGGGAGTGCTTACCAGGCAACGCGCCGATCCCCCAGCACCGCGGAAAGAAACCCGCAGAGCGCAGGCCAGACCACCTTTGGTGGGAAGGGGCCATGACCGTGAATAACGACCCTTCGGAAAAGTAACTTGCAGAGACCTCTTGTTGTCTGCCAGACAGGACCTTTTCGCTAATTCAGACCGATCACGATACTGCCGTTGTCCCCCCATTGTAAAGACAGGCGAGCCGGGGGCCGGCCTGTCATCCCAGCTACTCAGGAGGCTGAGATCTGAGGAGCACAGTTCGAAGCCAGCCCGAGCAGGAAAGTGCTTGAGCCTCTTATCTCCAATGAACTACCAAAAAGCCAGAAGTGCAGCCGGGGCCCATGTGGTTGAACTCCAGGTTTAAGCAAAAAAGTTCAGGTCTTGAGTTCAAGCCCTGCCCAGTAAGTCGCTCAATTACAGGGCAGCCAATAAATTGCAGGTAGGAATTAAACACAGGTGGGGCGGGGGAGGCCTGCCAAGGAGATGGGGTTCTTCTGTTGGAGCCTCTCTGCCTGGTCCTACACAGCTCAAGTTTGTGGTTTCCCAGACCCTAGCCAAAACTCTTTCCCCCGTTTTATACTGTGGGGTTGGTTTTAGTGGAGAAGGAATGTGAAAATCAAAATTTGAGCTGGACACTGGTAACTCTTATCTCCAGTTAACCACCGGAAAACCGAAACTGGCGCTCTGGCTCAAAGTGGTAGAACACTAGCCTTGAGCAAAAAAGCTCAGGGACAGTGCCCAAGCCCTGAGTTCAAGCCCCACAACTGACAACAACAACAAATTTGACCAAGCCTTTTTAGCAGGGTAGAACTGGGGGTCCCTAACGTAGTGCCTCTCATCCTGAACGCAGCAGAGCTATGGATGTGTGACTCTTCTGCAACTGGGTTCAGAAAGGACCCACCTACAGTGCTCTCTCTGTATCTGAGGTATTTTCTTTCTTTATTGTTTTTGGGTCCGGTTGTGGGGCCTGAACTCTGGGCCTGGGCGCTGTCCCTCAGCTCTCTTCAGCTCAAGGCTAGCACTCTACCACTTGAGCCACAGCGCCACTTCCGGCTTTTTTCTTTTTGCTTATGTGGTGCTGAGGAATCGAACCCAGGGCCTCAGGCATGCAAGGCAAGTGCTCTACCACTAAGCCACCTTCCCAGCCCCATCTGAGGTATTTTCTGTTAATGGCCATTGGGTTGGTTGGGATCCACACATAAGATTTGTTTGGCTCAGTGGTAGAGTGCTTGCCTAGCATGCATGAAGCCTTGGGTTTGATTCCTCAGCAGAAAAAAGCCAGAAGTGGTGCTGTGGCTCAAGTGGTAGAGTGCTAGCCTTGAGAAAAAGAAGCTCAGGGCTGGGAAGGTGGCTCAGTGGTAGAGTGCTTGCCTTGCATGCATGAGGCTCTGGGTTCGATTCCTCAGCACCACATAAGCAAAAAGAAAAAAGCCGGAAGTGGCGCTGTGTCTCAAGTGGTAGAGCGCTAGCCTTGACCTGAAGAGCTGAGGGACAGTGCCCAAGCCCAGAGTTCAGGCCCCACGACCGGACCCCCCCCCCCCCAAAAAAAAAAGAGAGAAAAAGAAGCTCATAGACAGTGCCTAGGCCCTGAGTTCAAGCCCCAGGACAGGCAAAAAAATAAATAATAAAAATAAATAAATAAATAAAAAGGATTTGTTTGGCTTCAACAATGCTTTGAAGTAATGTCTGGTCTTTTCTAAAAGCCCAAGATATCTAGTAGCCTTGGGTTCATATTATCAGGTAACAAGAGCAGCTAGCTAGAATAGTAGTGTGGCCTGGGGAGGTGAAGGGGAGGAAAAAAGGATGTTGAGACTGTGCCCTAGGGCCCAGAAGAGTGGAGCTGGGACTCTGGGCTGACTGTTTTTCTCTTCTCCACTGTCCCCGCCCCCCATTCAATCCTTGTCTCCCACTCCTTCATTCCATTCATTCTGTCTCCCATCTCCAGCCATTGTCCTTCCACCCATCTCCTCCGCCTCCCATCTCTCTGTGTCTTCATCTGCATCTTTCTGGGTCCTCCATCTCCCTGTCTTCATGCCTGCCCCCACTGCTGACCCTCCTATTGCCACCACCCACATCCATTTCCCTGCATGTCTTTCCTCTCCTGAATGTCCTGCTTTCTCATCTGCTTCTGTCATGCTATATTCTCTCTACTCACACCTCTGTTTCCTGACACCCCCTGCCTCCCTGTCCCTCTGTGCTACCCCCTCACACCTCACATTTCTATTTCTACTAATTCATGCCTGGATGGCCCAGCTGCCTGAACCCAAGGATTCCTGAACCCTCACCATCATCTTTGGAGGACCTGATGTAGCTGTGGTTCCTTGCCCAAGGCCCTGCACCTGCTAGTCTGAACTTCCACACATCCAGACTCTCAGTGCATAAAGTTCAGGATGGACCTTGCCAAGGGACTGAAGATCGAAGATGGAAGAAGAGACATCACCATGCTAGAGCACAGCCTGACCTCATCACCATCCTGGTGGGGGGGGGGGGAGTGCTCTCCCAAAGTCTGGGTTCCATTCCTAGAATCTTCACAGGAAACCTGAATCAAAGACCCCCTTATTTAACCCCTCTGTCATCACCCCCAGCTCAAGTCCTTGCAGTCAGGAAAATGACCTTAGGAGCTGAACAAGGGTCACTTGGAGGAGTCCTGGACCTGGTTCTGAAGAGCTGGTGATGCTGTGGGCCAGGCCTGCTGTTCAGTTGGGAACCTGGCATTGAACACAGTGGAAAACTCCTCCCTGCCCACACAGGGCTCACGAAATAGCAAACTAGTAAATGAATAAAGCACATCATGGCAGACTGTAATAAGTACTTTTAGAAGCTGGTGTGACGATGTAACAGGGAGACTGGAGGGAGGCTGTAAGGAGATCAGAGTCCTGGACGGCGAGAGAAGGCGCTGAGCCAGAGGCCATGTGGGTCAGTGGCCCAGGACAAAACCAGCCCTGCAGAAGATGCAGGATGTCTGAATCAGGAGGGCACGATGGTTCTGGAAAAACAAAGTAGGGGAGAGGTGGGACAGCCATACCATTGTCATTAGGGAGAGTAGAGATGTCCCTGAAAAGGCAGTGATGAATAAAATCCCAAAAGAAGAGAGATGGAACTGCATGGGTATCTGGGGGTAGGAAGGGGAGGGGGGGCTTCCAGGCAAGGGAACAGCCAGTGCAAAGGCCCTGGGGTGTGGAACATCAAGAAGCCTTGTATGTCCAGCTATACTTCTGAGTAGAGTAGGGCCCCGAGGAGACCAGGGGCCTTGCCAGATCCTGATGAGACTGGATAGACCAAATGGGAGGTGAAATATGGGCAGGAATTCGTGTGTTAGGGGGTGCAATTCTGGAAGTATCTTGGAGCTACTGAATCTACATTTGGATCAACCAGGCCAGATTTGAGACAGAGCAGGCAACAGCTGGCTGGGGTATGAGGTAGAGCTAAGGCCCTGGGTAGGCTCCAGGAGGCCTTCCTGGGGGAGATAGAGGTTCTCAGAATCCACTGACAGATCTGTACTCTAGATGCTGCCACAGTCATGTGATCTGGCAGTTAAGAGGCTCCTCTGGACAGCTATGTAACTTGGTGATTAAGAACCATAGTCATGCCAGGTGCTGGTGGCTCACGCCTGTGATCCTAGCTACTCAGGAGCCTGAGATCCAAGGGTAGTGGTTCAAAGCCAGCCCAGGCATCAAAGTCCGTGAGACCCCCCTAACTCCAATTAACCATCAGAAAACCAGATGTGGTGCTGTGGCTCAAGTGGTAGAGTCGCTTGCCTTAAGCTAAAGAACCATAGTCACACCTGTAATCCCTAACTACTGAGGAGGCTGATATGAGGATTGCAGTTCAAAGTCAGCCCAGGAAGAAAAGTATTTGGGACTCTTATCTCCAATCTACTCAGAAAGAGCCAGAAGTGATGCTGTGGCTCAAGTGGTAGAGTGCTAGCCTTGAGCACAAAGAGGCTCAGGGACAGCACCCAGGCCCTGAGTTCAAGGCTCAAGATGGTCAAAAGAGAAAGAAAAGGAAGAAAGAAAGAACGAAAGAAAGAAAAGAAAGGAAGGAAGAAAGGAAGGGGGAAAAAAAGGAATCAGTCAAAAAAAAAGAATCAGTCAAACCAACCAGGTGCCAGTAGTTCATACCTGTAATCCAGGCTAGTCAGAAGGCTGAGATCTGAGGATCATCATTCAAAGCCACTTGGGCAAGAAAGTCTGTGAGACTCTTATCTCCAATAAACCACCCCAAACTGGGAAGTGGAGCTGTGGCTCAAGTAGTAGAACACCAGCTTTAAGGGGAAAAAAAAGCTAAAGGATTGCACCCAGGCCCTGAGTTCAAGTCCAGTGCCTGCACAAACAAAAACATACTCAACAGATTACCAGATTTCAAAGTTTTAGCTTTATCACCTACTTGCTGCGCTCTCTCTGTGCGAGCATCTTAACCTGTCCCTGGGCCTGAATAAGCCCTGGGTGATCAATGGATGATGATGCCAAGGGCTAGGATGATGATGAGCCTAACCCACTGCAGTGGGACCCCGATTATAGGACAAGAGCTCAAAGACCACTGCCCTAACTGGTCTGATTTGCAGTCCTGGTTGGGGGTGGGGGGGAAGCTCAGCACGGATAGACAGAATGGGCTCTCACTTCTCTCCTGCAATGGCAGGCCCTCCTTTCCCTCCCTCCCTCCCTTCCCCCCTTTCCCTTCCTCCTTCCCTCCCAAGTCTGGAGCGCCCTCCCTCCCGCCACACCACCCCTCTCCCCCCACCCCTGCGCCTGGCACGTCCGCGCATGCGCAGTGCGTGCCCCTCCCTCCTCCCCCATCCCCGTCTTCATCTTCGGCAGCGTCTGGGCCTCGTCCCCTTCTCTCTGTCTCCCTCTCCTCCACCGTCGCGTCCCCAGACGCTGACACCCCATTGACTCCCGCGGTCTCCTCCATCCTCCGCTTTAAAGTCTTCAACGGGTCCACGCCAGGTAAGATGGGGAGATGGGGGAAGGCCCTGGAGAAGGGGAGGGGCGAAGCATCCTGCATCCCGAGATAAACAAACCTCTCGGGAGGGGGGCGGCTGAGAAAGAGGGCCCTGACTCCGCTTGGAGAAGAATGGGGGGCTGGGCCTTGGGGGGGATGGTGGCAGGAGCTGAGCACATATCCTTAGGCCCCTTTGATGGATAACGGGAGTCCCTGTGGTTTTCCCATAATCTGGAGTGGGGGGTGGTGTGGTCTTCTGGGGGCGCTGACGGCTTTGAGGGGCTCAGATTCTGGACCCTTGCTAGCCGATATCTGCCTCTAGGATTTGCTGGCAAGCCATCTCCCACCCCCCACCCCCAACTTTGCACTTGCCCCCCCCCCCTCCAGGGCCACCTAGGGCCATGACTAAGACAGATCCTGCCCCAATGGGTCCTCCACCCCGAGGGGAGGAGGAAGAGGAAGAGGAAGAGGATGAGCCTATCCCCGAAGCCCCCAGCCCCACCCAGGAGCGCCGGCAGAAGCCTGTTGTGCACCCGTCGGCACCTGCCCCCCTACCTAAGGACTACGGTAACTCCTCTCCCCCATCCTGGAGTATGGCCTGAAGCCTTTGGGTGCCCCTGGCCCCAGCTCTGCTGGTGGTGATGGTGGGGGGGGGGGATTGTGAAGGCAGGGTAGAGGAGTCTTAGCTGCAGAGCTCTTTAAACCATGCCCCTCCCCTTTCATTAATTTCATTCACCTATGGGAAAATGGAATGGGAATAATTCTAACCTTTGATTCATGGCACATCATTCAATCATTTAGTCATTCAACCAACATTTCTGTGTGTGTGTGTATGTGTGTGTGTGTGTGTGTGTGTGTGTGTGTGTTGGTACTGGAGCTTGAACTCAGGGCTTGAGTGCTGTCCCTTAGCTTTTTCACTCAATGGTAGCACTCTGCCACTTAAGCCACAGCTCCACATCCAGCTCTTTGGTCGTTAATTGGAGCTAAGAGTCTTATGGATTTTCCTGCCCCCGCTAGCTTTGAACCATGATCCTCAGAGTCAGCCTCTTAAGTAGTTAAAATGACGGGCATGAGCCACCTGTGCCTGGCACCCAACCAACATTTCTTGCAAACCACTATGGCCCTAGCTGTATACTGGGAGCTGAGGCCACAGCACAGAGCAACACAGGCTCAGTCTTTTCTTTGAGGGGACTCACAGGCTGCAATAATTGCCAGGCATTTTAAGTATAAACATAATAGACAAATATATAATTCCAGGACATGATGAGAACTGTGTTTGCAAGAACACAGTGCTGACAGATGTGGTTCCCCTTGGGAGGTGACATCTGGAGGGAAGAGGCCTGAGGGCAAGTTAAAGGAAGATTGGAAAAGGGGGACCCAGGTCTGGTCACCACAGCAGTAAAGGGTCTGATCTGGGCGGGCGGGTGGGTGGAAGGAGGTGAGAATGGAATGTCAGGGAAACTGAAAGTGTCTAATCATTTGTCAAGTGCTAATACCCTATGACCAGCTCCCTGCTAGGAATGAACAGTGAGCAATCCTGGCATGCTTTGTGCACTTAGGAGAGGAAAACTGAACGGGTGAACAAATGAATCAGACGAAACTGGGTGCCAGCGGCTCTCACCTGTAATCCTAGCTACTCAGGAAGCGGAAATAGCAATTCAAAGCCAGCCTAGGCAGACAAATCTGAGAGACTTTTATTTTATTTTAATTTTTTTTTTTGGTTGTGGGGCTTGAACTCAGGGCCTGGGCACAGTTCCTGAGTTTTTTGTTTGTTTGTTTTTTGCAAGGCTGACACTCTACCACTTGAGCCACAGCTTTACTTCCAGTCCTCTGACGGTTAATTGTATATAAGAGTTTCACAACCTTTTCTGCCCCGGCTGGCTTCAAACTGTGACCCTCAGATCTCAGCCTCCTGTGAAGCTAGGATTATAGGCCTGAGCTACCAGCACCCAGAGAGAGATTCTTACCTCCAATTAATTGTCAAAAAAAAGATGGGCTGGAGGTGTGGCTCAAATGGTAGAGTGACAGCCATGAGTGGAAAAAGCCAAGCAAGACGGCTTGCCTTGCATGCTTGAAGCCCTGGGTTCAATTCCTCAGTAACACATGAACAGAAAAAGCCAGAAGTGATGCTGTGGCTCAACTGGTAGAGTGCTAGCCTTGAGCAAAAAAGAAGCTCAGGGACAGTGCTCAGACCCTGAGTTCAAGCCCCAGGACTGGCAAAAAAAAAAAAGAAAAGGAAAAAAAAAAAGAATGCAAGGCCTTTGAGTTCAAATCCCTGTACAGGCACATGAATGTGCACGTGCACGCATGTGTGTATACACACACACACACACACAATTAGGTGAGTTCAGATCAGAGGGAGTACTATGAAAAAATAGAAGGTAAGAATGTAACAGATAATAACTGGAGTCCTGCTTGACACTAAGCAGGGTGAGGGTGGGGCTCGGCACTTAGGCTGAAACCCAGAACGTTAGGAAGAAATCAGAGAAGAGATGGAGAAAGAGTTCCAGGACTAGTGTGAAGGGCCTGAGGCAGAACTGAACTTGGAGTAGAAAGAGCATGGAGCTGAATTAAGGGAATGGACAGAATTCCAGGCCACATTGAAGACTTTGAATACCTTTATTCTAGAAGTGACAGAGGAGAGCAGTGTGTGTGTGTGTGTGTGTGTGTGTGTGTGTGTGTGTGTGTGTGTGTGTGTGTGTGTACGCGTGCATGTGTGCATGCAGATCTAAAAGCATAAGAGTGGCAGGCTTGATTTATATTTTAAAAGCTCCCTCTGGCTTCTGGGTAGAGAGATGGAGTGCAGCCAGAACTGGATTCAAGAGGGACGATTTTAAGAAATTGCTGGCTGGGAATTCTGCAGCTGGGAGGTTCAGCAAGTAAGCAGTAGGGTCAGAGAGTTGGCATTGCTGGATAGGGCAGGAGAGATGTCATCTGTGGACATACCCTTTACCAGGACTAGATTAGAGAGACAAGTTCATTTCAATCTGATTTTTTTTTTCCAGGGCTGAGGACTGAACCCAGGGCCTTGCGCACGCCGGGTGGGCGCCCTTCCTCTGGGCTAAACCCCCAGCCCTGATTTTTTTTTTTAAAGAGACAGTTACTAGGTACTGGTGGCTCATGCCTGTAATCCTAGTCTCTCAGGAGGCTGAGATCTGAGGATCACAGTTCAAAGCCAGCCCGGGCAGGAAAGTCTGTGAGACTCTTATCTCTAATAAACTACTCAGAAAAAGCCAGCAATGGTGCTGTGGCTCAAGTGATAGAGTGATAGCCTTAGGGTTTAGCACAGAGAGGCTCAGAGACAGAGCCTAGGCCCCGAGTTCAAGCCTCAGGACTGATACCCCCACATATGTATGTGTGTGTGTATGTGTGTGTGTGTGCGCGCGCGCGTGTGCACGTGTGTGCATGTGCACACACACACACACAATGTTAAGTAACCAATGAAGGACAGAGGTGCTGATTTAGACCTGGTGTTACGGGGAGACCTCATTGAGGAGGTGACTTTTGAGCCAAGACTGTGGCAGATCTGAGGGAAGACTATCCAGGAGCAAAAACAGCAAGTGCAAAGGGGACTGGAATTTGCCTGGCACATTGAAAGGAACAAAAATAGGCCAGTGTAAGGGAGAGGACAAAAAAGCAAGCGGGCCAGAGTATGCATGGTTCTGTGTGGTGCTACCCTAGGCTCAGTGTGATCTGATCATTCATTTACTCATTTCCTTACACTACTTAGTTTTTATCACGTGCCAGGCCCCTACTGGGCACTGACTTTGCCACAGAGTGCAGTTCTCATCAGAGTCTAATTGAGGGGAGATAGAATGCAACTGGTACCAGCCTGGCTGACTGTAGGTTGGATCCTGCTTATTCATAGGTATATCTTATATAAGTTAAAAACAGTATTGAAAACTAGGACTACTGGCTTTTTGTTATTTAAAAAAAAATTAAAGAGGCTAGGAAGGTGGCTTAGTGGTAGAGTGCTTGTCTTGCATGCATGAGGCCCTGGGTTTGATTTCTCAGCACTACATAAGCAGAAAAGGCTGGAAGTAGTGCTATGGCTCAAGTAGTAGTGCACTAGCCTTGAGCTGAAGAGCTGAGGGACAGCGCCCAGGCCCAGAGTTCAGGCCCCACGACTGACAAAAAAAATTAATTAATTAATTAATTAAAATTAAAAAGAGCTGTGTTTGGGTGGCTCACACTTTTAATTCTAGCTACTTAGGAGGTTGAGATCTGAGGATCACGGTTCAAAGCCAGCCCAGGCAGGAAACTCCATGAGACTCTTATCTCCAATAAACCACTTGGAAAACTGGAAGTGCCACTGTGGTTCAAGTGGTAGAGCACTCGCCTTGAGCTGAAGAGCTGAGGGATAGTGCCCAGGCCCAGAGTTCAGGCCCCAGGACTGACAAAAGATAGAGAAGAGAGGAGGGAGGGAGGGAGGGAGGGTGGGGGGAGGGAAACCTCTTGCTGGACACATAGAAAATGCCTATGGGTGGACTACTGCCTGTGTGCCACCTGCTTGAAACTTTGCATTAGAGGCTCTTAAAGGAAAAAACCTAGAGTTCACCCTCAGGCTAGATGGGGAAGCAAGTAGGGGGTGGGGGCAAAGGCCAAGCTTGCCTGGAATGACCTTAGAACTCTCGCCACCTCAGCCTTCACCTTCTTCGATCCCAATGACCCGGCATGCCAGGAGATTCTGTTTGACCCACAGACAACCATCCCAGAACTATTTGCCATTGTTCGCCAGTGGGTACCCCAAGTCCAGCACAAGATAGATGTCATCGGCAATGAGGTAGGAGTCCTGGGGGGACCAGGGATGGAGGGGACTCTGGTCTCCACTTGTTTGGGTAACCCTCCCCTCTTCCCTGGTATTTCCAGATCCTGCGTCGAGGCTGCCATGTGAACGATCGTGATGGGCTCACGGACATGACCCTGCTCCACTATGCATGCAAAGCTGGGGCCCATGGAGTTGGTAAGGGCGCCAGCCCCACAGCCTAGGCTTCCCACCCTGACACCCTCAAAACCACCCAGAACTCAGACCCTTGGACCCCACATTACCACCACCACCACCACCATCTGGCCCTCATCCCTCCCCATGCGCTTGGCACAGCTCCCAAGCTGACCCCAGCTGTTGTGCAGGGGACCCCGCAGCGGCTGTGCGCCTCTCGCAGCAGCTGCTGGCCCTGGGCGCCGATGTGACCTTGCGAAGCCGCTGGACCAACATGAATGCGCTTCACTACGCGGCCTATTTCGATGTCCCGGACCTCGTCCGCGTGCTGCTGAAAGGCGCGAGGCCCCGGGGTGAGCAGGGTTGGAAGGAGGAGAAAGACACCCAGTGTGGGGGGGCTGAGAACCTGGGTGAGTAAGGCGGAGACCTGGAGATCGGGGTGAGGATGAGGAGGGTGAGGACAGAAACCTGGCTGGGAGAGGGGACCGCATCCGAGGAAAAGGGGGAGCTGGACCTGGAGGCCTGCGAGGTGCCTGGCAACCCCCGCCCCCCGCATTTGGTTGGGTGAGGGGGCGTGGTCTCGAGAGCATGGCAGGGAGGGGCATGGTCTAGAGAGGATGGGTGTGAGCGGAGTCTAGAGATGATAGGCTGGGAGGGGCGTGGTTAGGATTAGAGTGTGACGAGGAGGCGTGGTCTAGAGATGGTGAATGGTTGGGGCGTGGTCTAGAGATGATGGGTGGGGGCGTAGCCTAGACATGAGAGTGGGATGAGGAGGTGTGGTCTAAAGATGAGAGGAGAGAAAAGGCATGGTCTAGAGAGTAAAGCTGATGGTGGGTGTGGTCTCAAAGTGAGGATGGGGGCGTGGTCTAGACATGAGGGCTGACGGGGGGCGTGGTCTTTGGATGAGAGTAGTCTGGTATAATCTGTAGATGAGTGGTGTGAACCAGTGTGGGTGTGGGAGCAAGGTGAGGGGGCGTGGCCAATATTGGGGTTAGGAAGAAAGGGGCGTGGTTTAGACTTGAGGGCCGTGGTGTAGAGGTAGGGGGCAAGACTCTGCAGTAGTGGAACACTTCGAAACCTTCTTCCCCTCTTATCCTCCCCAGTGGTGAACTCTACATGCAGTGACTTCAACCATGGCTCAGCCCTGCACATTGCTGCCTCGAACCTGTGTCTGGGTGCGGCCAAATGTTTGTTGGAGCACGGTGCCAATCCAGCACTGAGGGTACAGTCACCCAGGCCCCATTTATTCTCCTCCTCCCCTTTCCCCTTCTCCCCGGCCTCCACTTCCCTTCGGCTGGCCTCTACAGAGGAGAGGACAAGGACCACTAGCATATCTCAACTTCTAAAATGTCACAAAACCCCATCGGCACATCTAACAAATAATAGCTGATATTTACTCAGCGTCAATTCTATGTCAGGTGAAGTTTATTATAAGCCCTGCTGTACAATAGAGAAATGGAGGATTTACCCAGGGTCACCTAGCAAGGAGTATCCCCGGTGGCTGTGTACAGTGTTTTGAAACCATGAGGAAGGCAAAATTAGGCCTTCAGTAATTGACAGGGTTGAGTATGAGTGTTCAGACTGATCTTTGACTCTGATTTTTCCATTACCGGGTCCCATCCCCAATGCCAGTGACTTCAACATCTGGGGCGTGTATATCTTGGGGGATGTAGCTGATGCTCCCAAGTGCCTGCCCTCTTCTTGTTCCCCATTAGTTCAGAGTTTGAATCTGAACCTTGGCAAAGCAACACTTTCTAGATGCTCACTCCACCCCTATTAACCTTAACCCATTGTAGGCATACCTTTACCCTACAGGTATGGCCCTCTATTGGTTCCACTCCCATTCCCAAGGTCAGTTCTGTGACCTGTTCTAGCCCAGGCTCACAGGGATGGGTGGCCTTCCCTAGGGGTTGTCCCATAATGCCCTCCCCCTTGTGGGGCCAACTCTCATGTGGATTTAGGATATAATCTAGTTGTGGCCCCTGCTTCCCTTAGACTGGGAATGATGGGGTTGGGCCTCCATAGGGGTGTGTCCTAGGCAACTGAATCCCAGCTTGCTGTCTTCCCATTGGCTTATAGAACCGAAAGGGACAGGTGCCAGCTGAAGTCGTCCCGGACCCCATGGACATGTCCCTTGACAAAGCAGAGGCTGCGCTGGTGGCCAAGGAGCTGCGAACACTGCTGGAGGAGGCTGTGCCGCTGTCTTGTGCCCTCCCCAAGGTCACACTCCCCAACTATGACAATGTTCCAGGAAATCTCATGCTCAGCGCACTGGGCCTGCGCCTGGGAGACCGTGTGCTGCTGGATGGCCAGAAGGTCAGGGACTTGGGGTGTGGGAAGGGGGCAGATGGCTCTGTCAACCCTAGGAACTGGGTCTATGGGCTCATAGAGACTGTCTTTGCCTGCCTCCAAGTCACTGATGCTTCCTTTTTGCCTCCTGGCAGTGCAGAGCTCTGGCCCAGAGGGGAAAGAATTCTCCCTAACAGTAACAGCCCAGGCAATCATGGCTGAGATACCACAGGGTGATCTGGTTACCTATGGTTTCTCCCTGCCTTGTGCTTATCAATCAGTCTCTATCTGGACACTCGGAGTGGTCAGGACTTTGAGTACCCTGCAGGTGTGATGGAGAAGCACCCCTGAAGATGAGAAGTGACCTAGGAAGAGAAAGGCTCTCTGGAGGGGGAGTTGATGTAAGAGTGAAGAGCATCTTCTTTCATCTAGGCCTACCTGCTCTCATTTATTGCCTGGTATCCTTCAAGCTTCCTGCTGAGTCTAAGCTATTCTTAAGGACACAGCTATTTCTGCAGACCTATTTCTGCTCTCAAAGAGCTCCACTGGGACTGCACCCCCAACTCCAGCTAGCCCCTCTCCTAAACAAGGAATTAAGGATCGAGGGTGTAACTCAGTACTAGAGCAGTTGCCTGATATGCACAAAGCTCAGGTTCCATCCCCAGCAGTTGGTTGGTAGTCAGTCTGTATATAAAAAGGTTTTGAGATTCCATCTTAATAGGCACTGGGTGAGGTGCCTGTCAACCCCAGAGATGTGGTTCCCCACATGCAAGAAGACTGATTGTAACCCAGGCAGGCTGAACCTAAAGCAAGATATTGCCTTGAAAATAACCAAGGGGCTGAAGCCATGGTTCAACTGGTAGTGTGCCTGACTAGCAAGTGTGAGGCCCTGAGTTCAAGCCCCAGTACTGGGGGGAAAAATGGTTGGGCACCAGTAGCTCATGCCTGTAATCCTAACTACTCAGGAGGCTGAGGTCTGAGGATCACGGTTCAAAGCCAGCCCAGGCAGGAAAGTCTATGAGACTCCTAACTCCAGTTAACCACCAGAAAACCAGAAGTGGGGCTGTGGCTCAAAGTGATAGAGTATTAACCTTGAGCAAAAGAGCTCAGGGACAGAGTCCAGGCTCTAAGTTCAAGCTCCATGGCACACACACATACACACACACACACACACAAAATAACACAAAAGGTCTTTCAGTCACGTTAGTGGTACATGACTGTAATCCCAGATCAGGAGGACTGAGATCAACCAGCCTGGGCAAAAGGTTAGCAAAATATAGGTAGGAGGATCAAAGGTACAGGGCCTCCCTAGGCAAAGGAAAAAAAAAACTCCTAGTGCTGGTGAATCTTCTGCTTCCTGTGTGTGAGTGACCCAGCACCCTTTTCCAATCAGGATTTCCCCTTCTCTCTCCAGACGGGAACTCTGCGGTTCTGTGGCACCACAGAGTTCGCCAGTGGCCAGTGGGTGGGCGTGGAGCTGGACGAACCAGAGGGCAAGAATGATGGCAGTGTTGGGGGCGTCCGGTACTTCATCTGCCCTCCCAAACAGGGTCAGTAGGACCTGCGGCTGGCCGGTGTGTATGTGTGGGGGTGCTCCACTCAGCTGTTCTGAGGGTGCTGTGTGGGTAAGGGGGATGGGGTGGAGGGGGTGGGCAGAGGCTTGGATGATACCTAGCCCAGACTCTGTTTCCCCCAGGTCTCTTTGCCTCTGTGTCCAAGATCTCCAAGGCAGTGGATGCACCTCCCTCATCGGTCACCTCCACACCCCGGACTCCCCGCATGGACTTCTCTCGTGTCACCGGCAAAGGCCGAAGGGAACACAAAGGTTAGAGGCTGTGGGGCGGTGGAAACAGCCATTCTTAGGATTTTGTGTGGGAAACTCAGTTTCTGTCACTCCTTAAACTCTTCCTCAGGCCCAAACCCTAGTTTTGGAGGATAAGCTCTGAGTTTTTTCACTGTTTCTCCTTTAGCTCAAGACTGACCCTACTTTGGGGCTGGGAAGGTGCATGCATGCATGAGGCCCTGGGTTCGATTCCTCAGCACCACATAAGCAGAAAAAGTTGGAAGTGGTGCTGTGGCTCAAATGGTAGAGCACTAGCCTTGAGCTGAAGAGCTGAGGGATAGTGCCCAGGCCCAGAGTTCAGGTACCATGACTGGCAAAAAAAAAAAAGACTGACCCTACTTAGTTCTTGGAAGGACTTATAGGTTTCCTATCTGTGGGGCCTTAGTTCCCACTCAGGGTCTATTGTGAGGGAAGAATCTGTTACTAGAAAGAATGTGTTCCTCTTACCAGAGGTTCCTGTGTTGGAACTTGATTTACCCGTCTTTAGACCCTATATCTGCCTTTTTTATTATTTATTTATTTTTGTTGGTTGTGGGGCTTGAACTCTGGGCTTGGGCGCTGTCCTTTGCTCATCAGCTCAAGGCAAGCACTCTACCACTTGAGCCCAGCACCACTTCTAGTTTTTTGGTAGTTCATTGGAGGTTAAGAGTCTCATGGACTTTCCTGCCCTGCCCAGGCTGGCTTTGAACCTTGATCCTCAGATCTCAGCCTCCTGAGTAACTAGGATTACAGGTGTGAGCCACCGGTGCCTGGCAATTATCTTTATTTTTGTCAGTCATGGTGTTTGAATGGGGTCTGGGCACTGTCCCTGAGCTTTTCAGCTCACGGTCAGCACTCTACCACTTGAGCCACAGTACCACTTCTGGTTTCCTGGTGGTACTTTGGAGGTAAGAGTCTCATGGAGGGGTTGGGGATTTAGCTTAGTGGAAGAGCACTTGCCTGGCAAGTGCAAGGCCCTCAGTTCAGTCCTCAGTTCTGAGGGGAGGAGAGGGGAAAGAGTCTCACACACTTTCCTGCCTGGGCTGGCTTTCAACCATGGTCCTCAGACAGCCTTCTGAGTAGCTAGGATGATAGGTGTGAGTCACCAGAGCCCAACCAACTATTTATTTATTTAAGTCCTGGTGGTTGAACTCAGGGCCTGGGCACTGTCCCTGAGCTTCTTTTGCTCAAGGCTTGCACTCTACCACCTGAGCCACAGCACCACTTCTGGCTTTTTCTGTGTATGTAGTACTGAAGAATTGAACCCAGGGCTTCCTGCGTGCTAGGCAAGCAATATACCACTAAGCCATATTTCCAACCCTTTTTTTTTTTTTGGGGGGTCTGGTCGTGGGCCTTAACTCTGGGCCTGGGCGCTGTCCCTCAGCTTTTCAGCTCAAGGCTAGCGCTCTACCACTTGAGCCACAGCACCACTTCCAGCTTTTTTTTTCTGCTTATGTGGTGCTGAGGAGTCGAACCCAGGGCCTCATACATGCAAGGCAAGCGCTCTACCACTGAGCCACCTTCCCAGCCCCTCCAACCCTTTTTATTATATTTTATTTTATTTATTTTTGCCGGCCATGGGGCTTGAAATCAGGGCCAGGGCTCTGTTTGCTCAAGGCCAGTGCTCTACCACTTTGATCTCTACTTTGGGCTTTTTTGAGGCAGAGGTGTTTATTGTTTTTTGTTGTTGTTTGTTTTGTTTTGTCGGTCATGGGGCTTGAACTCTGGGTCTGGGCACTGTCAATGAGCTCTTAAGCTCAAGGCCAGTGTTCTACCACTTGAATCACAGTGCCACTTCCAGTTTTCGAGTCGTTAGTTGGAGATAAGAGTCTCATGGGAACTTTTCTGCCTGGGATGGCTTCGAACCTCGATCCTCAGATCTTAGCCTCCTGAGTAGTTAGGATTACAGGTATGAGCCATAGGCACCTGGATCCTGAGCTCTTTTTTGCTGAAAGCTGGTTCTCTACCACTTTGAGCCAAAGCACCACTTCTCCTAGGCTGATCTTGAACACCTAGAATCATGATCCTCCTGCCTTAGCTGCCTGAGTGCTAGGTTTTACAAGGTGTTGCTACTAAATCTGGTTCCCTTTCATTTTAGTCTTTTTTAAAATTTATTGTGAAAATACTGTACAGAGGGGTTACAATTACATGGGTAAGATAATGAGTACATTTCTTTTTTTGTTTTGTTTTTGTTTTTGTTTTTTTTTTTGGTCAGTCATGGGGGCTGAACTCTGGGCCTGAGTGCTATTCCTCAGCTCTTTAGCTCAAGGCTAGTGCCCTACCACTTGACCTACAGCGCCACTTCTGGCTTATGTGGTGCTGAGGAATTGAACCCAGGGCCTCATGCATGCAAAGCAAGCACTCTACCACTGAGCCACCTTCCAGCCTAAGTACATTTCTTATCAAGCATTGTTGCCTCCTCCTTTGTTTCCTCTTCCCATCCCTTCCCATCCCTCCCACCCCCCTACCCAATCCTCTCCTCCACACCCACCTCCCCCCCCCAACCAAAGTTGTAAAGTTCGTTTTTCAACATAACTACTTGTACATCTCATTGTTGCAATGGGTCCACCTTCATCCCTATTTAAACGATTTGTTTTTTTTTCCTTCCCCTCCACAAATTATACCAACATCAAATACAGTGAAAGCAGGGATTATACCATGGGGGAGGGATATACAAAGCAATAAAGAAATAATCTTATAAATATGTTAGAAACAATGGCATGAAAGAAAAAAGCATTTGAATAATTATCTTGGGGGTTCATTTCCCTAACATCAACTTATCTGACCTTTTCTGCTCGACTCAGACATATACTAGTTATTGCAAATAAGGGAAACCATGGGACCTATGTTTCTTTGGGCCTGGCTTACTTCACTTAATATAATTTTTTCCAAGCCTTTCCATTTCCTAACAAATGGGGAAACGTCATTCTTTCTGATGGAGGCATAGAATTCCATTTTGTATATATACCACATTTTCTTGATCCATTCATCTACTGAGGGGCATCTGGGTTGGTTCCAGATCTTAGCTTAGTCTGTTTTTTGTTTTGTTTTGATTTGTTTTGTTTTTTTTTAGTCAGTTGTGGGGCTTGAACTCAGGGCCTGGGTGCTGTCCCTGAGCTTTTTTGTTCAAGGCTAGTGTTCTACCACTTTGAACTACAGTGTTACTTCCTCCCTTTCATTTTATTTGTTTAGCAGTGGTACAGATGGACTGATGGCTTTTTACATGCTAGGCAAGACATATCACTGATGGCAAGCCAGATGCCTTTTTATTGTTACCAGTCCTGGAGCTTGTACTCAGACTCTAGGTACTGTCCCTTAACTTTTTTACTCAAGACTAGTGCTCTAGTCTTGAGTAAAAGCCACAGCTCCATTTCTGGCTTTTTGCTTGTTAACTAAGAGTCTCACAGACTTTCCTCCCTGAGCTGGCTTTGAACCATCTCAGATCTCAGCCTCCTAAGTAGCTAAAATTATAGGCATGAGTCCACCAGTGCCTGTCTCTCCTTATTTTTTCATTTATTTATTTATTGCCAGTCCTGGGACTTGGACACTATCCCTGAGCTTCTTTTGCTCAAGGTTAGCACTCTACTACCTGAGCCACAGTGCCACTTCCGGCTTATTTTATTTGGTACTGAGGAATCAAACCCAGTGCTTCATGCATGCTAGGCAAGCACTCTACCACTAAGCAACATTCCCAGCCCCTCCTCTTTATTTGAAAAGAATAATTTCTAAGTCCTGAGTTCAATCCCTAGTACTGTAAACAAATAAATATGAAAGGACAGGTTTCCTAACTTGTGCCTCTTTGGGCTTAAATGTCCTCAGCTATGAGAAGGATTTGGGGGTTCTCCAGGTTTGGTGAGTCCATTTTTCCTCAAACCTGAGGCCCTATCCTAGTTCTCTGGCATCTGGGGTGGTTTCTCTTTTGACCCCAGCAATCTCCTCCTGCCCCAGTTCTGGAGAAGAGAAGCCTCGGGGTTCCTCTGACTGAAACAAGGACAGAGTTTCTGTCTTGGGGCTTTTGGGATGTCATGGACTCCCCCAATGCTAGCAATGGGGTCCCAACCCTTTCCTCTCTACTCCCAGGGAAGAAGAAATCTCCATCATCCCCATCTCTGGGCAGTTTACAGCAGCGCGATGGAGCCAAGGCTGAAGTTGGAGACCAGGTCCTCGTGGCAGGCCAGAAGCAGGGAACCGTGCGCTTCTATGGGAAGACAGACTTTGCCCCAGGTGAGTTTGAGGATTCTGGGCTGGGGCAGGCAGGGTCGTGGAGCATTCTGACACTCCCTCTGCCTCCCCCCGTGGCTGCTTCAGGGTACTGGTATGGCATTGAACTGGATCAGCCCACGGGCAAGCATGATGGTTCTGTCTTTGGCGTCCGGTACTTCACCTGTCCCCCACGGCATGGGGTCTTTGCACCAGCATCTCGTATCCAGAGGTGAGCCCAAACTGTGACCTTTGATCCAGGAAGCAACTCAGAGCCCTGGTCCACTCTCCCTAGACTGACTGATCGGTGTGGTTGCCCTCCTACCCCCATCCTAGCTCTTTCCTCCAGGCTGTCTGGGGGGGTGCAGCTCCCAGCAGACTTTGGTCTCTTGTGACTCTTGATTCCTCCCTGTGTCTCCCCAGGATTGGTGGATCCACTGATCCCCCTGGGGACAGTACTGGAGCCAAAAAAGTGCATCAAGTAACAAGTGAGTTGGGGCCGGGATGTGGGGAGGCGCGTAGGGCAAGATGAGAGAAGGGTTGTAGGCGTTCAGGTATATGCAGGTGATCGTTTCTGATATAACTGGGGACACAGGGCCCAGAAAACTGAGACAGGGTCCTAAAGAGGAAAGGTGCTTTGAGAGAAGGGACGTGAACAGCAAGGGCCTGAGGGTTGGAGTATGGCACTAACCTAGCACACATGAGTCCCTGAGTTTCAAACAAAAATTAAGGATCTGAAAGCCAGGTGCCAGTGGCTCACACTTGTAACCCTAGCTACTCAAGAGACTGCGATCTGAGGATTGCTAGGGCAAGAAGGCCTTGACCCTCTTATCTCCAATTAACTACCCAAAAATCGAGAGTTGGAGCTGTGGCTCAAGCGGTAGAGTGTTAACCTTGAGCAAAAAAGCTCAGGGTCACCACCCAGGCCCTGAGTTGAAGCCATAGGTCCAGCACAAAAAATAAAATAAGGCTCTGAGCAGACACTGGGGATGGACATTGACTGCTGAGAACACAGGTAGATATGAATTGGGGAACACAATGAATATTACTGACAATAGGTCCAGGGGGGTATTGGGAATGATAAGGGATCTAGGTGGGTCCTGGCGACATAGAAAGTTATTAATGAACAAAGAGTCCAGGTGGGTGTTGGAAACACAAAATGGATCTATTATCCCCTCACCTGAGATCCTGCCTTCCTCTCTTCAGTGACGCAGCCCAAACGCACCTTCACAACAGTCCGGACCCCAAAGGACATTGCATCAGAGAATTCTATCTCCAGGTGTGTGGTGACCCCTGTCCCCTGTCTTGTGGTTATCAGGGAGAGGCAAGGCCAAGGCCACTGGACACAGGGATTAAAGCTGTAGTTGGAGGTGAAAATAGAAGCTAAGAAAAGTTGTGGCTAAGGGCTGGGAAAGTGGCTCAGTGGCAGAGCGCTTGCCTTGCATGCATGAGGCCCTGGGTTCAATTCCTCAGCACCACATAAGTAGTAAAAAAAAACAGGAAGTGGCGCTGTAGCTCAAGTGGTAGAGCGCTAGCCTTGAGCTGAAGAGCTGAGGGACAGCGCCCAGGCCCAGAGTTCAGGCCCACGACCAACCCAAAAAATAAAATAAAGAAAAGTCGTGGCTAAGCTAAGCATTTATGGCTCATGCCTGTAATCCTAACTACTCAAGAGGCTGAGATCTAAGGATGCTGGTTCAAAGCCAGCCCAGGCAGAAATGTCCATGAGACTTTATCTTCAATAAACCAGATAAAAGCCAGAACTTGAGCTGTGGCTCAAGTCATAGAGTGCCAATCTTGAGCAAAACACGTGTAGGGACAATGCCCAGGCCCTGAGTTCACATTCACACACACACACACACACACACACACACACACACACACACACACAGAGAAAATAAATGGTGGGAAGGTAGCTTAGGGTAGAGTGCTTGCCTACCATGCATGAAGCCCTGGGTTCGATTCCTCAGTACCACATAAACGGGAAAAGCCAGAAGTGGAGCTGTGGCTCAATTGGTAGAGTGCTAACCTTGAGCAAAAGAAGCTCAGGGACAGTGCCCAGGCCCTGAGTTCAGGCCCCACGACCGGACCCCCCCCCACCCAAAAAAAAAAGAAAGAAACGACATGGTGGCTAAGCACATCCTGAAACAGGTGTTAGACCCAATGCTGATTCTGATGACTCCAATGTTTTAGAGGGTGCAGGTAGCAGGAACTGTCTCAGAATGCACAGCCAGAGGCAGAATCCCAAACATGGAGGAGGGGGGGTGTTTCAGGGCAGCTATCCCTGAACCTCCTTACCAGTGTGACCCATTCTTCTCCTCAGGTTGCTCTTCTGCTGCTGGTTTCCGTGGATGCTGCGGGCCGAGATGCAGTCTTAGAGGCTCTGATTCCCAATGACACAGTCTCCTCGAGTGTTTCCTGACACCAGGAGCCCCTTACCCCCAGTCACCCTGAGATAGAGACCCCCATTAACACATCCAGAATAGAGACCCCCCATTAGCCAGCCCTTCCTCACTGAGGTCCCATTATTAACAGGTTCCCCATTATAACTCCCCAATACTGTCATCCAGACAGAAATTCCCTGAGTAGCACCTTCAGGTTAGTCCCTGTCCCTAGCCCTTCTGAGCAGACACCCACCCCTCCCCCCATTAACAGATTTCCATTCTTACCCAAGTGAGGGTGACCCTGTTCACATAATGTTCCACAACAGGACCTTCTTGAGTCATTCAGTGGACCAGAAATCCCCATTAACAAAGACCCCCCTGCCTCTGTTCCCCTTGAAATGAACATAGGTCACACCTTCAGAGTAATTGATCATGTCACTATCCCAACTTAACATCAGTCCCCTCAAGATGTCATGACCCCATGGTCACCCCAAAACCTTTGCTTTCCAATTCTCCTATCAGAGACTCTCCATTAACAAAGACCCCCCCTATACCTATCCCTCAAGAAGAGACCCACTTTAACCAGCCCTGTTACCCCCAATTTATAGGCACCAAAAGAGTCCTGGAAGTGCTAATTACAGGACCCCCAAGTCTTCCTACCCTCTATGCCCTCAAGAAACCCCCAGTGCCTTGTATGAAGCCCACTTACAATGGCCCATGGCCTCTGTGCTGGCCAGGCTCCCAGAAATTTCTATTTTTTAATGACTTCCCCCTTTGGGGGACCCTAAAATTTGAAGACCCCATTCTTGGACTCTGGAGATCCCAAACTCCAGAGTATACATATCCCAATTTCTCCTGGACCTAAAGCCCTGAAGCTCCTAGAATACCCCAAATTTCATATTCCAGGACACCCTCAATCATAGAGATCCCTCAAATCCCCAGGGAAATCCCAAATTTAAAATACCAATCCCAGCCCCTCAGGTAACTCCACTCATGAGGTCCTTGTGCCTGGGATGGAGGCGGCTGCAGTGAGGGTATGCATTCCAGTCTTCCGGGGCACCTCAAGCCCTATTTGCAGGCACCAGGAGACCCCTAACATGAGTTCTCACCCCCTGATGTAATCTAGAGGACTTCAATACCCTGAGTCCATGGATCTCAAGAACCCCAAATTCAAAAAGCCCTAGTCCGCAGGGAACCCCAAATCCCAAAGTCTCCATTTCTCACACGTGGAGGGCCCTAAGTTCCTGGCGGGGGGGTGGGAGGGGGAGGATCCCAAGTCTTGGAGCCCCCATTTTCAATCCACCTTCCGGTCCCAAGTCTGAGACACTAAATCTAAGTCATTGGCCCCAAAGGACCTCCTCACAGCACTTGGGCCAGACCAACAGCCTGAGGCCCCCTGGGTCCAGGGTGGACCTGGGGCCCTAACCACCAATGACAGCTCACGACTGCCCCTTCACTGCATGTCCCCAAACTCAGCATGACCCCTGCCCTCTTCAATAAAGACGTTTCTATGGCCTCTCGGTGTCAGTTCATTGGAGGTGGGATGACCTTGAACCTGTACCATTGTTGGAGGAGGATGAGAGAGGAAGGCCCTTCTTCAATCTCGCCGTCCTGGGCCATGGACGTTAAGGACGTGGAACGGCCTAATTGCGGGAAGTCTATCTTTCACTCTTGGTACTCCTCCTGCGGTCTCTGGGGTTGAAAGTCCCACCAGGGCCCACGCTGCTATAGGGGCGGGTTCGGCTCTGGAATTCTGATTGGTGTGTATCTAGCCGAAGACCCGCCCCTACTGGATCCCTAATGGCTGGGAGACTGGGAGGTGCAGCTTAACTCTTAGCTAAAATAAGGGGGCGGGACGGTACTCAGTGGGAACGTGGATTGGCCAGAAGGCGGATCCTTGCGGCTTCTGAGAGTTCTGGTTGGTTCCTGCGCGCTTGCGTCAGTAACATGGGGCGGAAGTGCCTCCTAGTGGAGGTGGGGTGGGAGTAAGGGTGTTGAATCTGGAAATTGGAGGGGAGACGGTGGACGGTCAGTTTGGGGGAGTAACCGAGGGGCAAAGAGGAGTGTCCAAGAGGGCTGAGATTTGGGGTCTGGGGAAGCGCAGAGTCGGAGTCGGAGGGAGCTCTGTGTGAAATCCTCACAGACCCAGACGGGCGCCTGAAGGGTCCAGAGCGGGGTGATCCGAGGAGAGGCTCAGGTTGGGGTCAGCTGGGGCAGGCGATCGGACAGAGCCGAGTTCGGGGGAGGGTCGGAGAGGGGCTCTGAGAGCCGCGCGCAGGGCCGCAGGCCGAGAGTGGGTCCCCAGGTTAAGGTGGGGGGCTTGCATGTGGAGACTTTGTGAAAGCCACCCTGCGGCGGGCTAGAGGAGAGGAGAAGGCAGATGTGTACTTTGGTGGCTCTAAGTGAACACAGATGTGGAGGAGCCTACTAGAACCCGCCCCCAGGGAGGACCTTGCGGGAGGGGGATCAGGGCTTTTGAGACGCTGTGTTTGAGAGATCTGGGTCCTCCTAGGAGAGCTGAGGTGAAGCCGAGCCCTTAATGGATCAGAAGGCTGGATCACAGGATGGGAGATTTAGCGACTGCGGTCTGTCCTTCCTCTCCACAGGACTGTGCCATGGAGGAGCACGCCCGGGTCCCAGCCCTGGAACCATTCAGAGTGGAACAGGTTCTCAGGACTGGGGAGTGCAGAGGGTGAATGGAGGGGCGGGGGGCGGCTAGATAGAGAGAGGGAGATGGGAGCGAGGTGGGATAGGCCAGGCTGACTCCCGGGTCCTTGGGTTGGAACTGCCTCCTTCCTCCAAATTCATTTTCACCTTCATAGTCCATTCCCATCCCCAACTCCACCCTTAAAATGGCCGTGGTTTCCTCCACTTAAGAATCTGGCCTGCCTGGGGCCATCCTGAGCTGTTCCAGAGAGAGGGGATGCTCAGAGATGAAAGGTCCCCTGTGTGGGTCAAAGGACCACATTGTCAGACTTTCTCCACCATAGGCACCACCTGTAATCTACTATGTCCCAGACTTCATCTCCAAGGAAGAGGAGGAGTATTTGCTTCGACAGGTGACCCCAATACTCTCCTCCACTGTTTCCTACCTCTTCCCATATTTCTCTCCAACCCAGTCCCTATATGAAAGCCCCATGGGTTTCAGACAAAGACACCCCCCCCCCCAGACACAATTAAGAATATGTAGGGCCAACCAGCAAGAGGGTTAAACCAAACTGATTCTTAAAAAGGAGGTGTTTAGTATGCAGTTCAGACTCTCTGTACTGAGATAGCCCAATTCAGCCTCCAAAATGAGGCTGTTACTGATAACAGATTCATTGGTGCAGTCCAATGTGACTAAAGCCTTGGGAACAAGGGAGTTACAGAGCTCTTACTCCTTATGTTGAGGTATCCCTTATCCGTATAAACTGAGATAGCCCAGTTGAGATCCTTGAGATTGGAAAGTGAAGGATTCAATATTAAGCTTACTGTGCCAAGACAAACCCGGAATTAGTGTTACAGAGAAAACTTTTCTGTACTAAGACCCAGACTTAGAAACAAGATTACTGAGATAGCCAGTCCATATTCTGTTCTTAAAGTTTAAGAAAGAATTTAGCTGGGCACTGGTGGCTCATGCCTGTAATCCTAGCTACTCAGGATGGTAAGATCTGAGGATCTCAGTTCAAAGCCAGCCTGAGCAAGGAAAGTCCGTGAGACTCTTATCTCCAATTAACTACCAGAAAACCGGAAGTGGTACTGTGGCTCACATGGTAGGGTACTCGCCTAAAGTTGAAGAGCTGAGGGACAGCGCCCAAGCCCAGAGTTCAAGCCTATGACTGACAAGAAAGAAAGAAAGAAAGAAAGAAAGAAAGAAAGAAAGAAAGAAAGAAAGAAAGAAAGAAAGAAAGACAAAAAAAGAAAGGAAGAATTTAGAAAGTTCTAAATTACAACACTGAGATAGCTCTTTGTATCTTAGAGCCTCGAGTTACAAAGCACAAATTTTCCCTGTGTTAGGCTTGCCTGCTTCACCTTGAGTCTCAAGGTCAAGTCATCTACAAAACAGTCAATCTCTTATGCTGAGATAGCTCCAGACTTTTGGATTAGGGGATTAAATAATATATATATTTTAGCTGGACTGAAATACCCCAGGCCGGCCCTATAACCATTCTGAGAAGGAAACCAACAAACAAACAATAGGTTTCTTAGATTGAAATTGTCCATTCTAGACCCTAGGGATCTTGGCAGATTTTAAAGTATTTTCCTTGCTGTACTGTGATAGCCCAGTTTAGCATACTCACTCCTCAGTGCAACAGTAACAAGGAGGTTCTAGAATTGAGATTATCCCACAATAACCCAGGAATCAAGAGATACAGACTGCTTTCTGGGCTTCAAGAACCTAGGCCTACCTGCATTCTGAGTAGATTCTGGTCAGGATTGAACACTGTGGTGTGGTCATAGAGGGCTTTGGGGCCAAAGGCCTTCCCAAGACAGAAAGCGGACAATGGCATCCTGGGAACTATCCTAATTTCCACCCCCTCCCCTCCCCCAGGTGAAGGTCCCTATGTGGCCTGGGTGGAGAATCCCAGAAGGGTGCTCTTTGAAACTGCTTCCCCATCTCCTAGGTATTCAATGCCCCAAAGCCAAAGTGGACCCAGCTCTCTGGGAGAAAGCTACAGAACTGGGGTGAGTGTCCCTGGCTAAGGCATGAGTGGTACTGAGATGTGTCTCAGAACACTAATGAGGGGTTCTTTAAGGGGTATCTGTGGGAGTCTTGAGGAGCTGGGAGTATCTCACAGGGCCCAGTAGTCCAGAGAAAGCAGAAAACCTTTTGAGGGGTCCAGTGACCATCTCCAAAGGGTAGAGGATCCTCAGGGGTCTGGTGTTTTCATCCACTGGGATATCCCTAATCTGGCACTCTGGGTGCCAGGGCTTTGTAGCTGGGTGCCCTGAGGACCCCCATTGCACTCTGCAGGTGGGCTTCCCCATCCTCGGGGGATGGTCCCTGAGAAACTACCTCCATGGCTCCAGCGCTACGTGGACAAAGTATCTGACCTCGGCCTTTTTGGGGGCCTCCCAGCCAACCATGTCCTTGTGAACCAATATCTGCCTGGGGAAGGCATTATGGTAACCACACACCCCTGCTCTGACCCCACGCTTATCACCCCTTTTTCAGAGAGAGCATTGCTCATTAAGCAGCTAGGCAATTCACCTCCCTTCCCAGCCTGGGAGCCCTCTTTGGGTCCAGAGGGTGGGGGGTTGGATTCCCTGCCTAGCTTTGGTGCCCCTTCCCAGCCCCACGAGGATGGACCACTGTACTACCCGACTGTCAGCACCATCAGCCTGGGCTCCCACACTGTGTTGGACTTCTATGAACCACGGCAGCCGGAGGATGATAACCCTATAGAACAGGTAGGGCCTGAGACACTGCCCTAAACCCTCAGGGCACCCTAATACTCCATCCTCCAGGATGACCTGATCCCTGTCTTTGAGATTATTCTTAAAACTCAGACCCCTTTCTCTATTCCCTTGTGGGCTACACCTTCTTCCTCTCAGACACCCAGTTTGCTTACTGGGTATTCTACATGCTAGGGTTTTCAGTTATCCAGCACTCTGCTTGTGTGTGGAGGCCCCAACACCCCACAGACCCTGTGGCCTCACATAGTATTTGAATAGCCTGAGTTTCAAATATACCCCACGCAGGGCTCCCAGTACCTCAACACAGATTCTCTGTCTTTTTGTGCCTGGGGCTTGAACTCAGCTTGGGCTCTTCTTTTGCTCAAGGCTAGTGCTCTACAGCTTGAGCCACAGTTCCACTTCCAGATTTTGGTAGGTTAGTCGGAGATATGGTCTCACAGGCTGGGTGTCAGCTCACACCTGTCATTCCTAGCTGCTCAGGAGGCTGAGATCTGAGTTCAAAGCCAGCTTGGGCAGGAAAGTCTATGAGTCTTCTATCCAATGAACCACTAGAAAAACGGAAGTGGCGCTGTGGTTCAAAGTGGTAAAGTGCTTGGCTTGAGCAAAAGAGTTTAGAGACACTCCCCCCTACCCTTACAACCCCACCCCCCCACCCCGCAAAAAAAAGTGTCTCCTGGACTGTCCTGCCTGGGCTGGCATCGAACTTTGATCCTCCTACTACTCTTTTGAGTAGTTAGGATTATAGGCATGAACCATCAGCTTATAAG